ATTTAAAAAAGGTATTAATATTTTTTCAAAAAAGGGGTTTTTAAGGGGGGGGGCCAATGTTGCAAATTGTGCCCCCCCCTAAACAAAAGCCCTCGTACGCCCCTGGATAAGATATATTTTTTGATAAGTTTATAACAAAATGAATAAATTTATGTTTGTTTAAATGCTCTAAAATCCCGCTTTTGAACAGCTGACTTTAGTTTAATCGGATATTAGTTCAATCGATATAGCATTGTTATCAAACGTAAGGGGTATTCAAAAAGAGAGGATTAAGAAGAAAATCAATGTCCATTGGATACTCAGATTAAGTAATTCCGGTTAAAGATATCTCATTCTAAAGTTTTCAGCTATGATTATATAGATTAACCTTCAAAGTTTACTTAATTCTTACTACAGCTGAGACTGGAACTTTAGAATTAGAAATAACTTGACTTGAATTAGCACTTAAAAGATTTGTTACCATAAGTACAGAAATCTCGCCGCTTAAAAATGTTGGAGCCAGAGGGTTCAAAACTCTCTATACTAGATGATAATTAAGAAAATACAGAGTTGTTTAAAGAACCTGTAAAATCATTCGTTGGGATGTTTAGAAAGATGAAAATTTCCCTGTATGATAATTGAAGGACTGCAGTATGGTTTTGGTGAATTATATTGACGTACTAAGCCTAGGGGTGTCAGAAATGATTTTTTTCGCATTTTTTTGAAAACGTCCAATAATCCTAAAAAAGTTTAATTTTGATAAAACTCCATACTGCAGTCCTTCAATTATCATACAGGGAAATTTTCATCTTTCTAAACATCCCAACGAATGATTTTACAGGTTCTTTAGCTTTGATTTTTTCGATATTTTTTACCTTGGACAAAAATGAAAAAATAGATATTGTTCGATGTATGAAATATAAAAATAGAAACAAATAAAAATATACAGAAAAATATATGTCTGAAAATTCCAATCTGTTGCGAGGGGTTTTAAACAGGGGGCGGAAACGTTATGTGTGTGTGTCTGTACCAAAAGAGTGTGTGTCAGTTTAAAGTACCGAAGGTGTGTACTGTAGGTTTATACAGTACGTAAGAATCTCGGTATTTGTACAGTCTAGGAGAGTACATTTGTTTATTGTTAATTGTTTACTTAGATGGTGTCATATNTCATGCAAAGAATATAATTTGATTAAAGTTTACATTAAACCACTCGTTATTCAAGTTTAATTATAATCGGCGACATTGTTCTACAATTTCCTTGACTGTAGTCATGTTGTGTGTCTGTACCAGAAGAGTGTTGGTAAGTTTACTGTACTGGTCTGCAAAGCAGTGCGACTGGCTTTCTCTTGCCGGACCAGCGCCATTTACTTTCCCTATATTCCTGTTCCTTGGTTTTAAATCCTTATTTACAAAAAAAAATCAGCGACATTATGAATGTTGGCGTTTAACAAAAAAATGAGCTTTTTTGGACAACAAAAGATATAAATACTGGATGCTTTATAAAAGGATTTAAAATATAGAGGTGCTGACCTCCGGTTCCACGAATTGCACCTGTGCGACCGTACTACGACGTAAACTGATTAAATGGCAAATTTTAAATTAAAGCAAATTATAAAGTTTTGCTATTTAAACTTTGTTACTAAATGCAGTAGAAGTCTTGCTAAACAAACAGTAAAATAATCTGCATATTAACTTTGTATGCATTTCATTTACAGTAAAATGCATATTAACTTTGTATGCATTTCATTTACAGTAAAATTTGTATTGGCTGAAACAAATTGCACAGTTGCACTTAAATAAACTTAATCAGAAATAAATTGGTAAAATTATAGATTTAAACAAAGAGAATAGAATATATATTAGAGGGGAATTTATATTAGAAAAAAATGTAAAACGGCCATTTTGTTGTACTGTTTCCATACTACAGGTGTACTTCACATATTTGTGCTACATAACCTTTTGGGTCCTGGAACATCATTTTATAGAAAATCTAAAATTAATATTAAAAGAAAACCAAATTATGAAATAGGCTGGTTTCATAATTGACCAATTATCATTTCACATAGACTCTATGCCTTTCACTTTACAAACGATAATTTTCCGTTATAACTATAAATCAAATGATGTTTTTTATTCACCTAATTCATTTTATAGAATTTATTTAACAGCTATAAAAAATTCGAAATTGAAATGGATAGTCTATAGGGAACATACTGTATTAATGTACTCTACTGCATATAATTTGTGAACATTACATGATTTGTACACTTTGAACTCCCTTTCAGGCTGAAAGGGACTGAAAAAATTCATACCGAGGGATTGGCTAAATTCCACTCTTATATATATTCTAATCTCTTTGATTTTAAAGATAATTGAAAGTTTGTGAAGACGACCCTCTTCTTAACGGACTGTTCCCGTTATTTCAATTTAGCCATCCTATATACAATTATACAATATACTACAATTATACCATGTACAATTATACAATATACTACAATTATACCATGCACAATCATACAATATACATTTATACAATATACAATTATACCATATACAATTATACAATATACAATTAAACAATATACATATATACAATATACATATATACAATATGCATATATACAATATACATATATACAATATGCAATTATACAATATAAAATTATACAATTTACAATTATACAATATACAATTATACCATATACAATTATAAAATATACAATTAAACAATATACATATATACAATATATACATATATACAATATGCAATTATACAATATAAAATTATACAATTTACAATTATACATACAATATACATTTATTCAATATACAATTATACAATATACAATTAAACAATATACATTTATACAATATACATTTATACAATATACAATTATACAATATACATATATACAATATACATATATACAATATGCAATTATACAATATACAATTATACAATATACATTTATTCAATATACAATTATACAATCAAATTAAATTAAAAAATTTCATTGTTTTAATTAGAAACAGGTGCATAATCATTATCATAAAAATATCTTCGAATACAAGAATAACGAACAGCCATGTTTTTTGATAATTAAACATTTCCAATTTGTTTCAAACAGGTTGTCCTCTGCTTATATTTATATATACCAATATAGATTTAAGTTTTATTAATACAGTGATAACCAGGAAACTCTGGAATAGGAAGTCGACTTTTAACTGATGTTATGACTTTAAATAGTCCAATGAACATGAGGCACAGTAAATGGAAGAAGTAAAAAAAAACTTGAATCTATTCATTTAATAATTCAATCTTTGAAAATGGATAAAATTTTAATTTTACTGCGTTTTAAAACAAAAATAACGAAATAAAGAAAGTTTGATAAACGACTTTAATTGAGCCCCGATCTAAAAAAATTGCACAAACATTTTTTGGAAACTTGGAAAATCTTGAAGTTTTGAAGTTTTGAAGTTTTGAGGTTTTGAAGTTTTGAAGCCACGAAGAAATTAATCCCTCGGCTAATTTTCTATTATCTAATCCCTCTAATCCATAATTTGAAATATTAAAGGTCTACAACATAATAAATAGAATGCAAAGATACGACTAGATTAGAGTTTGAAGAGAGTAATCAGTTGTTTAGAACCATAAAATGGATATTAAATTAAATATTTTACATTAAGCAATGAAAATAAATTTTAAAGGCCATAATTAAACGACATGGGCATAAAAGTCAAAATTATATGACATGGTCATAAAGTTTGGAAGGATATTAATTGACCTTTGTAAATGGTTTTAAAAAAAATTCAATTAGTTTTTTTCATTTAGTGTTGGAAAATTTAACTGGACCTGAAGACTAAAATTATAATAGTTTTAACCCTAGAAGCCCTTCGGAGCGGACTCAAGGATGAAATTTAGATTTACAACCATACTGTGCACTATCCTCCCCTTAGCTAAATTTAGATAAACCCATTGAAAAAAATGACATGAAAATTTAATGTAAACCCCCTGAAACTTAAATAATTAAAGAACTCCCTTGAAAATAAAAAATTTAAAGAAACCCCTTGTATGTTTAAAATTTGCATGCACCCTTTTAAAAGTAGAAATTTACACAGCCCCATGACAATTAAAATTTTATATAATCCCCTTGAAAACTTATAAAATTTACAAAATCCCCTTGAAACAAAAAATTTTATATAAGCCCCTTGAAAACTAATAAAATTTTATATAATCCCCTTTAAACTTAATATTTTACAGAACCCCTTTGAAAACTAAAAAAATTTACAAAATCCCCTTGAAACTTAACATATTATATAATCCCCTTGAAAACCAATAAAAATTTACAAAATCCCCTTGAAACTTAATATTTTATAAAATTCCCTTGAAACTTAATATTTTATAAAATTCCCTTGAAAACTAATAAAATTTACAAAATCCCCTTGAAAACTAAGAAAATTTACAAAATCTCCTTGAAAACTAATAAAATTTTATATAATCCCCATGAAAACTAATAAAATTTACAAAATCCCCTTGAAAACTAAGAAAATTTACAAAATCTCCTTGAAAACTAATAAAATTTTATATAATCCCCATGAAAACTAATAAAATTTACAAAATCCCCTTGAAACTTAATATTTTACACAGCCCCATATGACAACTAAATTTTATATAATCCCCTTGAAACTTAATATTTTATATAATCCCCTTGAAAACTAATAAAATTTACAAAATCCCTTGAAAACTAATATTTTATATAATCCCCTTGAAACTTAATAATTTATATAATCCTCTTGAAAATTAATATTTTATCTAATCCCCTTGAAAACTAATAAAATCCCCTTGAAACTTAAAATTTTAAAGAACCCCCTGGAAAATTGACAAAACTTCAACAAACCAATGTTTGAAAGGCAAAACTGCTGAAGGGTTAACTATCTTGGAAACCAGTGGTTAGAACCTGTTAGAGGTTAATATATAATGTAAATTCTGTGTATAGCTGGTTAGTCTGAAAAGACTCTTCTACCATGTTGGAACTCCGAGTTCTAATTTATTTTATAATACTGACTGCAGGAAATAATACAGCAGCACAATCAGTTCCAGGTGCAGACAATATTAATGACACAACAACAGGTTTTAACAACAACATTAACAACAACAACTAAATAGATCTGAGCTCACCAACAAACAACTCTTAGATCAACAGCAGATCTTTAAAAAACATTACTCGTAACACAACAGTCAACAACAACAGCTTTTACTACAACAAAACAACTGTTCCACAATTGTGTGCTTTAACAAAAAGACAACTTTTGAGAAAGTATATCGACTCTTGCAACAATAACTTTTGCATAACAAAATTTCTTAAAACAACAGAACACCTCGTTCTAGATCTTTTAACAGCAACAATAATTTATGACATAACAACCAATTTTTAAATAACAACAACTATAAACTAACAACAGATCTTATAACAACAACAACAACCTCCACAACTAAAGATCTAAACTCTGAAAACTAAAACAATACAGATCTTTGAAAAACAACAACTTATTTGTTTAATAAAAATAATTGTTTTTGAATTCTAATTAATAAAATCGCTATTTAGATCTATGTATCGAGAGAAACTGTTTCCTTCCAGGAATTGCATTGTCTGGCTCGGAAACGATAGGTTTTCCACATTTTTTCCCTTTCCAGAGCTGAAAACTTTAGTATTTTAGATATCGAGATCAATGCTTGATCATTTTTTTGTTGATAATTTTAAGATTAGTTTAATCTTAACAAAAGTGTATACTACAGGGTGTCCCACGAAACATGCCAGTAGCAAGAAAAATTGAAGATCGTCTATGTTTATTGAGATAATTTGCGTAATTAAGTCGTAAGCCTAATTTTAAAAGTAAAATTCCAGTGTTAAAAAATATCAATATAATATATAATATAATATATAATATATAATATCTTGGCATTTCCAAAAAGTTGTCTGACTTTTTTATACTTTCAATATTACCGGAGATGTTAAGAATCTCGTTCAGATTTCGACAGTTTTATTTAATAGAATTGAAATCAGAACGAAATTCTTATCGTGAAATGCCAGGACTAGGAAAATTCAAAGTGTTAAGTCGACTTGCTACTGACACCGTCATGTTTCGTGAGACACCCTGTTTAGAACTCAACCTATCGAGTAGGGTTTCAATAGTTGGAAACTGACGGGGAGGTAAAAAGAAAGAAAAAGAGCGGATTAAGAATGAAATTAAAAGTTTTCAGCTCAGGTTGCAGACTAAATACTTATTAAATACAGTTCAGTGTCTTTGCATTCAACTTTCTGAGCCCTTTTCATATCAATGCATTGGTTCCAAAATGTCAAACAAAAAACAATTATCGTAAATCTTTTCCAAAGTAATTTTTATCCTACTAACTAACTGACTAGCTAAATATTGAAATATTATAAACTATAGCGCAAGACAATGTTTTGAAACTTTTTGAAAAAATATTTAGCCCTTGTAAAAAAAATAATGTTTGATGGTATCTATATATGGTTCTAAAAATATATCTAAATATATAAATTTGTGAATCTCTATTTGTCTGTCTGTCTCTCTGTTTGTCTGTCTGTCTGGGTGTCTATCCGTCTGTTTGTTTTCCGATCAGACCTCTGTTAATGGCCCATTGGTGTGACTGTGTGTACAACATTGTTAAAGCTTTCTTCATTGCTCGTCAGTTTCTGAAATAAATCTATAAATATGCCACATGAAGCGCTAGTTATAAAATTAACTGTTTATCTGTGTTCCCATCCGGTCTGATTTGCTGTAGAACCGACCCCGCCCGGTCAGGCCCCATCCATCTCAGCCAGAATTGTTACCAATTTTGAGATGAAACTTTATAAACCCATATTATTAGTGGACTTAATACTTAGTTTTCACTAATTGGTGGGATGAGACTGATTTTTAAAAATTCAAAATTTACGCTTTCTTTGTCTGACTACCAATTGAGGTGGTGCAGATTACCAATTGAGGAGTGCCCATGCCGCAAAACAGGTTTGGGTGGCGGTGATTACCCATAGAGCACTTCTGCACTCCCCCCTCTTGGGGAGGATATAAATATCGAATTACATAATCCCAATATGACATTTGCCCATGGCTAACAAATCCAAAGTAGCACATTTTCCGTCAAGACTATTTCTGGACCGTTCTTTCTGTTCTTTTAATTTTTCTTTTTGGTTTACAAGGGACTCGAAAATATCTTAATTTTGTAAGATTACAAAATCTCGTTTTCTACAAGTTTAACTTTGTCATAAGATGTTAGATATTAACAGAAGGAAACATTAAACCGGAAGCGAACAGCTGATTTTCTTTTTTTCTAATTTGTAATTCAGCTGTAATCTATTATTTTCAGACTTTGCTACTGCTGAATTAGTGAAATCAGCTGGTGAATGTAGCTGCTTTTGCGAACAAAAAAGGATTTTATAATTTTCTTTCTTAAAATATGTGACATGTATTTTTTGTAAATTTGTAATTTATCTTTAAAAGAGATTAAGAGATTAAGAGATTAAGAGATTAAGAGTCAAAACGATTGTATTGTGAAGAGTTAAATTGTCAATTTACAAACATTAAGAATTTTCTGAGGACATTTTACAATTAAAAATAAAAAAACGACAACAATTACACTTTAATTATTGTTATTATTGTAAAAAACACATTGGCAATTTTTCCAACGAAAGAAATTGTTTAATGATAGCAACATTTTTGAATACTACGAGGCTTGGGAGTACTGCTCTTGCAAAAAAGTCACATTCGATGAACATCTCGAATACAAACTCGTGGATAATATTTTAACTGGAGTTTTTGACTGTAATCAAAGAGATTTAAGTTCCTATTTGCAAGGTAATAATAAAGATTAGATCTTTTCATCATCAAATGACAAATCAAAACTACATATGTTTAAAGGAGATTAGAGGGGGGGTGGTCTAAAAAAAATTCTGAAACAATTCCTTCATATTTTGTTTCACAATTGTGCGTAAATTTCGGGAACAATTTATACTCAAGGAAACGCAAAAAATGCGCAAACTGCAACTTCAACCAAAATGTTTGCTACCCTAATTTTTAACCCTGAAACCCTATAGTTTAAATTAATTTTATTATCAGATTGCCCGAACATTAAATACGAGTACTGTGCACGCGGCGTCCTGGGGCTGGAAGCAACTAAAAAAGGAACAACAATACTAAAAAGTGAGTTACAAAAAAATTACTTAAAAAATATAAATAAATATTTCGCAAAAATTACTATACCCAGCAAACAGAGACTCAAGTTAAAGAGGAGTTTAACTCCGGAAATCCAGTTTCAAAATGAAATTCATCTTTTAAAATCTATTTTAAATGATGAATACAAATTTCCCCATTATAATAATTCCTTTAAAGCTTCTAAAAAAGTTTTCTTTAAAAATAATACCCCTTTAAATGGATTTAAGGCGTAATTTGAAGCGACCCTTTATTTTTAAATCAGCGTATCTGATTCACATGAGTATCCCTTAAACCTTGAACTACTTAACACTTTTAATCGTTGAACATGTTGTTTGAAAGCTCTGATATATTTAGATACTATAAATAGTTACTTTCTAGAAGTGAGAGAAAATAAAAATTTACTTTCTTATCATTGAAAATCGTTTTTTGATGTTAAAAAATTCTATATTTTGAGAGACGCGAGTAAAATGGATCATCTGTATTGATAACTTGATACGCAACCTTCACCGGGTTTTACCTGTTCTGTGGTTTATACAGCAATTTAAACGTTATTAACGGAGCTCTCTGTACTAGATAAATAGGTTTACGCTTGCAGTCCTTTAAATGAACCTGTGTAACAATGATAGACATCTAAAATATGCTTATGAGTTTCAGGGCTCTAAGAATGCATCATGGGTTCCCTCAAAAAAATCAGCCAGATTGATTCAGCCGTTTTGCCAGCTATAGTTAACATATATATATATATATATACAAATATACAAATACACAAATATATATATAAAGAGCTTTATTACATAGATATGTCACATTGTCACATACAGTACAGAACCAAAAAACAGTCGAATTGTCGTCGTTTATTTTTTCTTTTAATTCTGAAATGTCGCCTAAGGGTTTTCAATTAAGAAAAAAAAAATTTGTAAAACTATTTACATAAACATTTTTGAGAAACGTATCAGTTGCAAAAACACTGTAACCTCCGGTTCATTTCAAGTATTGGGCCCCCCCCCCCCCCCGTATTTTGAGCAGCGAGAGAAAGCTGCCGTACACTATACACTGTACAGTACACATACAGACTATAAAAGGCAAAACGGGATGGTACATCAAATGCCAAAAAAGTCCCAGGAAATAAAATAAAAGAGAGAAAGTCCTAAGTCTTGGAAAAATGAGGTCAATTCTTAAACGTTTGATAAAAAGGACTTTCTTCTTTGCATTAGCATAATGAATATAGCAAGGGGTGTTTTTAATGGCATGTCACTTTTTTTCAATGATTATAAACATTCTTTGTTCCCATGCATTTTCACCATAAGAGGACTATTTTTCTGGGGACTTTTTTGCATAAAATCATACTGGTGCCAGAAAAAAAGTTTTAGAAAATAAATTTCAAAATGGTGGGACTTTATTTCGAGAGATTTTTAACTTCAAGGACTTTTTTCCCACAGGACTTATTTAGTGCCAAAATTTAGAACTTTGTTTCCGAAAACTTTTTTTCAAAGAACTTTTTATAGGCGGTTTCCACTTTCCACATAGAGTATCCTAGAGTTTCTAAGGTTGAGGGAACCCTTGTGTATCGGACACCCCATTCTTTAAATGAAAATATCTGACCCTGAAACTTATCTACTTTTCTAGTGAGTGGGATTAACTCCTTTAAACTCATCTACGTTTCTAGTGAGTGGGATTAACTCCTTTAAACTTATCTACTTTTCTAGTGAGTGGGATTAACTCCTTTAAACTTATTGACTTTTCTAGTGAGTGGGATTAACTCCTTTAAACTTATCTACTTTTCTAGTGAGTGGAATTAACTCATTTAAACTTATCTACTTTTCTATTTGAGTGTGATTAACTCCTTTAAACTGATCTACTTTTCTAGTAAGTGGGATTAACTCCTTTAAACTTATCTACTTTTCTATAGTGAGTGGGATTAACTCCTTTAAGTTATGTGGATGCCAGTGCTCACGATACAGGACACATGATATTTTACTCAAGCAAATACTCAAGCAAAAAATTGTTTATAAAAAATCGGGTTTATCATTTAATACCTCGGGAGTTTAAATTTCCATAGATTCTAATTTATCTGAAAGTAACTGATACATTCTTAATAACTAGTTATTTTAATTTGTTAAGCAACAATTTTCAATGAATCCATTGTTTTGAAACTTCTACATGCTAAAATATTATGGCTTCAGAGATTGTGACAGCTTCTTCTGGATATTATCTAATTCCTGTTTTCTTCTCAAGAATTCAGATCATATTGAATCTGTTGCCTTAGGGTACTCAGGCAAAGAAACTGTTCATTGATTATGTTCTTAATATATTATAGTTTCAGTGTCCGTACTTTAAATTCAAACCCGGAGTATAACAGTTTGTCGTACACTATCTCAGGAGGGAGTGACAGTAATTAAGAAAATGGTCAAAATAGGAAATTCCCAAATTACCTGGGAATCTTGTAGAATTCCCCAAATGTCTGGGAATCTGGGAAATTCCCCCAAAGACCTGGAAATCTGGATAATTTCCCAAATGCCTGGAAATCTGGGAAATTCGCCAAATTCCTTAAATATCTTAATGTGTTTTATTTTTCAATTATAGGAAACTTCTATTTTAGAAATTTCCAAAATTAAACTCAAAGTCCTATAAGAATATCCAGTCATTTGAGTTTCCAGAATCTTAAAAATATACCATCCTCAAATTCATACAGGAATTTGGGAAATTTTGAGAATTCCCCAATGCCTGGCTATTTTCTTCAAAAGTATAATTGCTGTCGGTTCATGACAGTGGGACAGATAGATTGTAATATAAACAAACAACATCTGGTGGGCCACGCGATTTTCATATTAAAACTCGTCTTTGATAACTTAGAATTCTATTGTTTCCTTATCTAAAACACAAATACATATTTTTTTCTTCAAAAATTAATGAAAGGAAATTTTTTGTTTCGCTACTTAGCGATTTCCCTAAAGACCTAATATATATACCGTGTGGTATTTCTCAGTACTGGATTGTAAGACTCCCTTCTCTCAACGCTCTTCATAATAAAAAGGAAGATAGTAAGGTTCCGAACGTTTATTTCTCTGAGCCTTCAATCTAAATAAGTTTAATAAACCCACAGAAAAAGCTTTGAGTGATAATCATACAACTACAACAAATAATTCACTCAGGCATTAAAAAACTGTGGCTAGGAACCAATAAACACATATACAAATATCAATCATATTATAATCAAACCGATAAGCATAAATATATATAAAATAGTTACCACAGTGATCCCAGAATTCTGAACACGGCTAATACTTGCAAAACGAATAAACATATACTGATATAAATTAGGTACTATTCCGCGAGAAATCATGCGTCTGCGCAGTCGGACTGTAAACAGTTCCTAAACTAGTTCTTTCACAATACATTCCGTACAGATCTTCAGGAGGAACTCAGAAAAACACAGGGGCGACAAACAGACTTTCTATACGCAGCATGGCTCGCGTAACATTTTTTTAACTGTAAAATTAAGCATATGGAGATTTTTGCCTCAAATAGAAAAAACTTGAAAAACTTATTTGACACCCTTGTTTTTTTTTGTATGTATTTGTATTTATAACCCAATTGATAAGTTTTATTTAGTTCTACAGTCAAGGAACATAAAAATTACAAAAAGTTTAGGCCTAAGAGAAACTACGTCTTTAGTACAAAAATTTCAAAATAAAAATTGCATATTTTACCTTTTAAAATCCAACACTTCAAAGGATAGCAAAAAAAGTAGCAAAAGCGGGAAAAAAAAGTCTGATACGCTTCTTTGATTAAGGTTGTCTACCAACTACATCTACAACAACTACTACTACAACTACAGCAATATCACCAAATACAACAGCTACGTCTAAAAATACAACAATCACATCCGAAAATATAACAATTTCATCTGAAAATACAACGGCTACATTTGAAAATACAACGGCTACATTTGAAAATACAACAGCTACATTTGAAAACACAACATCTAGATTTGAAAATACAACGGCTACATTTGAAAATTCAACAGCTACATTTGAAAATACAACAACTACATTTGAAAATACAACAGCTATATTTGAAAATACAACAGCTACGTTTGAAAATACAACAGCTACGTTTGAAAATACGACAGCTACATTTGAAAATACAACAGCTACATCTGAAAATACAACAGCTACATTTGAAAATACAACAGCTACATTAGAAAATACAACAGCTACATTTGAAAATACAACAATTATATCTGAAAATACAACAGCTAAATATGAAAATACAACAGCTAAATATGAAAATACCACAATCTCATCTGAAAATACAACTGCTAATTTTGAAAATACAATAGCTACATATGAGAATACAACAGCTACATATGAAAATACAACAGCTACATTTGAAAATACAAATTATATCTGAGAATACAACAGCTACATATGAAAATACAACAGCTACATTTGAGAATACAACAGCTACATATGAAAATACAACAGCTACATTTGAAAATACAACAATTAAATCTGAAAATACAACAGCTACATATGAAAATACAACAGCTAAATATGAAAATACCACAATCTCAACTGAAAATACAACTGCTATTTCTGAAAATACAACAGCTACTTATGAAAATACAACAGCTACATTTGAAAATACAACAATTATATCTGAAAATACAATAGATACATCTGAAAATACAACAGCTAATTCTGAAAATACAACAGCTAATTCTGAAAATACAACAGCTTTATTTGAAAATACAACAGCTACATTTGAAAATACAACAGCTTTATTTGAAAATACAACAGCTTTATTTGAAAATACAACAGCTACATTTGAAAATGCAACAGCTACATTTGAAAATACAACAACAATATTTGAAAATACAACAGCTACATATGAAAATACAACAGCTTCGTTTGAAAATACCACAATCTCATCTGAAAATACAACAGCTACATATGAAAATACAACAGCTTCGTTTGAAAATACCACAATCTCATCTGAAAATACAACAGCTACATATGAAAATACAACAGCTTCGTTTGAAAATACCACAATCTCATCTGAAAATACAACAGCTAATTCTGAAAATACAACAGCTACATATGAGAATACAACAGCTACATTTGAAAATACAACAATTATATCTGTAAATACAACAGATACATCTGAAAATACAACATCTAAATATGAAAATACAACAGCTACATTTGAAAATACAACAGTTATATCTGGAAATACAACAGCTATATCTGAAAATACAACAGCTACATATGAAAATACAACAGCTAAATATGAAAATACAACAGCTATATCTGAAAATACAACATCTAAATATGAAAATACAACATCTACATTTGAAAACACAACAGCTATATCTGGAAATACAACAGATACATCTGAAAATACAACAGCTGAATATGAAAATACAACAGCTAAATATGAAAATACAACAGCTATATTTGAAAATACAACAACTATTTCTACAAATATAACAACTAGTAACACAACAATGGCGAGTACAACTAAGACGACAACAAATACAACTGCATCTACAACAACAACCAATACAAATGCTATAAAAACTTCAACTTCTAATTCTGCAACAAAAACTTCAACCACCACAACGTCATCCACTACAACTACCACAACTGCAAGATATGGAAGAATATGTAAGTATTTTTCTCATTTTTTTATTTGTTCAATTTTTGATATTTTATGTATTATCTGTAATACATATTAAATGTCCATGAATTGAATATGCCTGATCTGATACGACAGAAAAAAATCGGAATATAAGTTTTGTTATATTCTTTTGAACAGTTGAACCATAAATATTAAAAACATAGAAAGAATTTATGAAATGTCGTATTCTTCACTTTCTGATAATGGAAGGCTGTAGATATTTAGTTTTTTAACTAAATGATTCTTTGGAGCTCTATAAAACTGTTTCCGCATATTCATGGCTATTTATTTATTTTCGCAATAAATGAGATTTACGTAAATTAGTACAAAACCCAGTGAAAAATTGTCAAGACGACATTTCACAAATTCTTTCGATGTATTTATTATTTAGGGTTTAACTGTAACATTTTCCATGTTACAATGTCAATATTGACAAATGTGTTGTAAATTGCCAAGATCTTACATTTAAACATAAATGTATTTCACTAAATTATCTATTTTTAATCAACAACTTAAAAAAGACATAAATATAGAAATAGAATCTTTGTCACAAACTCAAATTTTCTAATCTCTAAATCTGTGCAACCTGATGGTACCCTATGAAATATCAAACTTAGATTATTTGATCTAACAGAATTCATAGTTACAAATATCTAAGCTTTACGACATTGAGTTGCAAAGATATAGTTTGTGGCAAAGATTCAATTCCTTTTGATATTATTTGGATCATAAAAGGTGTATACGCTTATGTCTCTAGCCACTGAAAGTTGTACTTTTGGTTTAAAAGTTTTGGACTTTGGTAAAAAAATTTATGCTGTTTTTTTTGTCCTTAAAATTGAATGAATTATTATAAACCCATAATTACAAAAGAAATTATTTTCCAACTAAATTAAAAAAATTACTAAGAAAACAATTGCGGATATTTATTTCTTTGCCTGAACATTTTTAAAGCAACTAACTAATGACGAAAATTCATTCAAATATTTAAAACAGAAAAGCGCAAAGCTAAACAAAAAATATCCTGTATACTTTACAGCGTACAATCACACGGTGTAGGCAGTACACTGTACAGCGTAGGCAGTTTCAGACCGAGTACAGGGCACATGTATGATAAACAGGAAAATACAAAAACCAACCTAAATTATAAATTTTGAAATTATAAATTTTAAATTTTATGTAAGAAAGTCACCGGAAAAAATTTCTGAAAAAAAACCTGTAAAAAAGTTCCAATTTTCTGAAGCCCTAGGACAAAATGTAACTGGAAATAAAGTCATGAGTTTTCAATTTCTGGGACTTTTTTCCTAAGACGTTTTCATAAAAAAAACTTTTTTCATTGCATCTGTATTTTGAATTTACCCATATGGGTGTTTTTAATATCAATTGCCCCTTTTTTTGCTGTAAACATCCTTTGTTCCCATACATTTTATTTTCAGAGAACTTTTATACAAAATAGAAAAATAGAAGACTGTCCGATTCAATACAGTACCCTTCAAATATTTGACAGATCAAGTTATAGTAAATAGATATCCATGGTTACTATCTATAGTAAAGTCAAGAAGAAGAAAAATTTTAGAAAAAAAATGTTTTCAGCAAAACCGAATTTTCTAAATTCGAGTCCGAAACTGTTGAATCGAGATACATTCATAATTTCTTGTCAAATCGGTGGCTTTTACCGATGTTTGTTAATTCTCCCCAAAGGATAGAATGAGTTTAACCCATAACGGCCACTTAAATGTTTTCAGCCTTGAACCCGTAACTAATGAATAAGATAAGACAATATTTGCATGCATTTATTATTTATCTAATTTCGTCATTATTTTAAGTTGGCTTATGGAATTTAAAGTTTCAGAATTAAATATATCACACTTTTTAGAAAACTAAGATAATTTGAATTATTTTAGTTTGCATAAAGCCTTATTTTAAGTTACCTCCATTTTATAGAGAAGAATGCCTGGTATACAATGAAACCCTTGAAACCTTTGACTGATCATATAGGGTAGAGAACTAGGACATTCCTCTCATAAAATTACGCTTACCGGCCCATTTAATAAAAAAGTACTTTTTTAAAGATAAAGAGGAGATTGAGTTCCCAGCGCTATGAATTCCTTATAATCAATCTGACCATCTCCTAGCATTAAAAAAATATAAATATTTTTAAAAAAAAATCTAAATAATGCAAAAAATATATATTTGGACAGTATAACATGGCTAATTGTGAAGTTCTTTGTTCTTTATTTTATTGTTCTTTATTATGTTCTATATCGATTGTGAACATTTTCTCTTTGTATACATTGTAAAACAAAGACAAAAAAGTTCGAGAATGTGTTAAAAAATTTCGTGGATTTTCTAAATTTTATGAAAATCAAATTTAGCTGGAGGCTAATTTTTGAAATTTTGACCATCCTAGGGACATGTGAGGCCCCACGCAAAACTTGGCTCCGATCGGTTCAGCAGTTTTGACGTTTATTTGACACAAACAAACAGACAGAAAAGCAAAGTATCAAGAGCACTGTCCTTATGGTGTTTCATAGTTCAAGCAAACAATAATCATTCTATTGTGTATCCTGGTTTTCACTGTATTTAAAATATATTTTTACCGTTTGTATCCGCCATTCGGATCATTTCATCCGCCTCCGCCTGAAGCGATATAAAGAATTAAGTAAAAAGGAAATCGTATAGATTTAAGGATATCAGATTTTGCTGGGACAATTTCACAGAAGAAAATTTAATTCCACTAAGAATACTAAGGCATGTTTACAAACTGCAGTTTTCACAAAATATCAAAAATGGATGTTTAGCGATAAAAACGTAAAAAAATCACTAGTTCGGGTGAAAATGAAACTTTTGGAAACCTTATCAAATTAGGTATCATCGGGATCAGGTTGTATTTCAAATGAATTTACAGATTTGAAAATATTGAAATTTGACCGAGTTAGGTTTTCAGTACTTCCACAAAATTCGTTAAGAGAAAAAAAACTGCATTTGACCATAACTGGCCCGATTTTCAAAATACTTCAATTCTGTTGGTTTTCCAGTTGATTCTATGGATAGGGATAGTAGATATTCAAATAATGATTTTCATATTTTTTTTTGATTTACTCATACTATATTGTTTCCTTTCACTAGTTTTATTATTAACCATAATTTTAGGGGCCCATTGTAAATTTTGTTGAAACTGTATTTTCTAAACATGCTAGAGGAATACTATTTTAATTCTAAAAAAGAGTTCTAGTAGGAACCCTACTGGCTAATTATATGTGCTCTGAAGAATGGGACATATCACATAGGAACCACTTTAAACAATTTTCTTCATTAGTGCGTTTTTTTGCACTTATTGACTTAAAATACTAAAAAGAGACAATAATGAAAAAGGCATTTAAAATTTTCAAATATTTTATTACTTTCAAAAGTATTTGTATTGAAAGTCATGGAAATGTTTTGCTTAAAATCACTCTCAGATCTTATACACCGGTTCAACTATTATACGTAGACTTAGTTGAATCTCTTCTTCCAGGGTTCAAATTGAAAAGAACTGGTTCTATTTTGACCACGAAGTAGTTCAACTACTTTTTCCTATTCATTCGCTAAAAAGACTAAATCAGAACCTGAGTCATGCTTCCATGATTTGTAACCAGAGCTCTGAGTTCCTCAGATGAAATATATCCGTTCCCATCTTTATCCAGGAACTGGAACGCCTGTGCACCAAGTAGGGACAAATTAATACAGTGTAAATTTTCGCGCTTTTTCACGAAATTTTCGTATATTCTATTTTGCCAAAGTTTTCTCATTTTTTCGCGAGCGAACGAAGTACGAAAAAATGCGAAATTTTGAAACCCCATTTGAGACCCACAAAACTGTAGAGTAGGAAGACGAAGTTTAGACTCAATTAACATTAAACACAGCTATATGTAGATTTTACACCGACCTAATTCACGTAAGATTGTTTAAATGTCGTCTTTCTAAATATTTAGAAAGTTTTATGCTTAGATTAATTAAAATAACAGAAAGTACATTGTATCTTTTCAAGATTTAAGCCTGTTTCTTTCACGATAACCCTGAGGCAAAAGCCCAAAGGAGTTACATGTAGTCGGTGTAGAATACAGGGTGTCCCACGAAACATGACAATAGCAAGACGACTTGAAAGTCGTCTTTGGTATATGAATATATTTGTGACATTTAGTCTTCTATCTACTTTAATATGTATGATTCTTGAAACAATTATCACATAATTCTCCTGGCCCTGGCATTTCCAAAAAGTGGTCTGCGTTTTTTGTGCTTTCAATATTACCGGAGATATAAAGAGTTTGGTTCAGATTTCAATTTTGTTAAATAAAAGCCAAATTGTCGAAATCTGAACGAAATTTTTTATATGTCGGGCAATATTGAAAGCACAAAAATGGCAGACCACATTTTGGAAATGGCAGGACAAGGGAAATTTTATGATTATTATCTCTAGAAATTTACTTCTAAAATTAGGTTGACAAATAAACACAGCAAATTATATCAAAAATCAAGACGACATTCAAGTCCTCTTGCATACTGTCATGTTTCGTGGGAAACCCTGTAGGTTCTCTCTCAGTTTTGTTCTACGCCGACTACTCGTCTTTGGGCTTCTGCTTCTGTTATTTTAATTAATCCATGGTTTGATGACTCTTGATAGTAGGGTTGTTTAGATACAGTGGTCAGTGATTATATCAATACAATGAAGACGACTTTTCAATTTAAGTTTTGATTGTTACAAGCTTTTTTCAAATTACAAGCTTACAAGTAATCAAAGCTAGACGTTTTTTTAATTGACAGCTTCTCTTGACTTCAATGTTTTTGTGTATCCATACAGCTTGATATAAATCAAAATTTAAATCAAAAGTCGTCTTCATTGTATTGATATAATCGCCTAACACTGTATTTGAGCAAAAGAATATCAGGAATATCAAAATATCTGAGCGAGCAAGATGATTGTTTTATCTGAAAACCATTTTTAAACCGCTTCATATTATATGAAGTTTTTCTTTTTATGTGAAATATGAAATACTAAGCTTTCTTGGATGTTTACGCACCTTTCCTTGACAAAATTTTAGCTTTTAACTGTTTCTTTCAAATTCGGCATTGTTTCAACGTGCTCCAAGTCTTTTATAAATATTTTTTTGTGGATTTATGTCTAAATTGGCCGATTTTCTAAAATAATGAAAGTCTATATTTTTTGGACAAGATTTTTTTTCGATGAATCTTCTTAACCCCTCCGTGAGCTGTCATGAAATTTGGGCCCGATCGGTTCAGCCGTTTGACGTTCATTGAATTCAAACAAACAAACAAACAAACAAAAAATATATACAAATAGGGGGTGGGGGGTTGATTACCTCTAAAAGTTCATTGCTCATAGGATCGTCATCAAGTTCACTTTGATCAATCATAAAATCAAATTTAAACGTGCATTTAAGATGGAGTTACAGAAAGGATTTAAATTTTGAAATTTTTGTTTAAAAGTACAAACAGAATAAAATTTGTGATTTATTGCAAATAAAAATGCTATTTTGGAGTATATTTTGAAATACTTTTGGTAGTTCGATAATCCCTATTATCAACAAAATATCAGGGTTATTCTAACAGTTTGGCATTGTCGTTGCTGAAGCTTTGATTTATATCTAACATTTGTTTAATTAGTTAATTAGATAATTTTTAGAATTGGAAAAGCGGAGAAAAAAATAATTGTCATTTTTAATCATGTTCTAACTTTTTAAACCTGTTTTAAACAATAATTAAGCTTATGTTATAAAAAAGCATTGACATCAAATATTTTTTTTACAATTTGTTTTTTGTGATACACAAATGATTTTTAATTAATAATAATAAAATTGAATATTGATCAATTCATTCATCTAAAATTTATGTTATGTGATACACAAAATTTTCTAAATGATAATATAATCTAATAGCTATTAGAAATGTCGATATTAATTCTTCGTTTATTTGATACAAAATCATTTTTATGTGATTTAGCTTTTATATGATTTCCTGAGAAGGTCCATAAATTCTTGATTGTCGTATTCAATCACTCCATCCCCATTTGTGTCTGCAGCTGCAATCAAACGCTAGAAATATTCAATTCAGAAGAGAATTTTTAATGTCGTCTTTACTGGAACTGGAACAAATTTTAGTAAATCATCATTTTAACAGATTTTGGGTGAACTCTAATTTTAAAATTAGTTGTATAGTGATAACCAAAAATTATCAGAATGATTGTTATTAGCCAAATTTAAATAGGATTCAGTATAAATAAACCCTCTTTAATTTTTTGCGAACTCTCCCTTTAATATTAAGCTGTTAAATGTACTGTAAGTAACCTGGACATCAGAATCCCTTGGGTTGAATCCTAGCGACCTTAACGCCGGCTTTAATTCATCAGCTGATAACTTCCCGTCATTGTTTACATCAAACTTTCTACAAAAAAAAGAATAATTGACACAAACAGGACAGGATCAGCCATTCTAATTTTGTTGCATAAAAGGCCCCGGGTTTACTAGACGGGCTGGTACATATATAAATATTTAAGCAGTACTGGTTCGGATCATGCAGCGATAAGACCCACATGAGTTTCTGTTCTGCAGTTTCTGGAGTCTGGACTTAGCATTGTATAATCTGTGATTTTAAAGTCTCAGACTTTGGGAGTTAACTCTGTATACTTTTATACCGGGTGTCTCAGAAAAAAAATGTTTTTCATTTTTTTTCTTACTGCATGTCGTTTATTTTACTAAAAAAGTGCTTAAACAGTTTGAATGAAATAAACAAAAATTGAACCCTGTCTATAACTTAAAAGTTAGTTAAAAAATTCTATCTGAAGAATTATTTGTTGTTAATTTGTTGTCTATTAAGCTTCAAAGCCCCGCTTCCTTAAGTCTAGAGAGCACAAACTTTAAAGAGGACGAACTGAAAGTCTTAAATCTGGGAATCCTTAAAGGGAGAGACCGGCAATGTAACGTAGTTGAACCGAGAGTGCAGTATTATACAGAATTTTTGGATTCATTTGATACCAACGAGGTTATATAGTGTAGAGTGATGATGTACGCTAATCCTTTACTAATTGTATAGGCCATAAACTATACCGAGTGCGTATTGCATATTTGTTTATTATAAGTTGATTTTGGCCTAACCTATAGTATATCAATATTAGTAAACAGTTGTAAGTGTACAGTACAGCTAACTGAGCACACAGGTAGAGAACTATAATCATCCACCCTGTTCGATACCAATGAGAAGTTTTTACGGTGTAAAATTTCAGAGTAAAAAGCGCGAAAATCGTTCGTAAAAATTCATGGTCCGCGGAAGAAACGTTTTATTTTACAATTATTTAATAACCCGGATGATGTGGTTGTTTTGTAATTGCACTCCTGTTTGCCGAGTCCATTAGCGACTGATCCAAGGGTTCAACCATGTGTTTGTTATCTATTCTGAACAAATAGAAATTGCATTACGGTAACATCTATCTTTTTATCTATCTCATTATCCAATTAGAGTTATGAATCCTTAAATCGGCGTTATAACAGTAAATGGAAATATTCACTTCCCTGAAACTAAAGTGATTGGAGTTTAGGTTACATATCCTCAGGTTTTACCAATTAGTCTTCTTATTATGGGACACCCTGTATCTGTATTTTAATTATCGGATATTAATAAAACTACTTACTTGAAGTATTTTACAGGATCAACAAGCCAACTCCCCATTTTTACTAAGTTAAAAACTGTAAGAAATAAAATACAAAAGGTCTGGAGACATAATTTCACGTGACCTGCCATTGGTATATCCGACACACAACGGTACCCTTCAATAGTTTTTATAGAAACAATGAGGAAGACATTGATGTTTTTTCTACAAGTGTTAAATTCTGACAATTTTCCTCATTTTCTCTGCTGCATAAACACCAATTTTAGCAAGAAACTATAAATAACAGTTTTTAGCTGTAAAAATTAGGAAATCTCATTCATCGTTGATCAGACAGTGGTTAACAGGATACTGTTGTGAATAGGATATACTTAACTTTTCACATCAAGGGTTACTAAATCCTCAGTTCCTGTTGTTGTAAAGTTTGATACATTTAAAGGATTAATTTCTGGTATTCTTGCTAAATCTAGATTAGCTGATTGCCCAAAGTTTGATCCATTACTAAATATCAAATATTTCCTTGGCTTCGGAAGTTAAATGTTTCGATGTGAATGCAATGTTATCAACTTCCGGAGTTCATCATAAAATCATAATAATTATAATGATAACAATTTATTCTTAACCATAAACGGCTGGGTTGGGGGGATTTGGCTCCAGGAAGTAAATAAGGATTTTCTAGGGGGGGGGGTTTTTACATTTTTTTTTCCCCCCCCCCCCCCTCTCCTCCTCTAGACCATGATGTATATCAAATTATGGGTTTTAGCAGGGTTTGATTTCAATTTCCAAATCATTTCTGGGATTAACAAACTCTATCAAATAAAATGCTTCCTTTACCATCTTTCAGCTTTCAAAAACCAAATTTTTTAGTTTTTTTTTTACCTTTTCGGCCACTTTTTGAAAACAATTAAAGTATAATGATTTATTTTAGAAAACCTTTCACTTTTTTGCAACCCAAAGTAATAAACGCAGGAATTGCTTTATATTTTATTTATTCATAAGAAAAGATAGTTGTCGAATATTTTTTGACTGTTTTGGAAATTACAATACACACTACTTCAGCCAGAGGACAATGCAGTCACGACGTTGTGACCTAGAAGCTTCTCTAGTTCTGATTTTGAATAAATGTATATTTTTTCCAAGAAACGATTTATTTTGTATTTAAATATTAGCACATATGATATAATTGATAATAAACATAAAATATAAAACAAATTTTTCACAGATAACTAATTGTTTAAAGGATGAAAGACGAACAAATCTAAAAACTTGGATTTATAAATAATAATCTGTACACTGTACATAGATAATCTGTACACTGTACACTGTGCACTGTATAGACAAATACTATTGAAAAGAGTAAATTAAATTTAAAAGGACTATCAACATAGTTTCGAGTGACATTTCGTTTATAGAGTTGGTTGAATCGCGGATGCTTCACATCTGTAAATGAAGGGTCACTTAAAATAATATTTAAATAAATTTGGCTCAGAGAATGATTTCCATATATCTTAAGAATAAAATATTAGATAACCTTGAATATCTTTTTAAGCTTTTAAATAAGTGAAAATCAACATTTCATGCTGTTTACATTGGACACTTTTATGATATGCAATCGCACCCGCTTCAGTTGCAGAAATTAAGCGTGCTAATTTTTAATTGTATAAAATTTGAAGTTTTAAATTCTAAAGTGATGCACAGAAGAGAGAGAAGGTATGTTTTTACAGGTTATTAAAGTAGAATATCGCATTGACTAAATATTTAAATTTTCCGATACCTTCTTTCAATTTGGAATAAAAAAACTCCAATGTTTCAGAAGTATATTTCTTTGTTTCAAGTTTGCTTAAAATCCTCCCAGGTCTGCAGTACACTCAAGGAGTATGGAATATAATGGAGAAAGGATCGACCCGGCCCGCCCTACCATATGGTTAAACATGCTTGTTAACACAAATTCGAAATATAAGGAAGACGATTTTACCGACTCAAATGCCGTAGCCTATTCCCAAGACGTGTTTATCTATTTCCTCCATGAAGCACCCACATGTCAAACCCCGCTCATTTGTTCCCCCCTCACCCCTCTACACATCCCAGCCCTCAGTCAGAGTAGGAGAGTTGAGCTAGTAACAGCTCCGACACAGGGAGCCTCTTGACTCCTTCATGATGATGACGCAGATACTCAGCTAGCGGCAGGCGTGCTTATACCCGAGGGTTCCCAGTTCATCATGCATTCCAGAGACAACATAATCGCTCATAGCCAGCATGACAAGCCGCGATCTCTTCCTACTGATTTTGATAAGCCCTGTTGTCCCAGTTCCTGTTGATCTGCTCCACCAACATGAAGCACTACAACACTCCCATGAAGTGCCATCAAATATTCATCATTAATTCCTTTGTTAATTTCTAAATCAACCAATTTTAACTCCGTCTTATATGAAAATATTTCAAAACTTTCCTTTTTTAAATAAATGTTAGAAATATCCATGTTTAGATCTCTTTATTTTACTATAGTGACTTTTAAAGTCAACAATGCTATGCTTTGCAGACGGTACTGAAGTCAAACCTTATAGAAATTTAACGTATAGAAACAGCTACGTATAGCAACAAGGCGTATTTTCCGGGAGAACATTTTTTATATTTTTGAGAAATTAAATAATCAGTGTAAAGTAGATACAATTTTCATAAAATCCTATTATTTAAATGGTAAAACGTAATTTTATAAAATCATTTTTTATACTTTTAAGAAATTTTTTCTTCTAAAATAAAAATATTGCAATATAAACGTATTTTTTAATCATATAAAACATCAGTTTTATTTGAAATGGTATGGTTAAAAAACACATTTAAAAAATTAAAAGACGACCTTTCAACTTTTTTCAAATGGAGTACCATCTCCATTATATTCCATGCTCCTTGGTTTCTCCTTGAGTACATTACTTTTGAAAACAAAGATGAACTGTACAGTGTACATCCTCTTTTTGCTTTTGTAAATAACTTCAAATTTTAGGAGATAAGGAAGAAGATATGATTATTTGTAAGAGGGGGGGGGGGGATTTCCCCATCCCTGACACGAGATCACGTGGTCTAGAGATCTGAATCTGATTCTGAGTCTGAATCTGAATCTGAATCCTCGTCACTTGAGCTTTCTTCTGAATCCTCGCTCTCGTTTGCTCGTCTTGCCTCCTCCTCAGCATCACGCCGGGCCTAAAAAATATTATTTCTATTTTGTCGTTTGTGATCCTAAAATATTTCTTGTGTACCGTCCCGTGTTCTAGTCTGTATGTGTACTGTACAGCTTGATCTGAGCTGCTTAAAAATCGGGCAGGTACTTGATCATGAATCTGTGCTTAAAGTGGATCACGCTTACCCCCAACAGGATTCAGGTTTTAAAAAGGTGACCTTTTTTAAATATAATGGAAAATTTCTGATGAGAGAAAGGAATTGAGTAAAGAACAATCTGAAAATTCACAAAAATAAACAAAGTGTTTTGATTTATTAGACTTCCTTGTTAAACTGGGCCTTTTATATTTTGCTTATGCAATTTGTTTTTTTGATGTTGCCACGTAATATTTTTTAATACCTGAAAATATGTTTAACAAAAGTTTTGCGACTTTTTGTTGTCAGTTTTAACATTTTCTTAATTAATTTTTTTTCTTAATTTGACAAAAAAAGTTCAAGTTTTGTAAAGCAAAATCAGTTATTGTAGATGCAGTGTGGCATGAAATTGAAGTTTTATTCTAAAATTTATGTTTTGAACAACTGTTTAATTATTACCTTCATTTCTGTATACAATTCAAGCTCTTCTTTATTCAGTCCTCGGACAAATACTAAAAATAAATTGTTAAAAATACAAAAAATTATTTAAAAAGGTGAAAATAAAAAAGTGCAGTTTTTATCGTTTTGTATTTAAAGGGATAGTCAACGAAATTCTAGGTGACCCTTTAATTTAGGAATTTCATAAACGATCCAAATTACTGCAGTCCGCTTAATAAGCTTTAAGAACAATAATCTTAGAAAAGAAACCTTTAGATCATTTGTTATAAGCAATAACTTCAGTGCTTTTGTGATCGAAAATTACCGATCGAAAAGGGTTAATTTTCATTTAAAAACACCAACAAAAACTCGTCTTTTTCGTTCACTATCATAAATTGAAAGAGTACAATTTATAGAAAACCTTAATATTTTTTTTATGAATTTATATTGATACTTACTGGTGTACGCCTCAATGTACCGTTGTCTTTATATTAATACTTACTGGTGTACGCCTCAATGTACCGTTGTCTTTATATTGATACTTACTGGTGTACGCCTCAATGTACCACTGTCTTTATATTAATACTTACTGGTGTACGCCTCAATGTACCGTTGTCATTATATTAATACTTACTGGTGTACGCCTCAATGTACCGCTGTCTTTGTGGCTCTAACATTTTCAACCACTTCTTTTTCTCCTTTAAAAAAATGAATTACTTTTTCTCATATGCGTTGTAAATTCAAATTGGAAATTTGTTTCCGTTTTATTCTAAAAATAATTGAGGTAACTTTTCTTTTTCCATGTACTATGAAAAAGGACGAAATTTTTTCACGTGAAAATAATTATGAAATTTAATTTTCTCTTATTAATAAAAAATAACTTATTTTTAAACGCCTGAGTGTTTCTTATGAAAAACACGATTTGCAAAACGGGAAAAGACTTTCCATATGTTTTTCATAAATGGGCATCGGTACACAAAAATGTCCAAAAAACTAGATTGTCAAAAAATCACCTTCTTCTCTGTCTGCCGCCAAAGGTCTCTGGCATCAGCGATCAGCTTTGAGTCTGGAACCCGTTTATCTTTCTTCTTAGCTTTCTTTATTTGATCAGCGATGAACAGTTGCTTGTGAGACCTCAAGGAGATAACATTAAACCATGTTCAAATTAACTCCAACAAGCTTATAGGAATTAAATCTAGTGATCCCATCCCATAATCCAATCCAATCCAATCCAATCCAATCCAATCCAATCCAACTGTGAGTAAATTCACTTCGTATAAGAAATCAATTCAAGCCATATTTAGGTTTTCATTCTAAATGTTTTTGAATACAAAAATTAAAAAAAATCTGACCTTGCAGGTTCAACCGGCTCTCTGCGCAAAATTTCAGTTTTCAAAGACTCTAACCTGTCTTTCTCCTGTTTAACCTAAAATAAACGGATTTCAGTTTCTTGAAAAAAAAACACATTTTAAAATCTCTTGAATAAAAATTGTGTTCTAATCAACCTGAATCCAAGAATGCTGTTGTGGCTGTTGTTGTTGTTGATGTTGCTGAGGTTGAAACAGTTGTTGTTGAATATGCTGCTGCTGCTGCTGTTGGGGTTGCTGATGTTGTTGCTGATGTATTTGATGATGCTGTATTTGATGCTGATGCTGTGGCTGTTGTTGTTGTTGATGCTGTTGATAATGAATAGTTTGTGGAGCACTGACTGTAGGAAGCTGGAAGGCATAGCTGGGTGTCTGCAGACCGTAGCCAATGCTTGTGTTAGGATTAGGAATAGATATCTGAGGGATAAGCTGGGTGTGTCCTGACTGTGGTCCACCTACCACCTCAACCTTAGGAATAGAGTTAGGATAAGGTAAGCAGGTTGCTGTGGTAAATGTAGGGTAAGTTTCCAGGCAAGGAGGTACGTAAATACGTAAATTTTAAGGTAAGTAGGCAGATTTTTAAAGGATCTTTGGTTAGTAGGTAGTCTGGTTGCTTTTAAAGTTAGTTAGGTTGGAATTGAGGTCAAATAAATATCTCGATAAATTTGAGGGTAAGACATTATGTTTATGCCAGTTGCTATGATGGTAGCTTGGTTTATTTATAGTAGGTACATATAGTTATATAGGTAGATATATAGGTTGATAGGCAGTTTTGCTTGAATTGTGGGTTATAGATAGCTTGAGCTTGGTTTTATGTTGGTTCAAGAGTTGATTGGTAGGCAAATGAAATTGTAAACTTTGAGATAAGTTGGTCACGAGGAGTGGAGGGTAAAAAACTTGGTAGGAAGGTAAGTAAGAAAATCAAGATAGTTAAATAAGTAAGTTGGTTGGTAAATAATTGGTTACTGGTAACTAGATTAAATATCTGCTATATAGGTAGTTAGTGGAGTAGGTAGGTAAGTAAATGAGTAGTATGTAGATTGTAGATTTTAGCTAGATACATGGCTACCAGCAAGGCTACCAGGAAATAAATAATGCCAAATTCGTTAAAAGCTTTCATATTTTAGTATGGAAAAATATGGAGGAAATGAACAGGATTTATAAATTTTAAGACAAGAATGAAATGATTTTTTTAAAAATTACCTTAACAAACATGGGTTGGCTGGGTTGACCATGCTGCCCCGGATATGGTACTGTGATACTTGGCAGCTGAGTAGTTTGACCGACAGGCGCGCTCATCAGGGTCATTGTCTGGGGGGCAGGGGAAGCGGGCATACTTGACATCATGGATATATTGTGACCGTTCGGGGTCTTCTTAGAACTTTTTGAGGTCGTCCGATCCTTCTCAGCCTGCAAACAGAAAACATGCAAATATTTTATAAAAAACATTTGGACACGAGAATCTAATTTGAAATGAAATTATATAACTTCAAGCCTTTTTATAATTTAATTGCAGTTACTTAATTTTTAATATTGCGTACAGTCCCTTTAACAGCTGATCTTTACCTTTTGCTCCTCCAGAGTGAGGGCCTCGTACCACTCGTTGTACTCTGTCTTGTAGCGACCCATCGCGTCGTTGACCTGGGCCTGATAGGTTTCCTTCTCAGCTTCAGATACCTGCAATATTTAGGTTGGTTTCTTAAAGTGAGCCCAGTCAAACAGTAGAATAGGAAGACGACTTTTAGAATAAAGTTCAATTTACATAAAGCACAGCAATTATGCAGTGTACACAGAGTTGATAAGTTGGGCTTCAAAATACTGATAAACATTTTGTTTTATAACATCATCATAACAAAACATTTTGTTTTATAACATCATCATAAGAAAACATTTTGTTTTATAACATCATCATAAGAAAACATTTTGTTTTATAACATCATCATAAGAAAACATTTTGTTTTATAACATCATCATAACAAAACATTGCCTAAATGTCGTCTTGCTACTCCACAAAGATATAATGTATCAGATCTAAAACTGTAACTCCGCGATGTAAAAATGTATGAGAATACAAAGATGAGATAGGTTCTGAGAAAATCAAAATATCTTTCCTGCAGTTTTCATTTATATAATATTGTAATCTAATTAGTAACGATAAGTATATGATCGTAAAAACAGAGAACTTGCAGAAATCAGATGGATATCTCATTATCTCATGCATTCGTGATCAGAAAGCTTTTAAGGGTATCCTTGTGAATGGGACAATGAACATGTCTATATTAAATGGAAGACAACTTTAAATTATGTCAACACTCCTTTAAAGCATTCAAGAATATATAGACATGGACAATTCAATGCAGAGAAAAATTGCTGAAAATATTAAAACCAAATCATACAGTTTCTGAGTTTACCTTTTTCCATGCTTCTGATATATGTGACATCCTCTCCTTACTCGGAAACTGTTTAATAGACTCAGTATTCAACATCTCTTTGCTATACAATAAAAATAAATAAATTTTAATATTTAATTTTTTCATGCATTGAAGACCAGAAGCGTTGGGAAAACCAATATTTTTTAGCATTTTTTGTGAACAACAAAAGGCCTAAATAATTCTCTGTGTTCAGTTAAATTACAAAATTCAATCCTTTAAAAAGTTTGTTTCGTCTTTTTTAATTTTTAATTTTTGTTTAAAAATGTTGAATACCAATCATTGGAAAGTTTATAAGTCGTTAAGCTACTTTCATGTTTTATTTCTCTCTCTCAACTTCTCATCAAGAATTTGTTCAAAAGGGGGCTTTGTCGTTGTGACATTGCCCCCCCCCTGGCCTACCTGAAAAGTGAGTATGCAGAGCTTGGAGGTTTCTCTGGTCGACCCATATGTTTGTCGAGGATTTTCTGTTCCTCCTGATCAAATCAGAACATTTTAAAAGTCGTATTATAAAAATAATTTTTTAATTTAATTCAAATAAAAAAACTTTAAAACTGTAATAGAACTATAGAAATATATAACTGTACAAATCTGTACAACTGTACAGCTGTACAACTGTACAGTTGTACAATGGTACAGCTGTATCATTTTATAAAAAACTACCTGGGTCAAGAATGATTTTACCGAAGGTGGATTAAACTCAGGATGTTTGGACTGAAATATAAAAAATTGCAAAATGTAAAAAAATAACAATGACAATGAAAATTGTAAAGATGATAATGATTATTATGGAGACAGTAAGGAAAATAATGAAAATAATAAAAATAATAATAATAATAATAATGAAAAAAAAGAAAAAATAATAAAAATAACTAATGATAATGATAATAATAATAATAATAATAATAATAATAATAATAATAATAATAATAATAATAATGAAAAAAAAGAAAAAATAATAAAAATAACAATAATGATAATGATAATAATAAAAATAATAATAACAACATTCATAATAAAAAGGGGTATTTGATGAACCCATATATGCGGCTTTGATTTTTTGTTTCGATTATCTAAAATGAAAAATATGAAGATCTTATTTAAATACCTTGAAGTCCACGACCTTCTCCTCGTAGTCCCTGAACTCCTTCATGGCTTTCCTAATCCACTTCGCCTTCTTTTTTACCTTCATATCCCTCCACTCCTGAATATTTTTAAACATCTTGAAATACTATTTCTTGATATTTGGAGAGAAACCCTCTAAAAATTATAATTAAAAATGGTTCAAAATAATGATTACAGAATTACAAATGCGCCACAAATAATAATAAGAAAACCTTCATAAAATAATTATCAAAATTCTCCAATAAATAATCAATGAATCAACCTGTCTTGCTCTCTCCAGCTGAATGCCACGTTCTGTTGTCTGTTCATTAAGTCCTTCCATTTGTTGTTGGAAAAACAGGTCAAAGGGTTTTCCTGATAAGAGAAATTTAAAAAGAAACAGAAAATTTAACATGAATAGCAAAATATTCAGAATAAGACGATTTAACTACAATCGTCGTGACGGGTTGAATTGTAGGCATGACAGATAGTCTGCCATGGGGTCGTACTGGGTTCAAATATAAAGCGTGTATGGAACGGTAATTCGGGTTCAGTTCAGCTTCTTTATTCATAGGCTAAGCTGGGTATCCAGCAAAAATTCCCATTGACGATTTCTAACCTGGTTTTTGTGGAGCCCCAGGTAGAAGAATGACCGGCCGCTCAGGTTCAGCGGCTCGAACTAGATTCGCCTGAAAACATGATGTTGTAAGATTATTCAATGGGACCCATGCAACTAAAGAAAAGGAAAACGACATTTAATCGATCATATGTGAATGTTGTAAAGCACACTATACAGTATACACAGACAATAGCATGACTAACAATCGTCTTCCTATTCCACGAATTTATGGGTCCCACTGCATCTCACAATCAACGATATTTTGAAGATGATTATCGTTTATGAAGGATCTCTTAACATTGTTTACTATAAAAAATCGTTTGGAAAAATTCCAAATGAAATGAAAATAAACGAAAAGTAAACAAATTTATTGCTAAGTTTGGAATAAACAGCTGATTGGCACGTGTGAACTGTGAATGTGAATTTCAATGAAGTAATAAAATTCCTCAATTACCCCCCACCCTGCTCACATTGAAAAATTAGTTCCATTTACCTTATATGCGGCAGATTTTGCGGCTTTTTCAGTCTTCACAGGTCTACAAAAATTATGTACATTATTGATGAGAAAAAACAAAGTTTTCTAAAGATTCCATAAAATCTGAAAAGTTTTACATGGTTGAAAGAAGTTTGTTTCTATTCAAATATAAAACCTTGATTACTAATTTGTTATTCTAACTATAGGTTTCCCATTGGGCAATAGTTTGTTCATGTTCTTTCAGAGTTTTAAAATTTAAGTTGGTATGGTGGGATTCAATAAACATGAGAGTTAAGGGAGTAATTATTATTCGTATTTTATATCATGTAATTTATAATGCATCGTCTGGATCCAAATAAGGTTTTAAAATGGGTTTATCTATGTTGCGTCTTTTAAATTGACGGCGATTTTTATCATGAATAGAATACATTTTTTTAAGAGAAATTAAAACCTTATTAAATTCTTTCTCAATTTTGAAATTGTAAAAATTGCAGACAACATCTAAAAATCATAAAATTTGGATTTTACAATATGAATTGTTATTTTTGGATTAAACACAATAATCGTATTGACGAAAGTCGTCACTTAATTCCTATGTTTATTGGTCCACCCTGTATTAATCTAATTTTACCTCATGTCGGGGTAGCTGGTGTAAAATTGTTCAAGACGTTCCTCGTATTCTTTCCTCATATCATCACATCTATTTATACATTCAAAATTAATAATAATAATTATTGAAAATTTGATTTGAGTTTTGAACAGTTATGTTAAACAGACAGAAAATGCATTTTCCTACAGTGATCGGCGTTTATATCAACAACACAATGAACACCACTTTTCTTTTAAAGTTTTGATTAAGCTTCAAATTTTAAGTTTCCATGTTTATGTTTATGCATGCTGTTAAAAATAATCCTTCAAATTTTTTTTTAAAATCTACTTCAACAGATTTTTCACAAAGGTTTCCACTAGAAATAATCTAGCCTGTTATATATATTATATATATATTTAATATATTTAATATATATATTTTATATATACCAGAAAACAAATGTTTATCTTATAATATATATTATATATATTTTATATATATTATATATATTTTATATATACCAGAAAACAAATGTTTATCTTCCGAATTGAAAAAGCTGGACCAAGCAGAGCTGAACCCCAAAAAGTGAGATTTCCTCAAAATTGGTCAAAATTTACGCCTTTAATCTGGCTTCTTTTGAACAAATTCATTTTTAAGTTGATTTTTGAAGATTCGGCCTTTTTTTATCGACTGCAAATACTTGAAGCTAAATGATTTCGTTTGTAATCACAGATTTAGATTTCTCAAATCATGTTTCACCTTTTAAAAGCGTGTTGGCAGAATTGAAAATAAGAAATTGTAAAAATAAATGAAGAACGCACCTGTTTTTGTATTTGGCTTTACTTTTCTCTGATAATTTCTGGTATTCGTCAGAACAGATCTTTGCAACTTCAGGCATTGACATATGCGGGTTCTCTTTCTAAATACATTTCATACTTCAGGGTGTGCTACAAAACATGGATATTGATAAACATTGTTTAATAACCATTTATTTCAGGATGTCTGTTATGATCCTAAAATATTTCATATTTCAGGATGTCTGTTATGATCCTAAAATATTTCATATTTCAGGATGTCTGTTATGATCCTTAAATATTTCATATTTCAGGATGTCTGTTATGATTCTTAAATATTTCATATTTAAGGAAGCTGTTATGATCCTAAAATATTTCATATTTATCTCTGTTGATTGTTGAAAAAAGCTTGTTATGAATTAATATTAACAAAAAAGTAGTCATCATTCTATATTGATTTAAATGCCGACAACTCTATGGTATTTCACTATAGAATGTGAACAAAATGGTTGAAATAATACACAAAACGACATAAAAGTCTTTTAATAACAATAACAATGATTATTGTGTTAAATATTCTGCACATTATGATAAAAATGCTAAAACTTTGTTAAAGAACACTTCACACTGTGATAAAATTATGAATAATATGCTTTAAATACTTCACATTGTGATAAAATTATAAATATTATGCGTTAAATACTTCACATTTTGATAAAAATTATAAATATAATGTTAAAACTAAAACATAACGAAAAAAACTAAGAATATGTAAAAATACGGCACCTTTGATTTGTAAAAATTAGTCCAAGGTTGAGAGAGCCATTGCCGCGCATCCGGAATCATTTCCGACAAGATCCGGAACCGTCGGATTCGGGCCTGATAAAAAATATTTACATTTTCTAAATAAAAATACTTTCTCTAAAACTGAACAATTAAGGAAATAAATTTTTAACATCAGTTTATAGCTTATTTAAAATCATAGAAGCCATAATTAAACGGAAATTGCGTGATGTTTTTTCAATTTCATTCTTTAATTTTCCTTTTTGGGGATTTCAGCTAGATTTCATTCAATCCTTAGGTGGGGTTTAATCGATACACTTTTTCATAATAATTTCCTTCACGATTAAAACTTTTAATTAAATTTCAAACATTTAAATTTTTTTAATTTAAAGTGATGTCAAAAAATATAACCTGAATATGCTCCCAATAGCGTTTACAATCCTCTGCAGTATGATTCTTAAACTTTATCTGTTCCCAATCCAACTTACGAGCCCTAGATAGATAGATAGATAACTTTTTCTGTTCCCAATCCAACTTACGAGCTCTTGATTAGATAAGTCGATAAATAGTTTTTTTCTGCTTTGTTACAGTGAAACCCTTCATAACGAATACATCGAAAGAATTCATCAAATGTCGTATTCTTCACTTTCTGATAATTGAATGTTGCAGATATTTAGTTTTTTAATTGAACGATTATATGGAACTCTTTAAAACTGTTTCCGCATATTCATAGCTATTTATTTATTTTCGCAAATACTGAAATTTACGTAATATAGTATAAAACTCAATGAAAAATTGTCAAGACGACATTTAATAAATTCTTCCGATGTATTCGTTATTAAGGGGTTCACTGTATTTCAATAAGAACATGTTTACTTTTGTTCATTTTAATTGCCAGCCAGGGTCTCTCGAAACAATTTTCGAAACAAAAAATGTCCTTGTATGAAAAAGATTGGAAAGGGTATTGAAGAAAATAGGAAGTAGATATGAAGGGTGGAGGAATAGTGAGAAAGAAGAAGAAAAGAACATTGAGGAATTCTTTATATCTTTCATATAATCTGGTGACACCGTTGTTTTCAAATAGAAAACTTAAGATTTATTGTTGATGTTGGTCCAAACAAAACTTTAAAGGAAAAACCAGATATTATTTCAACATTTTTTTGAATATACATAAAAAAAGGGATCAGGATTTTATATCCCCTTTAGTCATTTAAGCAAGTTTTTGTTGGCCAATCCTTCCATTTGGTGTGAAACTATGTCGAATATTTGAAAATCTTTCTTGTTAGCTTGAGCTAACCAATATTTCTTTAAAAACCCAAAAAATCGTTTACATCTATCTGACCCCGCCCCCTAGATTTTACTTCTGGACTTTCTGAAATCCAAGGTGTATAAGTAGTCCTATAAACAGATCTCTATGAAGAGAAACCTTAAAAGATTGGTTGCAGACATCCCGGCCCCATGATTTGGACAGCTTTGATGAACTTTTGATGATGAATTTTGGTTTAAGTGACAGTATAATAACCATCAAAATAAATAAAAAAAATCACAAAGAAAAAAGTGTAAAAACTTTTTAAAAACCTAAAATTTCCAATTTTCCGCTTTTAAATATCCGTAATAAATGTTGATTTCTGAGGTTTCGAACGGACAATTTGCGAATCGTGCTTTACACTTCTAAACTGCTAAATGTCCACGTAGAATTTCGTTGACGGTCCCTTTAATGTTGAATCTTTACCTTGAATCATACTTGACATGATCGTCCCTGGGCAGTTGGTGTTCTATTCGGTCCAGGAGGACCTGGAGTTCGTCCTTGGTTGGTAGGACGAGTAGGACAGGGTCATCGTCATCATATTCAGTTGAACTCTCAAGCTTCAACCCAACATCTAGAGGAGGATACAAATATAATCTTAACAAAGCAAGTGCACTCTAAACTATTAGAAATAATGTTGTGACACAATTGACATTTTTACATTTCTTGTTTTCCGTTTTCCATCCTTAATCCTAGGCATCCTATGTTCTTTATTTTTTGTTGGAACTCCCCGGTAAGCACCAATTACCGGCTTCAGAACTATTGGGACATAAATGTCCAGGGTGCGTGGAATTGTTTGAGTATTTTCCACAGATGACAACCTGTAATCTGGATTGTGCGGGGCCCGGGCAACTATAGCTATCCTCATCATGCTCCTACCTAGAGTTCTGAAGATCACCACCCAAGAAAGTAAGTAAATGGAGTGCGCAAATGTTTGAAAATAAATTTATTTTTTCTGACAAATTGTTTTTAGATAAAAAATATAAATCCCACATAATACTAATTCCAAGCGGATATGGCAAAAATCCTTTTGAAATGTCATACTTGTGATGAAATATTGGAATATAGCAAATTACAAGTTTAGAAGAGCAGATGGGAGAGATTACTCGCCTTTAATGCATATTTCTAATCCCTAAATTTTTTCAAATTTAAGCAATTGACTACTTTACTTTGCAGAATTAAAATGAAATATTTTTGTGGTACATCTCAGTCATCGCCCTAAGAAAGGTATAAAAATCCAGGAAATCTTATTGATTTGAGGTTCAACAGTACAAAGAAGCAAAAAGGTAAAATATTATTTTCTAAAAATAAAATAAAGATAAAAACCTGAATTATTTAAATCAACAATTCTTTTCCTTTTCACTACAGAGGATCCTTTCCCTGTATCCACCTTCCTTTTCTTTCCCATTCTGATATCTGGAGAAATAGTTTATAGAGTTTATATATAGTATCCCTGTATCCATACCATGTATAATGAATAACCCTGTCTCAATAGAATTAGTTTAGTTTAGTGGAGAGTGAATCCCATGTGAAATGACTAACCCTGTCTCCAATCCCATGTGAAATGACTAACCCTGTCTCCAATCACATGTTGAATGACTAACCCTGTCTCCAATCACATGTTAAATGACTAACCTTGCATCCAATCCCATGTGAAATGACTAACCCTGTCTCCAATCACATGTTGAATGACTAACCCTGACTCCAATCCTATTTATAATAACTAACCTTGCATCCAATCCCATGTTAAATGACTAACCCTTTATCCAATCCCATGTTAAATGACTAACCTTGCATCCAATCCCATGTTAAATGACTAACCCTGTATCCAATACCATGTTAAATGACTAACCCTGTATCCAATCCCATGTTAAATGACTAACTCTGTATCCAATCCCATGTTAAATGACTAACCCTGTATCAAATTCCATGTTAAATGACTAACCCTGTATCAAATCCCATGTGAAATGACTAACCCTTTATTTAATCCCATGTTAAATGACTAACCCTGTATCCAATCCCATGTTAAATGACTAACCATGTATCAAATCCCATATTTATTAACTAACCATGTCTCCCCATGTTAATTAACTATACCTGTCTCCAATCTCATGTTTATCAACTAACCCTGTCTTCGGTACCATGTTTATTGACTAACCCTGAATCCAATCCTATGTTTATTAACAACCCTGTCTCCGATAAATATCGTGTGTTTGGACCCGTAACTCACGGTTAAATTATAAACACTCGGGATACTCAATATCACAGGATATCATCTGACAATTCTCTGACTCTTTTCTCGGGAATCCATTATTTACAATTTATTCACATATTTAAACCAAAACACATTCCATTTTCACTGTAAATTGCTTTTCACATAACAATAAATGTTTTAAATGTAACTTTTCAGAGAATAAATATGATTCATTGAAGTAAAACTACAGAATTTATCAGTGTGTGGTGTAGAGGTGCAGTATATCCCGGTGCCTACTAGCTCCCGGTGTGTTGTAGCCTGCCACCCCAGTCGATATATCCAGGTCTCCCCGCACCAACCCAACAGTCAGCGCCCTCACATCTCATATCCCGGATTTTTGTCCCCGGCCAGCCCACTGAGAGTCCCCGGACCGGACCGTCTAATCCGAGCGAGGTTACCGGGCAGGCCCGACTGGGTGCGTGGTGATAGTCGGATATGGAGCTAGCCTTACTGGAATTTACTCCGGGATAATAGACCGATCCTAGCCTGACACAGGCTGGACCTGCACTCCAACCCTAGGCAAGATCACGCCAACGGTCAAATTCTAATGCGCCGAGATTTGAATTTCTCAGGAGTCTGGACAGAGAAATGTGTCCGTCAAATCTTGATAAATGGTTAGAACTAAAACACTGAATTGTCAGCTCTATCAGGTTACAGTATGGAATTGGATTTAGAAACATGGATGCATGTATGATTAACTCTCTGGTCTCCAGTTATACTATTATAAGTAGAAAATCTCTATTTTTAATCATCCTTCTCTTATACTAAACGTATACGTATTGATTTTCCATTGAGTATTATTTGATTAACGTTATCATGTGAGGTTTCAACTAAATCTACGAATTACAAGAATTACAACATATCGAGGAACATACGAAAAACTAAAAGTATTGATAGAGCTATAGATTAAAAAAGATAATATGCGAATAAAAGAAATGATTTATTTGAACTGTTCCTATTATTCTAGTGTTAAACATTTTAAAATCCCATTATTTTTGAACAAAATACGAGTTTTCAACAAATAACCCTTTTCACAAAATTCACTTTTCAGTTTAATCGAATCTCTGTTGCAAAAAAAACACAAATGATAAACAAATCTAAAATTCGGTAATGGACCAAACCTCTGTAGAATAAAAAAGTAGATGTTTCTTCCACGTTTATTGAAAATATATTTCCGTCTGGACTCTGGGTTGACCCTCGTCAGTTCTAACGATTTGTTAAAAACCACAAGAAAATAAACAAACAAAAAAGATAATTATAAAAAAAAATAATTTGGACTGTCAATCATTTGTTTATGTATGTATAGGTGTATATTTGATCATCTGCTGAGTCTATTGTAGTTAGGGTTCTTAATCGTTTTTGTAAACGATCGTTAAACGATTGTTTTTTGTTTCGTTTTCTAAAACGATCATTTCGTTTTCGGAAAAAACGACCTATTTTAAAAACGACCCACTCGTTTTGAACTTTTAGAAAACGAATAGCGATCGTTTTTGAAAACGATCGTTTTTATTAAAACGATTTGTGACCGTTTTTTATACGATTGTTTTTTAAAAAAACGATCGTTTTTGAAAAAAACATTTATTGGCAATTATGTTAACGATCGTTAACGAAGGGTTGTCGTTAACGATCGTTAACGAAACGACGAACTTTATCAAAATGGTCGTTTTAGGAAAAAATTACATGCAACTTTATTGGATGTCGTCTTACATGAAGTTTAACAGTTGGGGAGTTAAAACTCCTTGATATTTTATCAAAAACTACTTAATGATAAGTAATGATGCCCTTCAGATCGGTTTCCTCTCTTCGTTAACGATCGTTAACGAAGGGGTCGTCGTTAACGATCGTTAACGAAACGACGAATTATATAAAAACGATCGATTTGAAAAACGATCGTTTTAAAAACTACCATTTTTAAAAACGAAATTTAAAAAAAAACTATCGTTTTTAAAAACGATCGTTTCGTTTTCGATTTTTCGTCTTAGTTTTTATAACGAAACGATCGTTTTTCTGAAAAATGAAAACGTTAACATTCCTAATTGTAGTATATCAAATAAACGCGGAAACGGCTGAACCAAAAAAGCTAAAATTTGTTGTAATCTGGTCCAAATCTAAAACTTGTAATTCCACGTTTTAATATAATTATTATTAAAACAGAGAAATCCGGGAAATGTTTTACTGTAAATGCCACACATTTCCAAGGAGGGGGGTTCAGGCCATGGTAGCTAGGGCCGGGGCACGTGCCCCCCTTTTAACCGGCCGAAGGAAGGCACTTTTCTGAGACAAAAAAAATTAAAAGAAGGAAAAAAAGGGAGAAAATTGGCTTAACATCTTTTTTTGTTACCAATATTATATGTAAAGAACTTTTTTTTCTTAAAAATTGAGAGCTTTCTGAAATAAATAATTTGGGAATTTTTATTTCTATCCGTCTTGTGAAATGATATATTTTTTGTACTTTGAGAAGTATCCTTTTCTCTTCATTTATTAGATAAATGATTCTAATGAACCATCGTACTGAATAAAGTAATATGGAGATAAATTTATATTAAATACAAAATCTTGCCAGGTTTAGGAGAAGCTGTTTGTACTCATCCTCAAGCTTGCAGAGTTTTTTAGAATTTGAGTTTAAATTCGGACTCAGTCTAATTATTCATCTTAATAAACTATTATGTGTTAAAAATTTAAAAATCTAATTTTTTAGTCTACATTCATTAATTTTTACCCTTATTGAGTTTTTCAAGTAAAAATTTTTTTCGCAAAAATAACTTTTGTGCCCCCCCCCCCCTTAAGAAATTCCTAGCTACGGGCCTGGGCTGGTGGAACCCACACACCTCCCATTTTAAAACTATTTTCTTGAGATTTTGCATTAAGGTTCAATTAGTGATTAACTCTAGGAATGTATTTTCAAAAAGTTTCCCAGCTTTGTTTGAGAGCCTGAATTTTGGTGGGAATTTTTTCCTTCTCTTGTTTTGGGGGTAAATTAGTTCCAAATCTAACACTGAGAAATGGGACGAGTGTTAGATTTAAGACTAAATGCCCGTTATGCTTCTCTCCATTATAATTTTTTCATATGAAAATTGAATTTGCGTTCCTATCCTTATTTTTAAAAGTTTTTTTCTGTCCAAACTTTAAATCAAGATGATATCATAATTGTAATTGACTTCTGGACTTAAAATAAAATTGCTCCAAACAATTTTTTCGTAATTTTTTTTTGTTAAAAACTTTTGCGTATCAATTTTTTAACAATGTTTTTTTGTTTTCCTTTTTGTAAAATAAAATGGTACGAGGCAACATTAATATAATTTAATTTCAAATGTTCATCAATCATCTTTTTCTCCTTTCTCCATCTGCGCGTCCGCAGTTTCTCTTTTTCTTGCCTCCCTTTGTCCGTCTATTTGTGGCGCTGCTTTTAAAGGAATATTTACAAGTCGCTGTCTTTGAGCCATTTTAGGACAGTGCAGGATCACCATTATATACAGGGTGTCCCAAAAAACATGGGAATTCAGTGACGAATTCGATATCGCCTTTGTTATGAATTAGCATCGTAATACCTAATTTTAAAAGCCTAAATATTATTATGTCTGCTAGAGTTTATTTTATGAAAAGGGTAAAAGACTGTTAAAATGTGTCTTTAATGTCTCCGCAAGATGAACAGTGATGACGGACAAGTTTACTCTATTGTATACTGCAATTTTCTTGTTTTACTAAGTACAACCGTATTGCAGTCAAAACATAAACAAACAAAATGTGAACATAACATACAAAACTCTTACTGATTATTTAAAGAATTATTTAAGAATTATTTAAAAAGACGATATCGAATTCGCCACTGAATTCCCATGTTTATTGGGACACCCTGTAGATGTACCCTCTCCGTTTTTTTGGTTTGCTTTATTGTAATTAAAACAAGGCAAAACAGTATATTTCTGTAAAAATGCGACAAATGAAAAAATTAATTTTCCCACCATCAATGACAAAATCAGTAAAAATATTGTCCTAAAACAATTTTTCCCCTTGATCACAATTTTTCAATATTTGTATAAATTAGATTTTCCTTAAACCTACAGCACATAGATTTAGCCTGCTTATAAAAAGTCTCATTAATTTTTAAGACAGTGCAGGGTCGACTTTGAAGTGTCGGAACGCCTTGAGGTTTGATTTATTATAACTCACTTATGCTTTTCTGCTGGCTTGTAGCCCTTTACATATACATTTTAGCACTAAAAAGCACTTGTTGCTAGCTTTGGTAGAAGTAACAATACATCACCAATTAATTTAAAATTTATATGTATCTTTTTAAAATTCATGTCAATATTTGCACAATCACTATGTTTGGTGTATTTTTAATATTTCCTGCTCAAACCCTTTTTTTTGTCATTTATCTATAGATTTTATAAACAAATTATTAACTTGCTTTTTGGAACAATTTTATACTTTGCATTATCATTAACTAATTACATTTAATGTATAGGTCTGCTCCGATTGCCACATAAAGCTGCGAAGGGGGTATAGGCTGAAACTTTTAAGAGTTCTATCCGATGTTCCTGTCTCGAGAAATTGACATAAAACTGTGTCAAAATTATACCAAAACTCATATATATGCTATTTGGTATATAGGATACAGACAGAGGCACGTAGCAGCTACACTGCACTGCCATTGGTTACAGTTTTGATCACGTGATACAGATGTATCAATTGAATTATAATTTTTATCTATTAAAAATGAAAATTTATCAAATTAAATTAAAATAGGAGCAAACCTGAGGTTTTCAGGCTCCTTTGGGTTATCGTCGTTTTCAGATTGGTTGCATATTTGCTCGATTTGATTTGTTAAAAACATAGAATCTCACATAATGAGTTTTGGTATAATTTTGACACAGATTTATATCAATTCCTCCAGACGGGAACCAAGTTATAGGTCTCGATCAACTCCTGAAATGCTCAGGTTTCAGTCCAAACCCCTTTATTTTTTCCTTTACAGTCCATTTAAAGTAGAACATATTTACCTCAAATTAATTACTTACTAAATTCACAAGTTTATAAATTAGAGAAATACGAAAACCTTTCAGTGGAAATAAGCAATTTCCGATAGAAAAGAAGGATCTCGTCAGTTTGACCAGACAAAGGGTAAAATTTATTCAGATTTGTCAGTTTTTTTAAGGTGATTTCCATAGTTGAGGCAATTTTTAAAAATTCTACCGACCATAAACTAGAAACATTCAGTCTGATCGGGTCAGTTGTTAGTCAGACAAACAAAACAAAAACAGACAAGCAGAACGACTGAAGAAATCAACTGTTTATACTAACATATACATTTATTTCTTCATAAAAATTCAAAATATATAAACATAAATAAAAAAGGAATTTTCTAATATTTTCACCAAATTACATCACAACAGAATTTTCACTCAAAAAAAGAATATCCAAAATTCTAAAAATATAAATCCGTAAAAAATAATAAAAAACTAAAAATTATATAGCAAAACAAATTAAATATTGGCCTATATAGTCTTTAGACTAAATAAATTGTTCAAAATTTTAATTGACAGAAGGGGTTTCTGTTCCAACCCATACAGTAAAAATTAACTAACAAAAAACGCGCAAGTTTTTAAAAATACTGAAATTATGTTCCCCATTTTCTGCTAGAGTCTTTCTTAAACTGATTATCCAATGGTTCTTTTATAGGCAGTTTGGTACAGGGTATATAGAGGGGGGGGTGGGGGGCGGTGATGTAGTGGTTACACATTTTTCTAAATCTTTTGGACAATCATTTTGTATATCCCTAATTTTAATAACAAGATCCTCACCATGTACCTTATCTAAAATTATCATTGATCATCTTGTTAAGAAGGTTATATGATCACATGGAACACAAACTTCAAAATTATCCCTGGTTACAAAATTTTACAACAATCCCACGAAACAAAAGTTTAGAAAATAACTTCATTTTGAAGTCCATACTGTACATACAGTTAAAGATGAAAGCATGTTCTGTAAACTGTACTGTACAATAAACACTCAAGCGTTGTTTCCAATCTGATAATTGATCAGTGACTACACAGTACCAAAAGCTTAGTGATCATATTGTGATTTCATTTAAATAATTAGCCAGCACAAGTGTGGAATAAAATTCAAATTTTGCGGATCAATTTATATTGTTATTTAATACTAAACCTTCAGACCAATATTCTGATAATTGATCACGATCACTCTAAAAATGTAAATGCTTTGGAGATAAATTTATCAGGGAACAAATGGTACATTATATAAAGATTTGTTATCGTTCACAATTAATCATTTATCAAATATCACACTGTCTTTTGAAATTGATCGCACACCACACTCTATAGACTTCAATTGATCGTGAATCAAACTTCATATTCTTAAATTGATCACACTTCATATTCTTGAATTGATGAATTAGATTTGATTTCTTTCTTCTCTAGTAGGTTTCTCGTCCCCAACTTCAGTAAATTCATGTAATCCTGGAAAAAATATAAAGAACTACAAATGTCAAAAATTCAAATTTTTCCTTTATTTACTGGGTAGGTAAAAGCTGCTTAACAAACATTCTTCTTACTAATACTGATTACTGAAATCTCATTAAATGAAATGGAGAGGTCGTTGAACTGCCTGCAGCCGGCTCAAATCCTGAATCACCGATCCAAATCCTCATGGTTCTCTAACTTAAACCCGGCGGAAGGATGTTCAGAGGCCTAGCTCAATTTCAGTCCCCCTGGTACAAACCCTGGCCTTATCAACATGAGGAATATATCGCCTTTTTTATCTGTAATTTTAAAATTATGACATTTTTTTTACTTTCGCATAAATCTGCAAGTAACTTTTAAAGAAACTAGGCTTTTAGGGCACTTCACACTCATTTTCTATTTCAACTATTAACTGTGGCTTTATCTGTAAGCATCTTCTCTGTTTACAATATAAAGCAAACAAAAAAGTTTTGGGATTTCATAATATATTTTTTCGCGAAGCTTCAAATTTTTTAAAAAATCTAAAACTTTTGGATACACAATTTTGTAATTTTGAGCATCCATAAACCTTCCTTGGGGTCATGTGAGGTCCCACAAAAAATTTGGGCCCGATCAGTTCAGACGTTTTGAGTTTCATTGGATACAGACAAACAGACAGACAAGCAAAGAAGATATAAATATAAAGATAAAGGGATGAAATTTGTAAGCCTCCCCATTTTGAGAGATCCAGACCGCCCAAGGGGTTAAGAAAAAGAAAAAGAAAAAAGGTACCGTTATATGCTCCTAATAACTTAAAATTATGTGAGCACTGAACAGTCCCTTTAAGCTAAGCGCTATCCCATAAAAAACTTTTCCCTCTGGTCCCACCTTTGTGTGAAAGAATTTAAGTAGGATCGGGTGAGCGCACTCAAACTAGGAATGAAACTAACCTGGTCTAAATAACTATCTTGCAAAGGATTCCGGTCAAACTTCTCTTCACAACTTGGGTCGTTCTCACAGATCTCACGCCGCACACGTGCAGACTTGAGGTCACGACCTCCGGCAGATTTGAGGTCGCGACCGTCGATGGACTTGTTTGGAATGGTTACAGGACTTTTCAACTTTTTAGGAATATCTATTTCTTCGGTTGGTTTCTTTTCAGACTGTTGTTGATGTTGAACCACAGATTGTTGTTTAATTTCAGGATGTTGTTGAATCACAGGTTGTTCTTGAACAACAGGTTGTTGTTGAAAAGTAGGTTGTTGTTGAACATCAGGCTGTTGGTAAATAGCTTGTTGCTGTTGTTGTTGAACAACGGGTTGTTGTGGAACAACGGGTTGTTGTTGAACAATAGGTTGTTGTTGTTGAACAAAAGGTTGTTGTTGTTGAAAAACAGGTTGTTGTTGTTGAACAACAGGTTGTTGTTGAATTACAGGTTGTTGTTGAACAATAGGTTGTTGTTGTTGAACAAAATGTTGTTGTTGTTGAACAAAAGGTTGTTGTTGTTGTTGAACAAGTTGCTGTTGTTGAACAACAGGTTGTTGTTGTTGTTGAAAAACAGGTGGTTGTTGAACAACAGGTTGTTGTTGTTGTTGAACAACAGGTTGTTGTTGTTGAACAACAGGTTGTTGTTGTTGAACAACAGGCTGTTGTTGTTTTTGTTGTTGAACATCAGGCTGTTGGTAAATAGCCGATTGCTGTTGTTGTTGAACAACAGGTTGTTGTTGTTGTTGTTGTTGTTGTTGTTGTTGAAAAGCAGGATGTTGTTGAACATCAGGCTGTTGGTAAATGGCTGATTGCTGTTGTTGTTGAACAACAGGTTGTTGTTGCTGAACAGCAGGTTGCTGTTGCTGAACAGCAGGTTGTTGTTGCTGAACATCAGATGGTGGTTGAACAGCAGATTGTTTTAGCTGAACAGCAGGTTGTTGTTGTGGTTGAATAGCGGGCTGCTGTTGTTGGACTAAAGGTTGCTGGTATTGGGGATCAGGTTGATATTGTTGAAAATTTGATTGTTGTTGTAGATGGGCAACTGGTTGTTGTTGTACCAAAGGTTGTTGTTGGAAAACCGGCTGTTGTTGCTGGTCATTCAGTTGTTGTTGATTTCGAAAAACAGGCTGATTTTGCTGAACTACCTGTTGTTGTTGAATAATAGGCTGTGGTTGGATGACAGGTTGTTGTTGGACTTGTTGTTCCTGCACAGTCGGTTGCTGTTGCACTACAGATTGTGGAGGATGTTGTTGTTTCACATTAAATTGTTGTTGTACCAGCTGCTGCTGTTGCCCTATCGCTTGCTGTTGTTGAACTACCGGTTGTTGCCGCATTTCTGGAGCTAAAGGCGGTTGTTGTTCCGCAAGTTGTTGATATTGTTGTTGTACAGGTATTTGCTGCTGCTGTTGAACTATAGGTTGTTGTTCCGCAGGTTGTTGATATTGCTGTTGCATATTAATCTGTTGTTGTTGATATTGCTGTTGAACTGCAGGGGCTTGTTGTTCAGCAGGTTGTTGGTTCCCAGGTTGCTGCTGCTGTTGTTGTTGTTGTTGCACAACAGCCTTTCCTTCTGTTTCTTTCAGCTGATGCTAAAATAGTATCATATTATTTAATATTAAAGTCAAATTCTGTTCCATGAACAAATACTATGTAATCAGTAATTGTATATCACTGTCAAATGGACAGAAGTAAAGGGTCCCATGAATACATGAATACATGAATACATGAATACATGAATACATGAATATATGAATATATGAATACATGAATACATGAATACATGAATACATGAATACATGAATACATGAATACATGAAAATTTGGAAACATGAAAACATGAAAACATGAAAACATGAATACATGAATACATGAATACATGAATACATGAATACATGAATACATGAATACATGAATACATGAATAAATGAATAAATGAAAGGATGAAAGGATGAAAGGATGAAAGGATGAAAGGATGAAATTGAAAGGATGAAAGGATGAAAGGATGAAAGGATGAAAGGATGAAAGGATGAATAAATGAATAATCCACCTCCTTGAGCTGATTAAGGATCTGTTTCTGTTGATCAAGAATGATCTCCTGCTCCTTCTTCTGCCTGGCCAGCTCCTCCAGCAACTCTGCAGCAGCGTACTCCTGGGAAATATTACTAAAGGGATTGTTCAAAGATTTAAAAATACACAAATACCATTATTATATACTGTAGAAAACATAACTCGAAGATGTTCCTAAGGGTCAATTCTCTTTTGTTTCTGATTACAAAATATGGGCATTATGTGCATTTTTAAATGGTTGAACAGCCTTATTAATTACGCCACAGATTACACAGATTGGACAAGGTAGAAATTTAAAAATGTTAAATGAGATCCAGAGTTTTTGAATTAGTAAATACTAATTTGTCCGAATTTGGGCTTTAAACAAAAAGAAGGAGGGATAAGGTTTTACTTATCAATCTTTTTATCTTTATGGGACATTTTTTAGGGATAAATAAAAATAACACAAGACACCCATAGAACTGTTCAGAATAAAAATAACATAAGACACCCATAGAACTGTTCAGAATAAAAATAACATAAGACACCCATAGAACTGTTCGGAATAAAAATAACATAAGACACCCATAAAACTGTTCAGAATAAAAATAACATAAGACACACATAGAACTGTTCAGAATAAAAATAACATAAGACACCCATAGAACTGCTCAGAATAAAAATAACATAAGACACCCATAGAACTGTTCAGAATAAAAATAACATAAGACACCCATGGAACTATTCAGAATAAAAATAACAAAAGACACCCATAGAATTGTTCAGAATAAAAATAACATAAGACATCCATAGAACTGTTCAGAATAAAAATAACATAAGACACCCATAGAACTGTTCAGAATAAAAATAACATAAGACACCCATAGAATTGTTTAGGATAAAAATAATATAAGACACCCATAGAACTGTTCAGAATAAAAATAACATAAGACAGCCATAGAACTGTTCAGAATAAAAATAACATAAGACACCCATAGAACTGTTCAGAATAAAAATAACATAAGACACACATAAAACTGTTCAGAATAAAAATAAAATTAAGACACCCATAGAACTGTTCAGAATAAAAATAACATAAGACACCCATAGAACTGTTCAGAATAAAAATAACATAAGACACCCATGGAACTATTCAGAATAAAAATAACAAAAGACACCCATAGAATTGTTCAGAATAAAAATAACATAAGACATCCATAGAACTGTTCAGAATAATAAAAAAACCTTCTCTGGTTTAGGTTGATCTTCTGCTTCGGCAGCTTTTCCAGGCTCTTTTACTTTCAGATTTTCCTTGACATCTTCAGAGTTAGCGTTTTTCTTATCATCGTGTTCCAGAGCATCCGGAACAAACTTCTTTTTTTCATCATGTTCCAGGTTATTAGGAACGTCCTTCTGATCCTTGTGTTCCTGAGCGTCTGAAACATCTAATTTCTTATCATCATGTTCCTGTGAGTCAGGAACATCTTTCTTCTCCACAGATTTAGTATCTTCAGGTTCCTCTGGAACAACTGGCTCAATTCTTGTCTCCTGTATTCCAGGTTTATTAAAATCTTTCAATGGTGAATATTTTTCAAAATATTTTAAAGACATTTTAGTTGGAAGATCTTAAACTTGGTTTTTGTTTCGCGACCAAATGGCCTCGATCTATTTCATGAAACGCCCCTGGAATTTCTGGTCTGTTGCTGTCAAATTCCCAGTTCTTTAATATTTTATTTGACATTTTGAAAATAAAAACTTATCATCCTCATCAGGCATCTTTAGACCATTCCCTTGTCAGGTCCCTCTCACTTTTTAATATCAATTCCACACTTTTAGAGCTTTAAGCAAACAGATCTTATTTTACACAATTATGTTTTGAACAAAAATGTTCCATTTTCCCAAAACTGAAGTGACTAAACTAAATCAGTTATTTTTACCACGTTCCATTCAAAGTTTTAAATTTCATTTCATTAGAAATTAAAAAATATAAATCAAATTAGAAAGAAATAAACCTCTTCCTTGTTATCATTCTTAACCTCTTTATTTTTCTCATTCTTCAGCTCTTCGTTCTTGATACTTGAAGAAGAGGAGGAGGAGGAGGAGGAGGAGGAGGAGGGAACATCCTTCCCTACCTCGTTAGATAATTTCTTGATTAACTCCTCTCCTTTTTGTTCTACCTCATCAGATAAATCTGGAAATGGAGTTTTATTACATGATTACTGAGTCATTCTTTAAGGGACGATGTTTAGCGCTTTCTATTAACCTAACAAATTAATTGCTGCTCTTTAAGTTTTTTGCGGATTTTTCTGTTAAACCCTACTAAAGTTATTTGGATACAGACAGACAGTGCATAGGATTCAATTAATTTTGATCCGCACTAGGAAAATAGATCCGGATCAAGGTCATGAACATTTTTAATTTTTATTACCAAAGCAGAATAGTCAATTACTTTCTTCTTTTTCCCCGCTTATTCAAATGTTATAACTTGACGAACAATTCAAAGATCAGGAATTTCATTTAATCTCATTTTTTTAACAGTTCAGATTTTGGGTTTGAGAGTAAAAAGTTTTTTACCCCCCAGTCATTGGTTGATATTTTGCCCCTTGGGTCCGGATCCGTGGATCCGCATATTTTTGCGGATCCAACGGATCAGGACTCTAAGCACTGTAGACAGACAAGCAAATATCTGTAAGAAGATTAAAAATGGTAAGTTTTACAAAGTAAAAATATTTGAAATAAATACCAAATCTCGAACTAAAATAAACATACAGATTAAAATGTGAAATCCATGTGACGAGTTAAAGGTCTTCACCTTTTGGACGATGGAGGGGGTTTGCATCAAATTTAGGTTTGATAAAGCTAGGACCCGGAGAACCAGGAGAACTGGAGGAACTTGATCTCTCAACCAGGTTCACATAGGTTCCCAGAATGAGGGTTATTATTCCTGAATCATTGAAACTATTTTAACTAGACCTATTCATTAGACCTATTAAACCAGATTTAATCATTAACAGTTATTACAACCAGATCTAAACATTGGAACTATTACATCCAGATCTAACCATGGGAACTATTACAACCAGATCTAAACATTGGAACTATTACAACCAGATCTAATCATGGGAACTATTACAACAAGGTCAAACATTGGAACTATTACAACCAGATCTATCCATGGGAACTATTACAACCAGATCTAAACATTGGAACTATTACATCCAGATCTAATCATGGGAAGTATTACAACCAGATCTAAACATTGGAACTATTACAACCAGATCTAATCATGGGAACTATTACAACCAGGTCAAACATTGGAATTATTACAACCAGATCTAATCATGGGAACTATTACAACCAGATCAAACATTGGAACTATTATAACCAGATCTAAACATTGAACCTATTAAATCATTCCAACTATTACAACTAGATCTAAACATTGGAACCATTACAACCAGATCTAAACATTGGACCTATTACAACCAGATCAAACATTGGAACTACTACAACCAGATCTAAACATTGGAACTATTACAACTAGATTTAATCATTGAACCTTTTTAATCATTCGAACTATTACAACCAGATTATACAATTGGAAGTAAAACAACCAGATCTAACCATTGTAACTATTACAACCAGATCTAACCATTGTAACTATTACTACCAGATATAACCAAAGGAGCTATTACAACCAGATATAACCATTGGAACTATTACTACCAGATATAACAATAGGAACTATTACAACCAGATATAACCATTGGAACTATTACAACCAGATCTAATCATTGGAACTATTATAACCAGATCTAATCATGGGAACTATTACAACCAGATCTAACCATTGTAACTTTTACAACCAGATCTAAACATTGTAACTATTACAACCAAATCTAATCATTGGAACTATTATGACCAGATATAACCATTTGAACTATTACATCCAGATATAACCATTGGAACTATTATAACCAGATCTAACCATTGGAACTATTCCTACAATATGTTACAATTAGAACTTTCTGTCTTCTGTCTGTATCTAATTATCTTCCAAACCTATTTGAACTGTTACTAGATGTAACTAGATGTCACTGACCTACGGCTAGAACACCCCTAGCTGCCAGCCTCTCTGTGGTATTTTTAGAGGTTAGCTTCAGAAATGCAACAGCCGGGAATATGACACAGATTGAAGCACCTAAACAAAACATTTTTTAGTAAATATATTATCAAAAATAGAAGTTTAGTAGAAGGTATGCAAAAAGATCAAAACCACTAGACTATACACAGTCCCTTTAGTCTAATATAATGATGGCCACCACTAGACTATACACAGTCCCTTTAGTCTAATATAATGATGCCCAACACTAGACTATACACAGTCCCTTTAGTCTAATATAATGATGCCCACCACTAGACTATAAACAGCCCCTTTAGTCTAATATAATGATGCCCACCACTAGACTATACACAGCCCCTTTAGTCTAATATAATGATGCCCACCACTAGACTATACACAGCCCCTTTAGTCTAATATAATGATGCCTACCACTAGACTATACACAGTCCCTTTAGTCTAATATAATGGAGCCCACCACCAAACTATACACAGTCCCTTTAATATAATGATACCCACCACTCGACTATACACAGTCCCTTTAATCTAATATAATGATGCCCACCACTAGACTATACACAGTCCCTTTAGTCTAATATAATGATGCCTACCACTAGACTATACACAGTCCCATTAATCTAATATAATGATGCCCACCACTAAATTATACACAGTCCCTTTAGTCTAATATAATGATGCCTACCACTAGACTATACACAGTCCCTTTAGTCTGATATAATGATGCCTACCACTAGACTATACACAGTCCCTTTAATCTAATATAATAATGCCCACCACTAGACTATACACAGTCCCTTTAGTCTAATATAATGATACCCACCACTAGACTATATACAGTCCCTTTAATCTAATATAATAATGCCCACCACTAGACTATACACAGTCCCTTTAGTCTAATATAATGATGCCTACCACTAGACTATACACAGTCCCTTTAATATAATATAATGGTGCCTACCACTAAACTATACACAGTCCCTTTAATATAAAATAATGATGCCTACCACTAGACTATACACAGTCCCTTTAATCTAATATAATAATACCCACCACTAGACTATGTACAGTCCCTTTAATCTAATATATTACCCATGGTAGATCCTACTAGACCAAGAACTAGTTCAATATCTGGTATAATGATGCCCACCACTAGCGCCACAGATATCACAAACAGGGTGATCAGATTAAATCTAACATAAACAAAACTTGAACATTAGAATAAATAAACAAACAAACAAACAAACAAACACCCAAACACCCAAACAAGCAATCAACCACCATTCCTAGAAGTCATGGCTCAGATTTCATCAAAAATAACCGTAAAAGCTAAGAATAAATGAATATTAAGAACACAATTTATCTATTTAGTTAGAGAGAATTGAACTAATTCTTTAGCATGACCGAGGACCAAATTTAATGAATAGCATAAAGTAGTTGAACTGCATAAACTAAGTTGAACCACTTTTTAAAAACTTGAATAGGCACATGAGAAAAGTGGTTCTACTTAGTCTACTCTGTATCAAATTCAACTACTTCTCAAAATTCATTAAATCGGACAGAAAGTTAGTCTAAGTTAAGTCTGTATAAGTCAATTCCAAGCCAAGTCAATGAGTCCTTAGTGCAGTTTTTATCATCATTTTTTCATTTTCAGGTCTTGTTTAAAAAGTTCAGACAAAACTGATATTTCTAGAAGTTATTTTGAAATGACCCAAATGCGAATATTTTTTACCCGCTTTTTATTTTGAAAATGACAATTAAAACAAAGTTGTGAACAAGAAAAAATATGTTTACAAATCTCATTTTTTTCCTTTGGAATTGGAGGCTGATAATTAAGTCTTTTATAAAAAGAAATTTTCATCTTTTGTAAATATTTCAATATCATAAAAATTTTGTCTTTTAATAATACACTAACAATATTTGTTAAACTGCAATAATAACAACAATATTAATAATGCTAAATCATTACTGATCTAGTTACCTGGTGGGGGGCATGTAATCGTTGACTAATCCTGATCTAGTTACCTGGTGGGAGGCATGTAATCGTTGACTAGTTCTGTAGATCCGATGCCTTGGTAAGTCTAAATAGAGTTGCAACAATACAAATTTGTTTTTCTGTTTTTTATGATTGGATATCCGATCATATCTCATGAACCCCTTAACCTAATTTACTCAAATTTGGATTGTGGAACTTAGTAGAAACACGGGAATGTTCTTAGCTAGGTAATTAGTTAAATAGGTTTACTCTTGTAAAGAAAACTTGGTTTTATTGCAAAGCTGGCTTCCCAGGCTAGGATGAATAACAAATAGTAATCTCTGTTTGCCAGTTTTGTTTTTGTTTGAATGCCCGATCATAACTCATTAACCCCATTGACCGAGTTGCTTTAGATTTTGTTAATGGAACTCGGTAGAACCACAGGAATGTTCATAATTTATTTTTGAAAGTCTAAGTTGAGTGGATCGACTGAAATAACAAAAATTTAGTTATCGACCAAGTGCGGGTAAACGACATTTACTGCATTATCAATGTGACACAGAAGGCCAAAAAATGAAATTCTATAATATTGAATCTTGTTCAATCAAAATCATGCCATTTTCTATTTTGCCCCTGAAAATTCCAATTTCATCTTTTCAATTATTCGAGGAGGCCCGGCCCTCCCAATACGAAAATAACTGATTGCACTTTACTATCAAATTAAACCTATAAATCTTGAATGCTCTGTAAACTTTAGTATCGAATTAAACCTATAAGTCTTAAATGCTCTGTAAACATTAGTATCAAGTTATAGCTATATCATCATATCATATCATACAGCTAGGGATGCGTCCAACAGCTCCTTGACCTACAAGGGGTATGCCATCACAATCCCCTATAGGTGAAGGCTTTTCAGCCTGACATGGTTTAAACCTAACGTCGGACACACGACCAAATTTGAGCCATGTCACCGGTCTGATTCCTTTTGTCAGTTAGTTGCCAAACAGTTGTATTAAATACATATTTAAATGCTGACAGAGAGAATCTCCCTCCCTGTTAACTGAGTGCTTAAGAAGGGTATTCATGAGATGAAACGATATATTTAATGTCTATTATAGAAAATGTTAAAATTTTTTTTTAAAATGAATTGATAAATAAGCTTATAATAAGTTATTGAGTTATAGAGAAGGGATTCATAAAATGAACCGAAAAATTGATTATATGATAAATTATAAAGTTCTATAGATAGTGGAATTCATAAAATGAATCGACAAATAGATTATATGATAAATTTAAAATTATATAGAGAGTGGGATTCATTAGATGAATCGACAAAGAAATTATATGAAGGGATTCATAAAATGAATCGACAAAGAAATAATGTGAAGGGATTCATAAAATGAATCGACAAAGAAGTTATATGAAGGGATTCATAAAGCTTGAATGCTCTGTAAACTTTAGTATCCAATTATACCTATACATCTAGAATGCTCTGTAAACTTCAGTATACAATTATACCTATAAATCTAGAATGCTCTGTAAACTTTAGTATCCAATTATACCTATAAATCTAGAATGCTCTGTAAACTTTAGTATCCAATTATACCTATAAATCTAGAATGCTCTGTAAACTTTAGTATACAATTATACCTATAAATCTAGAATGCTCTGTAAACTTTAGTATACAATTATACCTATAAATCTAGAATGCTCTGTAAACTTTAGTATCCAATTATACCTATAAATCTAGAATGCTCTGTAAACTTTAGTATCCAATTATACCTATAAATCTAGAATGCTCTGTAAACTTTAGTATACAATTATACCTATAAATCTTGAATGCTCTGTAAACGAAGTGAGAATGTTTCCTCCAAAATCGTGACCGCAGAATGCAATGTAGCCAAAAAATCCTAAAAACACAAGTATAATTGCCAAGCAAATTTTGGAAACGTTAATTTTTTAATGAAACGAAAACGAAACAGTAGGATACCAAAAATGTTAATTTAAATGATACTAATAATATCAATGGTTCGAAGAAATATGTTATTAACCAATAAGTTTTTGAGAATTTGTTTCATAAAAAGTTTATATTGAAACCACTAATGTTTAACGTAATTTTTTTCTCTCATAAAATCAAGATTTTCAAAAATATAATATAACCGTGGGTTTATCTGAGTAAATCCATTTAAGGATTAAGTGAAGTAAGCGTAATTTTAAGTGACCCAGTGTGAAAAGATGACAAGGCCCGATTCACAACGGTATCTTTCCTTTATCTGATCATTAATATGGGAGATAACGTCATTTTCTAGACTTAAAAATGTTTTATTCTGATAATTGCTTTAAGTTTCCCTGTAGTAGTTGGGCGCTATTCTCATTTGTTAAGAAACTAAAATGGAAAATAATTAGTTATCAAAATTATAAAAAATTTAAATCTAATTAGTGCTTTATCGTTTTGAATCGGACATAGGCATCTTTGCATGCACGGTCCCTTAAAATTACGCTTAAAGTCCCTTTAAATACATTTTATAGTATGTGGAGTAGATCCAATAGATGAATACCGATAGTTATATAGAGTCCAGAGCAGAGATTCACTGCCCCCTTGATAACTTGGTTCATCTTGGGAAGAGATGCGTCGGGTAGGGTTGCGTACACCTAAATAAGATGCGTCAGGAAAAATTGCGTAAACCTAAAACATTTGCACCAGGAAGGCTTTCATACGTCTGGACAAGCAGCGTCAGGAAGGATTGCATCCGTCTATATAAGATGAGTCAGTAAGAAGCGTCAGGATGGCTATCATTCACATAAAAAAGATGCGTCAGGAAGACTTCGAATCGTTGAATTGACTGGTCGTCTTATCTAAAGGACTTATTTCTTTAAAGCAACTATTTTGGATCCTATTCCATTTCAATGTTAAAAAATTCGTTTTCTCTATTACCTCGAATACGTTAGTCTGACAAGCCAGGGCCATCGAGAATATAGGAAAGCATTGAAGCATGCCAGCAGGTCGCCAGATGTTAACTTGATCCAACCAATTCATCGAGGTGAAGGTTGGGACTGCTTCTAGTACAACCCTGTACAATTATTATTAACAATCAACCTATAATGAAAACAGGGTTGAGCTCCGCCAATTACCCTGGTCTTTATGAGAGTTATTACAATGCAAACAGGGTTGTGCAATGTACATAATATAAATACTGGCAAGTCAAAAAAATTTATTTATATAACCAGTTCATTAAGTTGAATGTTATAACACATCCAGAAAGGTGTTACGTAATTTCCCAAGTGACAACTTCCCAAGTGACAACTTCCCAAGTGTGCAATTTCCCAAGCGGCAACTTTCCAAAGGTTAAGTTAGGTTCTCTGAGATACCGCAGGTTGCAATTGGGGCTAACCGCTATGGGTAGAATGGGCTACTGGGGCAAGCGCTGCGGCTTGAACAGGCTAGGGGACGATCGCTGCGGCTAGGACGGACTTGGGAAAAAGCGTTTGGGAAATTGCACATTTAGGAAGTGGCCACTTTGGAAAATACCCTTGGGAAGTTGCCGCTTGGGAAAAAGCGTTTGGGAAAGTACTAACATTATAACTGTGAATGATATTACGGGACATGCATTAACTTAACCTCCGAAACTGTTTAGATAACATGAGAACATAAGACAATTTCCTTCATCCTTAAAAAGAAGAAAGTAAAAGACCGGCTTGATGATTTTTTACTTCATAATTTTTTTTATGTCAAAATTACATCCCCCGGCTCCATGATGTTAAACACTATGTATATTTACCTAAAAACCACAACTAAATAGAAGATGATACTGGTTGCACAGATTACTTGTAAGCTCTCAATGTTCCTCAGCAAGGACAGGGGCAAGGCAACAAACAAACCAAGACCTCAATTATTTTAATATAAATAGTTATTTATAATTAGTTTGAAATTTTTAAAGCAAAATACTATGACAAAGCTGTATTTCTTACTGAAATGGGACAAATATCGATAATTTTTTGCCAAGTCTAAATTATGGTAAAGTTATTGGTCTCAGTTGTACTTTGTACAAGAGTATGCATTTTGTTGAAAAATCATTTTCCCCACTTTACCACCCCCCCCCTCCCTATAAAAATGAACAAAAAACCCTTATCAAAAATCGCACTCAATGCGAGTGCGATTTTTGATAGGGTTTCTCATCGCTGACTTTTTTTTTTTTTTTTTTTGGGGGGGGGGTTACATTATTAACGAAAGGGTAAAACTTCCCAGGTTCTGTCCAGTTTTTGTTCTTTCTCCCCCCACCTGACTGGTTGTACCTGTAAGAATGACCAGCCTGAGATTAGCTGTCTGTTCTATGCCTGTGAACTCTGCTAGGAGAGGGGGTCCAAGGTCACCCATCACAACGAAAAATGCAATGGCAGTTCCCACAAGAAAACCGATTATTCCAAGCTAAACAAAACATAGTAAAATAGCTAGCCTACCATCCATCATCATTCCGAGGAATACAAAAAATCAATTGAAGAAATGCTTATCAAAAAATGAAATTTGCTTTCTTATTTAAAATTAACACTCCTCTCCTGGTCCGGAGACGGACTAAAAAAAAGCTGATGAAAAAGTAACCACAGATCTTAAAATAGGAAAATATTGAGCTTTTAAAATCATTTAGCTCAAAATTGTATATTACTTCTAGCTTAACAGCATTCTTGAAGAGACTGCCGTTGTATTTCACAACGATAATATTTAAGTCTGAATATAATCAATACTGTGGTAGACGTTGTCATATTTTTTACTTCAAAAAGTGTTTAATTCTGATACTATACTCCTTTGTTTCGGAAGGCGAAATGCACAAGTCACTTAAAAGATAAACCATAAATGATAAATGATAAACGATAAACAATACATACAAATATCATGCATTTTTTAGCAGACAAAGCTATTAAAGCTACCGACGTGAATCGGAAATGCCCCACTGTAAATGTAATCACTTGAAATTACGGATACAGTCCCTTAAACTTCTTGGTGGGCAGAATTTTGCTTTGTGAAAAGTCTTACCAATCCTAGTCGTGGAGCCTAAGATGCTAAAAAAATATTTTTTTCCTGTTAAATCTTTGTTCAACTTTCTTTGTTTTTAAACATATTTATGAGAGATAGTTCACCAATTCAAGTAATTTGTTCAAACAAAAAAGGTTTTTAAACATCACCCATTTTTCCGTAATTAATTTAATGTTATTTCCGTCTGATCTGACCTCGACTAGTAGTTTCCCTGTGTTTCCATATGTGTGAAACGCCAGATATTCAAAATTTCTTCGGCGAGCCAACATTGCAGACTTCAACAACAGATGACAAGCCAACTAAACAAGTAATTATATAATTTAGTTTAAGTATAAATGGTAGAATCCGGGTCTAAGTGTCGTTGCGCGCCCATCTTCTATTTAAACTTTTTATTGTTGCTTTATCTTTTCTGCATTTTTTCTTCGATAAAACAATTATATATTTTTTTCTGGCAGATTCACATTTTTTTTTTTAAATGATACGAAAATTATTTTTTTTTTGGGCTGGGATCATGTAAGGTCCCACAGAAAATGTGGGGCCTGATCGGTTCAGCAGTTCTGACGTTTATTGGTAAAACAAAAAGACAAGAAATTGCACCCCGCGACTGACGGGTTTCCCGACGTAACGCGATCCGACTGGAACAGCAGAGAGCCTGCCTATACGCGCATTTTCACAAGGTTTTTATCTATAAAAATACTAAACCGGTATCTATCTCAAATATTAATCAATAAGAGACGGTCAGCAAGCTAGCAGCATACAAATTAGAAAAAAAGAACAAATTTTGAAATTTTTCGTTCATAAAAGAATATAAATATTTCTTCAAAACAAAATTAGATGAACTTTTAACAATAATTCGAAGAAGACAAGAACATTATCTAAAATCGCAATTTTTAACATTCAACACCAGAATTAGAGAATTAGCTCTTATTCACTATCAAACAGTTTTCATCATGAGCCAATAGTGGAAATAAATTTAATAGTTTTATGCACATAAATTTTTTTCATTATTTATTATTTAAATATACATATTTAATTTCTTACTTTGACTAGTACTCCAGACAAAATGATCATCAGAGCAGCAAGCAATATTCCGCACTAAAACATACTTTTGTTAACCATTAACTTTAAGATCTCTCCGTGTAATGTCGTCTTTAACTTAAATCCCCTCTCGGAGACACCAAACCAAATAATTTTAGCCCCCTTTTCTTTGTTCTCCGGTAACAGAGTCTGAACACTCTTGTTTATTGTGAATCCATTTCAAAAGTTAAACAAAGAATATTTTCATATCAAGAATTAGTGACTTTCGTTAATATTCAACTGTCATTTATTTCAAAAGTTTAAAAACGTCTTTTAGTACTTATCAACAATAAGTTAACCCCTTTATCATCCGCTAATAAATCGTAAGATTTTTTCTATTATTAATATTTATTATAACAGTTGTACAAGTAACCAACTTATAATTTATGTAATTTTTCAGGAAATAAAGCTTTTGTTATCGATTTTCTTGAGACGGGGATTACTCTGTTGTGTGTGTTTGCGGCCAACCTGGAAAGATTTGTTTGGGGGAAATATATACCCTCCACTAGTGTTCCAACGGGCCTATTGTTCAATTTTATCTGGTGTGTTTGCTGTTATCCGTTAACAACTTTATTTAAAGGGACTTCACCATTTTATCATTCAAGGGCTTCAGATAATTCATTTAAAACATTTCTACAAGACTAGGCTGCGCCCATTTACTATTTAAATTTTTAATTGTGGTTCTATGAGTGAGCATTCTCTTTGTACAATATAAAAATAATATAAAAAGTTCAGGGATTTAATATTTTCCCGCGCATTTATAAAACTTTGCTAGTCTATTTGTATCTAATAAACGTCAAAACGGCTGAACCGATCGGGCCCAAATTTTGAGGGGGACCTTACATGATACCAGGGAAAGTTTATACTTTATAGATCAAACATTTTCAAAAAATATTTGAAATCCACATTTTTTTTTATTTATAAAATCCGCGAACTTTATTTGTTTTGTTTTACAATTCACAAAGAGAAAATGTGCACAATTGAAATAGAAGATTTCGCGCCCTAAAAGCCTAGTTTTAAAAAATTATACACAAATCAAAATTTGTTGGAGACGGCCTTCCCTGAGGTCATTTAAGAACTAACAGAAAATTTGGACGCGATCGGTTTTGACGTTTATTTGATAAAAACGGACAAACAGGCAAGCAAAGAAAAGACATAAGCAGCGTCGAAGAAGATAACTAGTTTGAAACTCGAGGATTTCCACAATTCCCTATTGCGTAGTGAATCGTTTATGGCATTCTTAATTTTAAAGCTCTCCTAATAAAGTAAACAATCAATTTTTTATTTCAATTTTTGTGTTTACCTGTTTAAAACAGTACGGCATAGCTAGGATGCTAACTCCTATAATACTGTTAGCTAACGTTACAACTGACGTCAACATTTTCATAAATTTTGGCACAAACTGATTATCTAAATTTCTAAACTTGATATGCTCAATCTGGTTCCCGCATCACACACATTGTCAATCCATCTGAAACTATTTTAACAAATAAACAAATACTTGAGAAGGAAAATAAACTTGAGATACGAAGGTTCATCATGATTTCCCGTCCAACGGTTTGGCGGAGAAGTACGACGCATCCATTTTCTTGACGCTGCGGAAGCCGGATGTGGCGGAAAAATACTTGGCATTCGCCTCCGCCACCTTCTTCTCCATCGCTACAGGGTTTACGATCTCCAAACCCTGAATAAATCAATGAATAACAAAGTCAAACAAAATATTTAGAATAATTTTGCAACTAGATATTTGCTGTGAAGCATAGAAGTTGACAAGTTTAACTTGCCAGTGTGATTAACTAAATGAGTAAGGGATAAAATAAATAAGTGAGTGAATTAATGATGGAAGTAAGTGATGAAAATCTTCAGCAATAAATGAATGATTTGAGTAAATTATTAATTGATTTAATACAGGAAAGTAAATGACTGAATGAATTAAGTAATTGATTCGATTATTGAAGTGAGTGATTAAATAGTTCAGTAATAGATTCAATGCCTAAGCAATGAAAAATAAAGCAAAAATGATAATGATTGATTGATAGAAAAATGAAAATTAAAAGATAGAAAAATATTGATTGATTGATAGAAAAAAAATATGATTGATTGATTGCGAGTCTTTACCTGAACTGGAGTAAATGCTACCGATGACGCAGTTCCGCTTGTATGCTTCCGACCAATACTGCTCATTCCTCCCCATACAGCCTGACATAGTAATAATGATATATTTTTCTTTGTCTTTTTTTTCTGGTTGTCCCAATATTATCAATTGATTTTAGATCTACTTTCGTAGTCAGCTCTAGAAATAATTTTCATCATCGGCTTGTAGACAGGTGAATACTATACATATACATCCTAGCTCTAATTTGAATTGAGAAACTAGTAAGTTTAGGATCAAAAGACTCAAGCAGAGAAACTTCTTCTCAAACAGTTTAAAAGTACCTAAAATGATCATCCTAGGTTTTACGTGTCTCATACTTCATATGGAATATATAATCGGAGAAAAACCAAAATTCAAAATATAAAATATATAAAAAAAAACTATAATATACAAATAATTTTGTAAAAATTAAGTTTTAAATGAGCCAGTGCTTTGACATGAAACACCCGGAAACTCAATATTTATCAAATTTTTGATTGCTTCCAGATGAGTAAAAAACACATCATGACTGGTTGAAACAGATCCACCTATACAAATTGCATTAGTTTTTTTTTCCAACGTCCGAAAAAGTGCCTTTGTTAAATTATCAATAAAAACAGACAACAATTTTTGACATACTTATCTAGTATTTAATTTATAATTATTAAATTTTATCGCAGTTTTGATATCAGAGGATTGAAATAATTATTTATTTTTAACTATAAAATGAAATCACCTGCTGCTTCTGTAGATTTTTCTTCAGTGTTTGACTAATCCTCACTTTTGTTCTTTCATCAACCTTAAACACAAACAGATAAAAAAATAGTACAACAGCTTAAAATTTAATTTGAAAAAAATATCGAAAAGACTATCATGCGGTTTTTACTTACAAGTTATTCAGCATTTTTCAAAAAAATGATATCGAAAAGATACCTGTGCCATCCTTATTCCTCCACCGATTCCTCCCTTGCCGATGTTTCCTCGTGTAGCTCCGAGATCACTCTGATACGAGTCGTCTTCTAACTCTCCAAAGGTCATCCTGACATAATTCAAGATTACAAAAATTATCCTTATAAAATGAAAATAAATTCTAGAAACCTTTCCAAAGAAGGATGAAAGTTGACGATTCTTTAATTCAATTAATCAAGCAAAAAGACAAGAAAAAAAATAATAAAATTTAATATTAAGATAAATAAAGTGATTCTTTCTGTCTCTACCTGTTTGCTTGTTTTCGTAGTTCTGTTACAGCATATCTTTCTTTCATTTGTCTAACTCGTCTTCCTCCTCTCTTCTTCTTGGGAGCATCCATCGGAGCTTTAAGAGCCCGGATATTTTTCACGGGAGGGGGCTCCACCAACTAGAACAAAAAATAAATAAAGTGAACAGAGTCAATTAAAAAATAATTTACAAAAACATAAAATTTGAAATTATATATGTTCTATAAATTATCAGAAACCATGATTTTAATTCTTGGAAATGCGCGAAAAATAAGAAGAAACTTCACAATGTAATTTTCTCTTTAGTCAGGAATCTAAGGTAAAATTTGAATTCTTCTGTTTATATTATTTCTTTGATATTTTCTTGGACCTTCTAATGTAGAATTGTTAAATTGTTTACAATATGAATCAGTGCTTATTTTCTTCATTATTTCTAAAGATTTATGTTCAGTGCTTATTTTCTTTATTATTTCTAAAGATTTATGTTTAAGTGTATTTGTATGTTTGTACAGGACTGCTATGTTCAGAGCTCTTGTTGGATCAAGTTTACCAAGGCTCAGATTTATCAGAAACATGGCAGAAAACAGCAGAGCGAAGTCAAGTCAAATTCTCGTGTCAGGGTATACCAATGAAATTGCTTTATACAAACTGGATCACAATGCTCTTACTTGGACAGGAAAATGGACTGTTGAACCTAACATGACCTGGATCCAGCAGGCCGCAGGGTCATTCTGGGCTAGTCATGAAACTGGACTCTACGAGGGTATACGGGGAGGCGCGGTGAGTCGGTGGTGTATAGAAAATGGAGTTCTAACAAAAAAAGAGTTTTTGAATTTAGAAAATAGTGTTCCAGCTCATCTTCTGATAGATCTAGAGCATAATCTTGCTTACACAGCGAACTATGGAGGAGGTTCCGTCTCCGTAATCAGTCTGAAGAACGGAAAGCTTAACGAGGTTGTCCAGTTTCTCCGGTTCGGAAGCGAGACTAAAGAAAAGTCGCATCCTCATCAAATCATGAGGCGAGGCGATCTAGTCTGGGTGGTTGATCTAGGTTTGGATAAGATAATGACGTTCCGGGTTCTGAAAGGCCAACTGGAGAAGGTCGGGGAAGTTGAGGTTCAAAATGGTTCTGGGCCTCGACATCTAGCATTACATCCAACAAAAGACCTGGCTTTTCTCTCTATGGAGCTGAAGATCGGAGTTCTTGTTTATCGAGTTGATTACAAAACTGGAGATCTTACTCTTCAACAACGACTACCAGGAGCCGAGGCTGATGGAGATAAAGGAGCAGCGATCCTAGTGTCGGAAGATGGAAACACTGTTTACGCTTCTAGCCGTGGAAGTGGCGTGATTTGTGTATATCAGAGTATAGGGCCCGAATATGTTAAAGTTCAAGAGCTAAAGGTTGGTGGGACAGGTCCTAGATGTTTGGAAATTAAGGATAATATAATGCTTATGACAGATCAAGATGGGAGCAAGATACAAGAGATTACAATTGATGAAAATGGACTTCTGAAAGCAGGACAACTATTAGATACACCCACTGCTCCAACCTTTGTTATGTTTTATGACGACTAAAAATAACAAAATAAACATTTTTTATTTGTTATTTTGAATACATGTTAATATTGTTTTACTTACTTTGAATAACATTTTTTTGATAAAAGGATTATAACGAAACTGTTAATTTGTATGTCGTATAGATCAAAGGAAAAAGTTAAGTTTCAAATGACAATTTAACAGAAGGTTGTTAAAAATAACAACTGATCGTACGTATTTTAAACCTTTTCCTAGTACAAGAATGATTTTAAAGTGACAACTCCACTTGGAAAAGTGTTTAATCATCAAATTTCTCAATTTTTTCAGTAGCAGAAATTCCCAAGTCTTGAATAAAAGTCTTCAGTCCCCTTTACTGTTTACCTTGTCCACCTTCTTCTCTAGTTCCTCTTTATACTCTAGTCCAACATGTCCGTCCGTCGACTGATGGAAGCTGTCTACACGAGCTGCTAGGGTACATTTAGTACCAACCAGACGAGCTACTTTACGTCGGAGATCTGGGGGTACATCCTACAGCATTAAAATAAACAAATGGGGTATTCTTTCCACCAGTGCTTAAGACATAATTAATTTTGATTCCTACTCTGAGATGAAACAGTTTTAGTAATTTTGCTAAAAAGTTTATTTTACTTTACTTTTTATCTCTTTTTTTTTGCTGTAACATAATTATAATCATTGGGATATCAAGACTAAAAAGTTCTTTAGCGAAGAAGTTTCTGGATCCAAGAAACCAAAATGTTACGGATCATGATTTCAAGCTAAACTCGAAATCAAACATTTAACAAAACATTTATTAAATACAATGTAAGATTAAATTCTTTGAAAAAATCAAAACCATTTTAAGAAAAAGCAATCGTGATTGCTAATTTTTTTACCTGAACAATTTGTGAATAGTAGATAAAACCAGTGTGAGGTAACTGTGTAGCAGTACTGAATCCTAGACAAGAATCAATTGAAATAATATGTGGAAAAGCAGTTTTAATCAAATGGGATAATTTTTTGAAAAACCGGATTGAAGGAAGACCACTCGGAACCCCCACATCTTTGTTTACATCAAAAGTGACCTCCAATTAAAAAGCGGCTTGGCCCAGTTCAGAATTCACGTTATCCTTATTTTATCCTTGTCTGAAAAAAATAATGTACGAGATTTCGTAGATTTTCATACGTAATTTTAATTTAACATTTCCTACAATGTTTCTGTTGCAGAAATCATAAGTCCCGTTTAAAGAAATTTTAATTTCTTAAAGAAAAAAAAATAGATATCTTCTCCGTTCTTGATCATACAAAGCAATCATGAATAGTGTTGTGGATTGAACATGCCACACAATAAATGGAGGGTCCCTTGAATTTACGACCGCAGTTCCTATAATTTTTATTTTATTCTATTAAAAAATGTTTACCTGTAGAAACTTTCTTCTGTTGTCCCAAAAGAGAAATATTATTGGCTGGCATCTAATATAGTTTTACAATTGATAAAATAAAATAAAATAAATCTAAATTTTGTACAGGGATTCCTTGAGGCATCCTTATTTTAGGTTAGAGTTTTAATTCTATCCCAATTTCTGGATTTTCAGCCCGATCTATATTTTACATTGTAAAAAATCCAATCATTATTCAATGTAACGATAAGGGTTGGGATAGGGGGAGGGGGTCATTGCTTTCTAACGCGGCAACTCAAGGTATCAATTTGCAGTTAAAAAAAAACATCATGATCAAACTTTAAAATTAAAAAAATGTTACCATTGTGAATTAATTATGAATATATTCTCTAACTCTCAGATAAGTAAAGTAATTAGAAATTAATTTTGAGTAAATTCTCCGGATAAAAAACTGAAATACTAAAATTTTAGGCAAGGTTTGTGAAATTGCATTTAAAATTATATTCCTTTGAGAGATTAGTGAGTCCACCCGCCGCGCCGAGCAGCTTGGCGGCAATATTTGCCCCAATAATGGCGGATAGGTTGGGGGCAATAAACGCCATTCTGCTCTCAACGTACTCAAATATTTTCCTCTTTGTCTCAGCGAGTTCTATCGCCATGTCACACGCTGATTCAACAATATCTAAACAATAATTATACAGTTCAATCAATACTTTTAAACTGCTAATAGCATTGTTTTTGAAACAAATCTGAAAATTTGCAGATATCAAAATATTTTTGTTAATGCAAAACATCTTAGCAGAAAAGTTCTGCACAGCATGATATTTTTGACATATCCTTGAACAATAAACATGCAATTTCTATTTCAAATTAGCGAAATATATATATAAAAAAACTAACAGGAAACTGTGAGAATTAAATTTTTAAGAAAAAAGTGTTGCAATACTAATGCTTCCTTCAGTTATACTTAAATAATTCTAAAAATAAAATTGCTAAAACCCAATGCAATGTGAGAAAGTGAGTCTTAACAGAGATTTAGTTTGTTTTTACCTAATTCCTCCTTGTTTAATGGTTTCCCTTGTGTTGTAGAAGCAGTTACACTTACAACCATAATAGTCGCCTAGACATTAAAATTATGAGATTGGACTACATTTAAAAATGGAAAAAGAACAAATAACAAATAGTTCTGAGATCAACACTTGTGTTTGTTAATCCTTGGATTAAACAGTTATTAGTATGTTTGTTGTCCAACGGCTGAAGTTAATTAAATAAATCAAGAACTAAACTTGACTTTACGAGGGAACAAATCAAATCAAATCAAATCAAATCAAATCAAATTAAATCAAATCAAATCAAATCAAATCAAATCAAATCAAATCAAATCAAATCAAATCAAATCAAATCAAATCAAATCAAATCAAATCAAATCAAATCAGATCAAATCAAATCAAATCAAATCAAAATCAAATCAAATCAAATCAAATCAAATCAAATCACACCAAATCAAATCAAATCAAATTATATCAAATCAAATCATATCAAATCAAATCATCCAATTATTTTTCTCATGTATAAGATTTTATTTACAGTTTACTACTATACACACTTATATCAACATATTTATGATGCTATTGCTTGAGATGTAATATTGTACAATTACCTGAGTCAGATACTGGAGTAGAGTTTCATTGTTTTTAACATTTTCCAATTCATTCTTTAGTTCCTTGGCTGTCATCAGATATTCCAAAGGTTGGACAACAAGACTTTCCAACTCAGGAAACCGTTTAGTGTACACATCCCTGTACATACATTTATGTACAGTGTACACAACAATTTTAGGAACACTAATGTATGTACACAACAGTCACATGTCTAATTACATCTATATATTATACTAGAAATCAAAAATTCTAAATTTTGTTTAAAATTAAAGTATTTTTAAAATTTCACGGGCAGCACAAGGTACTTCAGCCAGTATCAAAAAATAGATAGATTACATATGTTCGGTTTGTTTCACTATCCGAGTTCAAATTTTGCACAAAAATTATGGCCTTTCAAATTGTTGTAAATCAACTGACGAAAAGAGAAAAAAACTGAAAAATATGAAATTGCCTTACAAAGTTTTATCTTTTTAAACGGAAATAAAAATGCTACCTTGCATATTTATGAACTGTATTCATCTCATGATCTATATCTGCTGCCAGATTGTTTGCTTCCACAATCAGCAGGTATTCTGGGTCAGCTTCAACCACACCTAGTCAATCAATCAATCAATCAGTAAATCACTGCATTAAATCAATCAATCACTCACTCACTCAATCAATCAATCAATCAATCATTCAGTCAAATCAATGGTATTTACTAAAATAATTAACCTAATAATCAGTCCTGAAGTAATTAGACAATCCACAATTCCGAACTTGATTTGCATAACAATCGTATATAGGGAAATGGGGATTTCAAAATAAGAGCAACATCTTTTTCTTTGCGAATATATAATTTAATTAATACATTAACTAATAAATAAGATGATTACTCACTTAAAACTCTGATTTATAATCCTTATATAATCTGCAACATTTTGTAAACCTTTTGATCATTTAATCTAGCAGAATCTATAGTTTGAAATATCAAGTTCCATGACATAAGGTTGCAAAAGATATAAAATCAGGTCCTTTGCTAGAATGAAAATTTTTGCAACCAACCTATAAGATCCTGAGGTTTCCTCGGTTTCTCCGCAAACTCGTCCATCCTAGTCATCACGCTCCGCAACCTGTCGGAGTTGATGAGGCGCGCCACGTCGTGGATAGTGTGAGTACTAGGGACCATCTCCAGCTCCAACCTGAACATATTGAGGTTTAAATCAACCATCAGTCCATCAATGTTCTCGAACCATAGAATAAATCATTTCATTATGGGAAGAGCCAGGATAGAAAATGATGCGTTAGCGGTTAGAATATAATAGGATGTGATAGAAAGATATTATCCAATATCCATGTACATTGTAAAAACATTGCTTGTCTGTTTGTTTCCAATAAACGTCAAACGAGTTCAGGCCTATTTTTTGTAGGACCTCACATGACCCAAGGTTTATGGTCCAATTAAAAATATTTGCCTAAACGATTTGTCAAAATCAAATAAAAAACCCGATATATTCTCAATTTTTGGTTTGTTTGAAAATTTATAAAGCGAAATGCCGCAGATAGAGCAACAATTAAAAGTTAAAATCGAGGGGCATAGTAGGACAGAAAAGACTAGAATCAGATTGGTTATAACAGGATATGATTGAAACAGATAGTAGCAACAATGGTTAGAAGTCCTGGCTATATTGAATAGCCTAATTAATAGCCTGTCCTAATTTAATTGTATCTATCTATATATAAATTTGGCTTGTCTGTCTGTTTGTCTGTCTGTCTGTCTGTCTGTCTGTCTGTTTGTATCCAATAAACGCCAAAACGGCTGAACCGATCGTGCCCAAAATTTTTTGTGGGACATCTAGGGACCCCAGGGAAGGTTTGTGAATGATCAAAATTTTAGATATTTGTCTCCATCAAAATTCAATCTTCATTAAATTGTTGAAAATTTTGAAAATCCACGAATTTTTTTGTGAAAATCCGCGAATTATTTTTGTTTTGTTTTACGATGTACACAATTAATTTAGAAGATGGGCGCAAGGCTAGTATATAATAATTTTGTAATATAAATAAATCTATTGTTATTGCTTTCCATTAATCAATCTGTTAAACCAAACTTGTTTGACCGTTAGATAAGATATCGAAAAAATGAAATCAATCAATCAATTAATCAACTTACTTTGAAGGTTTAATATCCATCTCCTCCAGCTCTTCCTTCACCTCCTCTGCCATCTCCTCGTCATCCTCTGAAACAAATAAAACCAATCAATCAATCAATCATTATCATAAATTTATCCTCAAAAGGAAATCATTGTCACGACAAAATCTGTTCCCCCATTCATCTTTAGTTCGAGTTTTTACAAATTAATTTTTCAATTTAAAAATATCAACCTTTTGAAAAGTAGGAAAGTGAATTAAATGATAAGTGATAAAAAATAGAAAAATCGTAAAAAAATACATCTCAAAGATCTTACCTAAATCAGCCAATAGTTCGTCGGCCAACGACATTTTAAATCTTTAACTTCTGAAAATACTTCACATCAGGTATCGGAAATGCAGGCTTTCAAAATGATAGGTCGGGGGATTTTGGGGCGTTAGTGAGAATGAACTTAGCAAAAAAAAATAGAATCACATTTGTCCACATTGAGAGATAGTAATGTCCACTTTAGGTTTATTGTTGGGTCCGACCGGAGCATTCTCAATCTTTCTGACGACAAGCATTCCATCGATGACCCTGCCGAACACCACGTGTTTGTTGTCCAGGAAGTCCCCCTTGGTGCAGGTCAGGAAGAACTGGCAACCGTTAGTATCCTGATATAATCAATAAACTAATCGAAGTGCAGGAGTGTGGTAAACCTTGTACTGACAAGTAAAATGTATCCAAATGTATTTGCGAGTCCGTGCAAAACATATTTTTTATTCATTTCTCTTTTAGTAAATACAATTTCTGAAAATATTATTACTTATTTTTTATCTTCCCCCAAACAATCCACCAAAGAATCCACTTGTCAATTAACCATCCAATCAATTACACCATCTCGGAAATCCACCAACCAAACCCACCATTAACCAAAACATCTACCACTACACCGACCAAAAATCCACCAATCCACGAGCCATCTAATCCAGGAAAAACTAACCTTTCCGCTGTTAGCCATGGAGAGAAGTCCTGCCTCTGAATGCTTATGCTTGAAACTCTCATCGGCAAATGTGGACCCAGCATAGATAGACATACAACCTTAACAATTCAACGATCAATTTGAATCCATAACAAAGTTTGTAATAGCAAAAATGTGGAAAACATAATTTTTTTTTACCTGTTCCGTCTCCGTTTACAAAGTCTCCTCCTTGGATCATAAAATCCTTGATTACTCGGTGGAAACTTGATCCTGAACAGTACATTACTTAGTACATTTAAGTACATACTAGCTAAGTACCCAGTGTTATATTAGTGAAGAGCTTTATACTATAGACTGTTGTACAGTATAGTACCGTATAGTACAGTACAGTACAGTACAGTACAGTACAGTACAGTAAATTTTAGTGCATTGCAGTACAGCCAGGTGCATTTGTAATTAAGCATTTGGATAAATTTCATTTTAATGCAATGCACTTCAGTGCAGCATAGAACATTTTAGTAAATTAAGTACAGAAAATTACATTACAGTGAAAAATTTGTACTCGTGTAATTCAAAAAAGATATCCGAGCCAAAAAATATCTTTAAAGTGTCAAGAAATAAAAATTAACAATACCTTTGTATCCTAGAGGAACCCCATCTTTTCTATATTCTCCAGTACAGAACTGTCTAAAAGAAAGATTTTACTCCATATCAAAATAAAATTTTTAAACAAAAAGTTATTCTTTAAAAAGTTAACATTTCCATCCCTGTTGAGATAATGCAATGTAAGTATTAGATAAGAAACAAGGCGAAAATTAAAAAGTAAAAAATTACCCATTTTTGACCGTTTTTGCCAAAACTAAAAATTTTTGTTCAAAACTTAACGTCTTGGCACGGTTAAGTAAACTGACCCATCAATTAATAATATCTGCTTTACCTGAAATTTTCTGCAGTTCTGGGAACATCGTTAGCAAAGAGTTCTAGAAGTATTCGTCCTATTTCAGTTCCACCGACTTTTATATCTAAACACAATGGGAATTACTTAAAAACTACAAAAGAATTTTAATCGATCAATTCTCTATTTTCTATGTTCATTTAACTTAGTCGGAGAAGTCATAAAAGAAAACATAATTTTGACTACATACAATTTAGGGTTGTTCCCAGACTTTAAAAAAAACTATTCAATGTCATTTTCTTTCTAACCGAACTTCTTAATTCACAATTTGTTTACAAGTACACATTTAACTTGTCTTTTTTTTTATCTATTACAATAAAATACCATTCCATACCTAGGAAAACGACAGGATTATCTGGATGCTTCAGCTGTGACTGTATTTGACTCCAACTATGAATTGTTGACATTTTCTCTGAAACAACGAAGAAAATAAACAAGTTTCTTCAAGGAAATGCGCGCTTTCTTCTGTGAAACTACGCAAACAAAATTTTTAGCGGATTTACAGTATATTTAGGAATAAATCACAGCCTTTTTCACGTCTACACTACTACAGGAGATAGAACAGTCTTATTTTAACTTCAATGATATCCAAAGAGAAATTTCTCCTCAAAAGCTCGAATAATATCCTTTTTGTCTTTCGATCTTCTTCCAATAGGTTCCAGGTCTTTGTAGCACCTACAACAGAAAAAATCATTTTATTAAAACTCGACTCCATTTTGGCTGTAATGAAGAAAAATATCGATTTGCATGAGGCAGACTTATTTTTTAATTTTTTCAATCGTTTAAACTTCAATCTCTATATAACAACTGATGTAAAATCACAGGATAGGAAATATTATTGAAATAAAAAGTCCGCTGAACCATACCTGTCAAAAACATTTTCTACACTTTTTTCTGCAAGTTCACGACTCATAAACCTAGTTTTCTCTGGAGAAGGACAAAATAAAAGTCTGGTCATAAAATCAGGAATGTTTGTCTGCAATAGAAACAGGGACACACAATTACGGCTTTCTTTTCAGCTTTTTAAAGAATAAAGGGATTTATTATTATTTTATAATTTACATTACTGAGGAGAAAAAAGTAGGAAAATATGTGAATAATAATGCAATAAACAGCATATAAACAACAAGACCAAGTTCGAGTGTAAACAATTATTTATATTAATAGTTTTTTGTCCAGTTTCCTAATGATTCAATAGCTGTGATTTTGACACAGTTAGCATGTTGATTTTTAACTCCTAAGCTAGCTCCATCTCTCTGCATAAACACTAACCAACCACAGTTCGCAAGATTAGCTTTCCTAAACAAGTTTTCAAGATAAGAGGAGCATTCTTTATTCGAATTAAATAAATTTCCAATTTTCCTTTACATAATATTTTTTCCATTTAAAGACCGCTCTTTTAGACAATGGAACACTTATCGGTCGCCATGGTTCAATTTTTTAAACACTGACATTGTTTAAATCTATGGATTATGGAATAAATCCGATCAATTGATATCAATTAGAGGTATATAGTAAAGTGTACAGGCAGCTTTCAGAAAGTAACAACTAGGTCTTGCTAAGTGCTTCTAAAGTATTCAGAGATACAGGTGAGAGAAAGAGAGAAAATGGTAAACTAGAGAAACTTTAGTCAGGGGTTTATATGGGGTATACAGAACTACAAGAAACATTAAAGGCCTGCATTTATCTTTTAACGCTGTATTACCCTGGAGAATGTGTAAAACCTATGTGGACCATGAAAGAGTCTCCTCTGCCACCATCGAAGACAAATTGATAAATCTACAGAACTCGACACCCCCCCTCCCCCCAAACTGTAAACGGAACTTGTACACACTGTACAGTTGGAGCCTGTCACACAACCAAGTGTACACAATATACCTGTCAGTCTACTAGCAACCATGAATCAAAGAACACAAATTAAGGATTTGGTCTCAGGAGAGGAGTGAAGTCCAAGATGTTCTCGGTTCTTTGAAGATGGACTCGGCTAAAGAACACAGAGATTTTGCAGTAAAAGCGTGTATTTTTGTTTCCAAACTTTTAATGCAATTATGTTATTTCAATTTACTAGACATTCTTTTGTTCAGATTAAACCTGACTAGAATAAACTAATATTACCTAATTGGATTCAGATTTTGCTACTGATAGCTTTAAATATACCCCTCAACAACAAGCTGTTGCATCTGGTTCAATGTGTAAGCATCAAGATGTTAGTTCCATGTACAAGTATCTGTCCGAGATGAATCTTACAAGAATCAAGAATTCTTTTGTCGAAAATATCCACTCCTTGCCTAACCTTTCTTATCCCATTAGCCATTATAATAGTGGAATTCTGACAATGGATCCCAAGAATTTCCAAACCCTGCTTCAGCAAGCGATTTAAATTGTTTCCCAACTTGTAAGAATAAATATGATAAATCTGAACAATCTGGAGCTAATAGTTGCATCAGAAATCAGCAAGAATTCCACAATATACTTCATCAGAGAAATTTGACGCCTCTGCAGTCTGCATAGATCACAAACAGTAACTTTCTATTATTGACATTTCTGGCACCAAGATATCAAATTAAAGAAAAGTATGAAAAAGAAAATTGTCAACAAGAGATATGCAGCTCTGGGTAATATACGGATTATTAGGGAGAAACAAAAGCAGAAATGCGTCAAAATGCATATTTCCTTTTTCTACAAGGGATTAGAATGTGTAGATCTACAAAAGACATTTTTTTGCTTGGATCATTGTGATAAGTAAAAGATAAAAATTTCATTTCATTTTTTCTCATTAGATTATAATAAGGGTTTACAATTACACAAAAATGGTTAATTTAATTGATATAATGATGACTGCCTTAAAGCAGGATGTCTTGCATTGTGAAAGCGTCCAAACTTCATTAAAAGACAAGGTGTACAGTTGTGTGGCATATTCTTAGTGGTAATCAGGGAATAGGAATAAAGGGAAAGGAAATAGCGCTGGTCTGGCATGAGAAAGCCAGTCGCAGACCAGTGCGGTAAACTTTGCACACACTCTTTTGGTACAGACACACAACATGACTACAGTCAAGGAAATTGCAAACCAATGTCGTCAATTATAATTAAACTTGAATAACGAGTAGTTTATTGTAAACTTTAATCAAATTATATTCTTTGCATGAAAATTTGGCTTTATAGTGTTATCTTAAATATGTAAGTAATATACTACATGCATATTAAACTTATTTTTAAGTAAACAATTAACAATAAATAAATGTACTCTCCTAGACTGTTCAAATATCGAGATTCTTAGGTACTGTATAAACCTACAGTACACACCTTCGGTACGGTAAACTTTACACACACTCTTTTGGTACAGACACACACACATGACGTTTCCGCCCCCTGGTGGTAATCAATAGATTTCAAAAGGTCCAAAATTGTAAAAATGTCTATTAGAGCGGAGGTTTAGACCATGGGGCTGTATTTGGGTAAAATTCCTTAATCTAGTTTAATTTTATTCTTACCTTACTTCTGTACAAGCCAGATGTTCCGGATTATTAAAATCGTATTTATTTACACATCTATCAAACACGTAGAAAAGATTTCGAACAAGGGCAGCGTGGACCTACAAAAATAGATTTTTATTCATCAAATGAGCAATCTTTGTTTAAATGATTTATAAGGGGAGTGTTTAGTCACTTAGTGGTTAAATTTGACAAAAAATGTAACAACAATTATACAACAACTATCATCGAAAATAAGTAATTTTATACAGTTATTAGTTTCTGTAATCTCTCGTTATTTCAAAGATTTTCTGTAGATTTTCTGGAATATTTATTGAAAAGACTACATTTGAAGAATTTGTAGTAATCTGTGAACACATTTTTTATGAATAAGAAATTCAAAATAATGATGATTTATTCTAACATTTATTTTTTGACAAATTTCTTTTGAGAAATATGTTCCTAAACATCCAATTAGTTTACTGTAGCATTTTTACTATATTTTTGTCGTCGTTATTTAATAATGATAAAAAAAATAATCAAAGCGTACCCACCCAAATTGATGATTTTGAACGTCGTCTTTGCGCTTAAACTCAGTAATTATAGATCTTTAAACGTTTTTTATGTCTCAAATGAATTTTACAATACTACATCCCAGTTCAACCACCATACGGTCACTCCCTTTAAATATATGTCTTAAAATTTGGAAATGTTTTCAAGGACAATCTAAGGGGTTCCCATCCCAGCACCGATTATGTGTACCTGCCCAGGTGTTGTAGTATTATTCTGACAAATAAATATCTAAAAAAAAGTAAATATGAGTTAAAAAAATAACATTATATATATTTTTTATATATTAAGATTTTAAATGAAACTTTCATGTATACAAAATACACTCAGGTTTAAGCCTGACCATATAAAATAATCAAAGTCCAAGAAAATATTTTGTTTAGTTTATACTAGTTGAGTAGTTTGGAAACCAAACTTTGCCTGGAGTTTTTCCAAAAGAAGACAACCCACTAAACTTAGAATTTTAAACCGTGAGTCTAATAAGTTTCCAATAAAAAGGGTTCATTATTTATAACCCTGAACTAAGCTTTCGGTGCGTACTGTAGGGATCTGCAGTACACTGACCGAAGACAAAAGTGATATGTTCGCCGTTTGGAGATCCAAACATACAAAGAAACATACAAACAGAGATTACTACTTTATATTTATATATTAAATAACAATAATTGCTTTATCAATGAAATGATATCCTTTAATTTACTCACTTGGTTCAATTTCTCATCATATCCACCAGCATGTTCTAATCCAGATCCTTTAATAAAATAGAATTTATAGAATACATCATGGTTTAAATTCTCATCATATTTCAGTTTATTCTTTATAGAATACATTTATAGGCAGAAGAAAAGCAACCAAATTTAAGGGTTTATATTACAATTTTTTTTCTCCCATCCTTAACGACAACGTATGTTTCTCACGGGTTTCACTACTGAAAAAATGTTAACATTTTTTGATTGCGATTTTTTTGGTAAAAGTAATATAAAAACATAATTTTTTGATTATTCTTGTCATCATTTCTCTCCATCTGCTTGAAAATAATTAAACTCCAACATACAAGTTAGTTTATTGCAAGGGGCCTGGATCTTAGCTACCTCTCCGTGTGTATTAGCCTGAGTGTACACTTGGGATAGTTTACTGATAAAGGATGTTAAGAGATTATACCCTATTCATACAGTACAAATATCAAATATGGAGTACAAGTGTATGGGGAGGTTTTGTATCTTGAATTTTACTCAGTTTTCTCAGAACAGTTTATTCACGATGAAATATTGCTCTGTAAAAGACTGTAACAGTTTGTCTTCCTGTGAAAATTGAATCCTGCACACAATTTAACCTTTGGAAGTGAAGTAGATGGAATGTACAATTAGTAAAGAATTAGCGTACATCATCAATCTATATACTATAACCTCGTTGGTTTATTGTCTTTTTATATTCAAGAGAATATACCTTTTTGGCACATTTCACAACTGACTTGGGAGGCAAGGTCAAAAGGACACCCAGATGCCTAAAAATATGGATTTATTAAAGGGACAGTCGACATAATTTCATCTTAAGAGTTACAAGCACGAATAACATCGCCCGGTAAATGGAAGACATTTTTCAAGGCAAAAATTACTTTAATGAACTCTAGTTTTACAGTTGTAAAATTGAAATTTTGCTCTTATCCTCTTTTCAAGTTAAAAAGTCACTTGCGGATTTATCACCAATCAAGAAAGAAAACGACGATGCTTTCGTCATTGTTACTAAGATAAAGGTTTAAAGGATAAAGCTGAGAATCAGGCAAGCATCGAAAGGCCCGTTCTTTTAATAATTCCTCTCATTCAAATAAATTAAAGTCTTTAATGTTGTTTTTTGTTGTAAGGTAACAGTGTTAATTTAGGGAATTTTTCAGTAAGACAATTAAAATTATTTCATCATAAAACATTTTATTAACTCACTTTAAGAGCTGAAAGAAAATGTCGAACCATCGGCATTTTCTCAATATTTTCGATAACATTACGCTCACACGCTACACGTAGACTAGCAGGATGACCAGCACCTTAACATATAATCAATCAATCAAGCAGATTTTTAATAAATCAATCAACAATCAATCAAATATATGATCAGTCTCAACCAAATTCAATCAATCAATCGACCATTCTACGAAGAATCTTAGATCCTTCAGTGAAAAAAATCACGATTAGCCTTTTTAATCAACCAAAACAACCAAAAATTAGGAATCCATCCAACAATAAGTAAATTTATCTAGTTTTTGGAAAGTAAGATTTAATGAAAATGAATTAATGAATTTTAATGCCTGACCCGTTGCTCTTTGAAGAACTGATGGATTAATAACTCCCCCCCTTCTCTCCGGATACAAGTCAGAGAACGGCATTCTGTCTGAAACAGTAGACACTTTATTGTACAAATTGTACATCTGTATCTCAAGCGGAGAACTATGTAAATTGTACAATGGTTAACAGGTACAGTAAAGGGGTATATGTTATGTTGAAAATTCCTACCCCTCTAATATTTCAATTTTTTAAACACTGACATTGTTTAAATCTATGGATTATGGAATAAATCCGATCAATTGATATCAATTAGAGGTATATAGTAAAGTGTACAGGCAGCTTTCAGAAAGTTAAAAAAAACTCTCTTAAAATAAACGGTTTGGGGAACTAAACCTAACAAAATAAACCCCTGGTATAATTATCTAGTAAAAAAAATATAGTTGATGGTTTCCGTTGGCCTGCAATCTGTGTGTATTTTCATCTGAAGTGGAACACATACAACCTTCCTTGTAAGGACGTTCCAAAAACTATCCCCACGTCCTAATTTGCTCTCCTCTCAGCAACCCTCTGCCAGTATCTAGTTAGAGCGTCCTCAAATACATCTCCCACCGTCCTAGTCCGAGCATTATTCAATTCAAACACAATTAACTTAATTAAAAACCTGTAATAACAGTTTCAGAAATTAAAATAAAAGAAATTATGATAAAAATTTTGATTAACTTAAAAAGTAAGAAGAATTCTAACGTATTTATAGATTGTTGTGTCCGATCAACAATTGAACCCTTGAAAGTTATGTATCATTTAGAAATATAATGCATAAGATATAAATAAGTTTCTCAGCAAAAATTTATTATTTTCATACAGATTCTCTACAAATTAGCTTGCAGATTGCTGGTATAGTGACAAAGAAAGTAGTTGTATGAATTGAACACGAATCTATTTTTCTCATTGTTACTTTAAGAAAAGGTGTTTAAGAGTACTGTTGCGAATAAAACATGTTACTCCAACAAAATATTAAATTGAATAATTCTTCCCTTTTCTTCCAGATATCAATTTTCGGAGTTTCATCCTTCTTCTGTTCAACCATCTTCACTTCTTCTTCTTCTTTATTCTCAGTCTTATCTTCCTTCTTCTTCTTCTTCTCCTCCTCAGTTTCTACCTCGTCTTCACTTTCTTCACTTGAACTCTCATCTTGTTCAATCTTCCGCTTCCTCTTCTCTCTTCTTTCCTTCTGCTCTTTCATCTCCTGCTTTCTCTTTTCAACTTTCTCTTCCGCGGTCAGGTCTTCTTTCTTTATTTCAACATGCTCACCCTCTTCGTCACTGTCACTTTCTCCACAACTACTTCCACTTTCACTGCTTTCACTCTCTTCATCCTTTTTCTTTCTAAATGCCTTGTTCTTATTCACTTTTTTAATGTTCAGATCGGTTTCAATTTCTTCCTTTTCCTCGTCGCTCTCTACCTTTATCTTTTTCATTTCTTCCTTCACCTTCCTCGCTTGTTCTTCTACGCTTAATTCTTTATTTTCCTCTTCCTCTTTCTTTATCTTATCTTCAAGCTCACTTCGCTCCTCACCGTGGGTTTGCCTTGAAAATTAGTTGATAAAATGGTTATATTATTGATAAATTGATTGATTTATTAAAAAATAGATTGATTTATTAAGAAATTAATTGTTGTATTAAGTAATTGATTGATTTATAAATAAACAGACTTATTTATGAAAAAATGATTTGTTAATAATTTGATTGATTTAGTAAAAAAAGTATTGATTTATAATAAATTAATTGATTTCTCAAGAAATTTATTTATTTTAAAATATTGATTGTTTGATTAAAAATTGATTGTTTAATGAAAAAATTCATTGTTTAATTAAAAATTGATGGTTTTAAAAAAATTGATTGGTTTATTATTAAAATAATTAATGACATGATAAGATAATTGATTGATCAATGAACTGATTAAATGATACATTGATTAATAAATGCCAATTCAAAAATGCCAATTTCTTTTAAGGTGATGCTTGGCGAAAAAATCTATGAAATAATTCCCCAAACCTCCCCTACTCAACTCCCTTACCTGTAAAGATGTCTATAGAACCCACTGAGATCTTTTTGTTTGGTAACATCTAGCACAGACTCTATCCTGTTTTTCCTTTCCTCCTCCTCCTCCTCCTTGGCCATCTCCTCCATCTTCGCCCTGTAGGCCGAGGTCACGAAGCTCTCCTTGTCCGCAAACATTTCTCCCTCAGCTTCGCGCTCTTTTTGCACCTAAAACAAACAAGCGAATTTAAAGCATATAAGATGAATCTTAAATTGTAATTACAAACTATTACTAACAAGTAAGTAGTTACTAGGACTCAGTCCTAGAAGTGGACAGGATCGTATCGAACATTACATCTCATTCAAAAAGCATGTGGTCGGCAGCTCCTGGCTCTTCATTTTGTCAGAAATGTTGATAAATGAAGCTAAAATCTCCAAAAATGGCTATTTCCTCCATTCTTTTTTCATTTTTACTCCATGAAAAATCATTTACTTTCCTTTATACACCAGTAATCCCTCTTATAAATTTGTTAGTACTGTAACAAACATTCCTAACACATAATACGTTTCAAGGAAATATATACACCAGGTAAAGCCAAGACGATATTTATCTCTAAAACATTTAAAATTTGAAATATTTCACAGATATTTCAATGGTTCTTTTTAAAAAATATTTACGCTACAAACTAACCTTTCTCTCCACTCTTCTCTCAAACTCCTTATTTCTTATTTCTGCGGATTTGAGAAGATTCTTGATATATTTTGGTTGCCGGTCAACCGTCTTCTTCTTCTCGACCTCCTCCTCTTTCTTCTCTTCCATCTTGTCATATACTTCGTCATACTAAACAAAGAAACACAAATTTTAAGAAAAAGAACAGAGGATTTATATCAAACAAATCATTCACTTATTTCAGTGTGAGGGTAATAGACACAACAATGTTTTTTTTTTGTCAGTGTTAAACGCCTAAACGCTTGAATGCTAAATGCCTAAACACTGAACGGTAAATACATTAATGCTTTAACGCTTAACAGTAATGTAAGCTTTAACGCTTAACCGGTAAATGCTTAAATGCTTGAACGCTTACATCATTGAACATTTGAAGATTTGAATGCTTAAACATGAAGACTCTTAAAAGTTTGAACGGTTGATTGCTATAAGATACGCTTGATCACTTTTAACACTTGAACACTGAAACGCTTAAATACTTAATTTAAATAATTTATAAGACTTTAACGATTAAGACTTAAAAAAAAAACCTGAAAAACTGTTGGATCCTCTTCTAGAGCTTTAGCCATCACAATCTTAGTCTGTTTCTTCAGCCCAGTGTTGTTAGACGAGGCCTTGGTCTTCAGGGACTTCTTTACCCAATCCTCACCTAAATATTTAATCAATCAAGCAATAAACCAATTATCAATCAATCAATCAATCAATCAATCAATCAATCAATCAACCAACCAACCAACCAACCAACAAATATTTTCATCTTTCAACTGATTACTTGGCTATGCATATAAATAAAATTTACCTTCTACATCTGAATCACTATCAGACTGGTTAAAAATGCTCGGTTTCTTGCGTACAGCAAGAGCAGTTGCGGGTTTACTCGGCTTTCCCGGCATTATTAACCCATACTGTACACCGGCCCGGCCCGGTACATTTCCCGGTAGTTCCTTAGACGACATTATTTCTGCAAGTATAAAAGTTAATCAGCAGTCCGAAATTTAAACCGGGAATTAAAATTGAAACCAGTAATTATTACATTATGAATTTGAAGAGAGCTCTAAGTATAACCCTGGAGGATATCTACGCCTCCCCTTTAAGGGTACTGACAAGTTCTCCAGCCTCATTTAGCTCCTTGATGATATCCAGGCCCCCAACCAGCTCGCCCTTCACGTAAACTTGGGGGTAGGTCGGCCAGTTAGAGAACTTCTTCAAACCCTGAAAAGGAAAAATTAAAAAATTTAGCAATTACTTAATACCATGGTACCATGTTGAAACTACACAGTACACAGTACACCTAATGTACCAATTTTAAACTTAGTAAAACAACTTTGTCAATTTTACCGTTCAATAATGTCCTTAAGATTCCGCTGTTTTGCGTGAAAACCGGTTTCTTGTAATTTTTATAACTTTTCAAAGACAAATTTGTTATTATTGCTAACTGACATTCATTTCAGAAAAAACTATTTATAAAGTCTAAAAAATTCAAAAGAAAGAGTACATATTTTTCTGGCCTAGGAAACATTGGTAAGATTGGTTTTATGTTCTTAATTAGCTGTCATGTGTTTTATTTGGCTGAACAATCCCTTTAAATTCCTTCAGATTTAGCTCACCTGTCTCACATCTTCGTCAGTAAAAATGTCAAAATGCTTAAATTCCAGTTTAGTTTCCTTCATTATCTCCATAAGAGTTCTGCTAAATCCACATTGGGGATTCTGAAAAAAAAACAAAAAAAATAGTTTTTTTCAGATTTTATATAATTTCTTGAATTTTTTTATTCAATATTGTGATCAGTTTTCAATATTTTTTTTTATGAATCTTAACAAATAAGTCTCTACAAAAAATATAAAAAAATAAAATAAAATATAAAAAATATTAGTTCATTTACATATTAGATTAATGTTCAATTCTAAAACTTGTTTCGATTTCTTAAATAAACTTTCGCTATTAAATAAAAATTAACACCTCAGGATTGCCTTTCATGAATATCATGATAGGGGCAGAGTTGGTCAATTCCTTTAATCTGGCATCTAGATCAACCTTAGTCGGTACCATCGACTTCAGGTCACCTGAATACATTCATATAGTTGGTCAATTCCTTTAATCTAAAATCTAGATCAACCTTAGTCAGTACCATCGACTTCAGGTCACCTGAATACATACATATAGTAGATTAATTCAGGTAATCTAGCATCTAGATCAACCTTAGTCGGTACCATCGACTTCAGGTCACCTGAATACATTCATATAGTTGATCAATTCAGGTAATCTTGCATCTAGATCAACCTTAGTCGGTACCATCGACTTCAGGTCTCCTGAATACATTCATATAGTTGATCAATTCAAGTAATCTGGCATCTAGATCAACCTTAGTCGGTACCATCGACTTTAGGTCACCTGAATACATTCGTATTTTAGTTGATCAATTCAGGTAATCTAGCATCTAGATCAACCTTAGTCGGTACTATCGACTTCAGGTCACCTGAATACATACATTCAGTGGGATCTATATAATTTTGATGAAGACCGGATCCTGGATCCGTCATGTAAAAAAATATATACAAATCCAGTTCATGAAATTTCTTTAAAATGTCAGCTTATTTCGAATAACAAAATCAAATTTTAAAATGTTCCAATTTTATCGCTTTTTAATTAATTGTGAAGGTTTTAATCAAATGATGTGTAATTAGTTGAAATTATGTTTTTATTGAGCAGACATTTTTTCTGTCATGATTTATTAATATTTTGCCAATTTTTGTTACTGATAAAATGGATCCAGATCCTTAGCACTAATTAATACAAGTTAGAAAATACAAGATGTACTTGTTACATTTGTTACTTAACGTCCCTTAAACAATTAAGTAAAATAACGACCTGCTCTACGAAGTTTTCGTAAAAAATCTACTTTTTCGGGAAATCAAAATTAGAATTTGTTACCTGATGCTAGCATCTCATTGATAATATCAAGTCCCCCGATGAGTTCTCCGTCAATATAAAGCTGGGGATAGGTCGGCCAATCAGAGAAGGTTTTCAGACCCTGCGGTAATTTATCAAATTCTTTCTCATTTTATAATTTACATTCATTATAAAGAGGTTTTGACAATCGGACTTCATATCCAGATCCTAGGCAGTTATACGAGTCTACATTCAAAAATAGAACCGGCTGCTTTTGATACTTACAGAGATATTACAAAATGTCTTACTTGTTACGGTTCTTTGTAACATGACAAAAAGATATATCATGCTTCTAATGAAAAGAGTTTAGCTTTTTTATTGAAAAAACAGTTCTTAATCCAGTAAAACTTGATTTTAACAAAGAATAAATTGACAATTTTATTTATTGACTGATCAGCTAAAAAGTTTAAAATTGGTTATTTTGACTCCTTGCTCAATGCTCATCTATTTATAAATTTAAATAATTTTATGGATTGCTTAACTTATTTAATTCTCTTAAAAGTTAATATTTTGTTTATTCAATTTTCATTTTAATAATTTAAACGTCATCTTATATTACATGATTATTATTTTCAATCATTACCTCTTTAATTTTTATAATATTATATAACTATATTTTATTAAATATAATTACTATATTTAATTAAATATAATTACTATATTTAATTAAATATAATTACTATATTTAATTAAATATAATTGAATGATCAAGTGATTTCTGACCTGTCTCACTTCATCATCGGTAAGAATATCAAAAGTTCCATATTCAGCGTTCATTCCATCCAAGATGGCAATTGTCTGTTTACTAAAAATTTAAAAAATATAAATAAAAATCTAAAAAATAGTATTTAATCTATAAAATCAAATTGATTCAAATGAAACAGAGATAAACAATAAACAACGTACATACGCATTAAAAATATAAAAACCTGTTTTCCTTGTTCTAAAGTTTTAACTTGATAGTTTCTAAATACTAGTTTCTTGCGAGTTGCATTAATACAAAAAATAAAAGATTTTATGGCAAAAAGTTGAAAAAAAGATCACTTTAACCCTCCCCGGCAACAAAGAGTACAAAATATTAAATTCAGGGTTTTAAATTTTTTAATGTTCTTAACATTTACCTAAATCCACATTTTGGTTCACTAGGGTTTCCCTTCATGAAGAGCATGCACTTATGCGCGCTAATCAGACGCTTAAGCCGCGTGTTTAAGTCCTCCTTCTAAAAATTATAGCATTAAAGGGACTGTTATCGTAATTTAAAATAGCCATCTTTTAAAAAGGTCATGTGTCCGAATCACAACGGTACCCTTGAAATCTTAATCTAAAATACAATGTGGAAGATCTTTTAATGGAGGGTCACTTTTAATTAGGCTTACAGTCGATTAAAAAAGATAAAGTTAAAGAAGATAATTTTGTTCTGAACAATTTTGATGATAAGGAAATCGCAATCATGATCAACTTTTTATGTTCCGACTAGAAACTATATTTATATATTACACTTTATTCTTGTTTTTGTCTTATTACAGTGTACCATTTTACATTTGTGTACGAAATAAATCTATAATAATAATTTAACAAAGAGCGGAAAGAGATAAATTCTAAGATATGAATTGACTCAAGACGAAAAATGATGTAAGCATCATCAAAATGCAGAAGCTTCTTTATTTATTTTAGAAAATTTACATCTTATTGAAGTTAGCATTGTTATAAAGTAGTTGGATAGTTTTTAAGTTTTAAGCCCTCTTATGATTTGATATTTCTCATTGCCATGAATTGGTTTAATCTGATATCCCTTTATGATTGATAGTTTTTAAAAGCATTTGCTATACCTTAGGCTGTGAAGGTGGGATACCATTAGATTGCTGGGCATGTAATTTTACTTTCTTGCTCACCTCTGCTGCCTTCATACCGTCTACCCTACACATTTAAAATTCAGGGGTAGATATTTTATTTAAATATCATCCAGCCCCCCCCCCCTCCACCCTGATAAAAAACCCAGTTTTCCAAAAAAGTATGTGAGTAATTATTTTCAGGAAATAAACTTAAAGAAAGGGAATTACTTGCCAGTTGATGTCAACTTGTTTATCCCCCCCCCCCTCCCTCCCTCGCAGAAGAAATTAAATTTCATGCTTTTTATTCCACAACAATCATAAGCGCCCAAAGTTTTTTTTATTGCAATAGGCAGGCTTCAATATGACCTGGCCAATATATTGATTCTAGATCCATGTGTAGAAATACAAACCAAAATATATACGAAATAAAAAACATGAAATTTCCAGAAATGCGAGAAATTTTGTTTTAGAAAAAAGGTTGGTTTAAAAACATCCGGATCCTGATATGTGATGTCTACCTGTCTACAGCCTTCCCCACTCTGAAAATGATAACGGTAGGAACAGCAACAATCTCATGTTTCATACTAACTTCAGCCATCTTCTCTGCTTCAACTGCGTAAAACCGCGTCGTCTTCATTTCCTAATCAATCAATCAATAGATCAATCAATTAAACGATCAATCAATTAAACGATCAATCAATCAACAAACCAACTGAGCAATCACTCGACCCACAAGCCAATCAAACAATTAAGACCAATTAACCAATCAATTAATCTACTATTCAATCAAACGAGTAACCCCAAACCCAATCAATCCCAGAAATTCATCAACTTAAAAAACCCAATGAATCCTAACAAATCAATCAACTAATCAAACGAATGACCAACTAATAAATCCTACAAATTTACCAACTGATAAACCAATTCATTGACCTATCAACCAAATAATCAAATATTTACCTTACTAAGCTCCTCCAACACGTCCGCCATGTTCTTGCATTCGGCGGCAAAATCCGCCCAGAAATGAACAACTGGGGCAAAATTTTAAATTATTAAAAGGGTTAACAATCAATCTTGGGAATTAAGACGTTAAAATCTATGTTTACTCTTTTCAATTTCAATTTAACATGCGAATCGAATCAATTCAAATCAAAACTTAAGTGAATAAATTTGTGCTGAATATGTTTTAAAAATTTCAATAATTAAGATAAAATTCCTGAAAGCTCTTGAGAATTGAGCATTTGTGTATATTCCGCCTCGGATTCTATTTTAGTTGCCATTATAAACTCTGAAAAATATTCCCTAAATCAATAAATCAAACTTTAAAATGCTTAAAAAAATGTTTTCAAATGAAATTTAACGGTTCAATTCTCGAAGGGACTTTTAGGATCCAGTTTTCCAACCTTTTTAGGGCCTTTCCGACCCCTTTCCAGGACATTTCTAGGGATCTTTGTTTTCATTATTTCAGATCCTCTTGGCTTTTAAAATGGCTGGAGGGTAGTTTGTCTAGGATTTCTAGATGATACTTCTCAGGGTTCAAACAGTTCAACCAGTTTCAAGGATTCCAACCTAGATTGATAATAGAATATAAAAAAGGGACTTTATCATCCTTGCCAAAAAAAGAGTGGATACAAAACGCCTAATGCTAAAAAACGCTGAATTACAAAACGTTCAATGTTACAAAAAGTCCACATTTTATGTGAAAAAAGACAGTAATGTTCGTTTTGTTTTCAAGAAAATTCGCAACTTTTCTGTTAAAGTCAGTTTTCAGGAGTCTCTCGCTGCGGCTAGAAGTTCAAATACATTTCATTTACATAATCTAAGATTTTTTTTTTAAAAAACATGTCGAAAAATAAAAAAAAATGTCAAGGAAGAGAAAAAATAAAAACTCTACAAAAAAGAAACAAATGTCCCTTATTTTTAATCTTGATTCACTGGATATTCGTAATTATTGAATATAATATACTCTGTATATTAATGTGATATATGCAACCATATGAATATCATGACAATTGGAAATTTTCTTATATACTCCGCCAGGAGTCCTGAAAATAATCCTAACATAAACATAAACATTTAAACTTTCATTTCAAAGAAAATAATTACGGCGCCTTCAGTGGTTACTGAAGGCGCCGTAATAAAATAAATATCTTCACTTTGATTTGAGAATTCTAAAAAGATTTATTCTTGTCTACAGCATTTGCTGAACATCGGAGAAATGACTACATTGGCACGGCAAACTTTTAAGAAAAATATCAAAAAATAACAATGACCCTGAAATAATACACACACCTTTTAACTCCCCAAATTTTGAATCCCCCCCCCCCGAATTTTTTGTGATTTTATAAGTTTTTTATGGATTTTGGGCCTTTTGTTGCATTAGGCGCATTGAAATTTTGGGCGTTTTGTAATTGTGCGTTTTGTTGCATTGGGCGTTTTGTTGCATAGGGCGTTTTGATAGGGCGTTTTGTTTTTGGGCGTTTTGTACCCACTCCATAAAGGGGCACTGGGCCAACTGGGCAGTTAACAACGGCAAAAACAGAATTTCAGACCTGATTTACAAAAGTATTCTTTCATACCTGTGTCTAATTATCCTTGATTTTCTATCTTAAAATTAGTAATTTTCAGAGATAAGAAAAAAATAGAAAAAAATTCAAGAAAAAGACGATATTTTCCTCATTGTAAATCTGGCATGAAACTTTTTATATGGAAGGTCACTTTAAGTTTTGTTTTCTAATGTCATAGTTTATAATAATAGTATGGTTTCACCTGATTTAGGGGAGTAGCTGACTGTATTCAATATAAAAGGGTGATTTCTTGATATTGTCCCAGGTCCTTGACGCCAGATTAGCCCAGGCTCGTTCACTCAGCTTACCCTGATAATCAGGGTTGGCATAAAAAAACCCACCCAACAAAAAAACGAATAAAACCCACCCTGTGAGTGGGTTTGAGTGGTTTTTTTTGTGGGTTTTATTGGGTTTAAAGAATTTTTCTAATTATTGCCTTTTCTTCACTCTTATAATGATAAAGTCTTTAGGGCTGCTTTTTTTGTGTGAAAAAACCCGGGTTTTTTTCCAACCCTGCTAATAATCAACCATAATAATATTTCAAAAGCTTAATATAACTTTACGATTACATTGTCATTGCATCATAATTGTCATCAATGTCGGTTTGAAGATAATTTTTTCTTTAAAGAAAAAATGTATGACAGAATTTTTTAAAAATATAAAAAGAAGATTATAGTAATTAAAAACGATTATTTTTTCAAAAGATCAACATTCAACACAACTTTTAATTGATTGAAAACCGTTACAAAAAGTAAGGTCAAACTTAACCACCAAAAGAAGGACTATGGGCCCAAGGAATAAAAATAAAATTTTCTTGAAAAACCATTGCCCGCCCTCTTTCAAAAAGAATTAGTTCAGAATTAATGCTTTGTTGAATTTGAGAAAAAGAAATATCTTTTGGGGAGAAAAAAGTGAGTTTTTGGGTTATATCAAAAAGAAGAGAAAAATTTCCCAGGTAATGTCAAATTCCCCCCCCCCCCCAATCTTCAAAAATGCATATCCCTGAAAGTATTACCTGGCTCAAGGGTTTACGAGGCAGGTTAAAAACCTTCTGACGTAGAGATCTCCCCGCTTTCTCATAATCTACTCTAAAATCAAACAAATAAAGGGACTTACTTAAACTGAGCAATAATAAGATAGATATCCATATTTTTCCATTTAAAAATAAATAAATTTTCTTTCATTTTTTCTGATGCGCAAATCCGCACATCACTTTTATTTAGAAACAATGAAGAAAATGCTCAGTTTTCATAAAAAAGAGGATGTTTTCGTCATTTTTGGCGAGACAAAGGTTTGAAGGGTACCGTCGTGAATCATACATTCAAACTCAGGAATGCATATCTTCAAATAGAGGTTCACATGAAATCTTGTCTTTGGTAATAAGGAAACTAAAAATTTAGCTTATGTCGTAATATGTCAAATAGCTAAATATCTTGATACAAATCTGCTCAATATCCTGATACTAACCTAGGTTTAGTCCTATGCTGGAGTTTATCTGCTCAATATCCTGATACTAACCTAGAGTTTTAAACCTATACTGGAATATCACTCATCTATATCCAGATACAAACCTAGGTTTAATCCTATACTGGAATATCACTCATCTATATCCAGATACAAACCTAGGTTTAATCCTATACTGGAGAATATCTGCTCTGTCTCCCTCTATATCCGGAATAAGAACTAGGTTTGGAGTATCCCTCTCCTCCTCTCTCCAGTTCAATCTAGACTTTGCAAAGAGCATCCCGTACACATCTCTAGAACAGGGGTGTATATTAGTTTTGAGACTCAAACTTTGGCATCCCATTCCCCCATCCCTTCAAAATCATATTTTTTCCCCAAGTCCACAACTTAAACAAGTATATATATCCAGGTTTCTGAAGCCAGCGCCAACTTAGTTTGCTGCGACGGCGGGGGGCGTAGCGTCCCCATGCTAAGAAAATGTTCAGATTTTAGAAGTAAAATGGAGCGCTTTGGTGATTCCTAATAAGGTTAACTTCAAGGTCCCCCTTGATTTTTAAAAGACATTTCTAATACTGTTTTTCGTGATTTTTTCCCTTTCCTCATGCCCCTTTTCCATTCCCTTTTGTCCCTTTTCCCTTCCCTCTTGCCCCTTTTCCCTTCCCTCTTCCACCTTCCCCATTCCCCTTCCCACTTCCCCCTTCCCTTATTCCTTTTCCCCTTCCCTTCTCGTTTTCCCTTTGTTCATCATTTTTCCCCAAAACCTAATAAAAGCTTATTTTTTTGCTCCCCCCCCCCGGGTGGGGATGGTTGGACAAATAGAAAAATATACACTTCTGCTCTGGAATAAACAGAATCTGAAAAATATACACTTCTGCTCTGGAATAAACAGAATCTGAAAAATATACACTTCTGCTCTGGAATAAACAGAATCTGAAAAATATACACTTCTGCTCTGGAATAAACATTTACTCAAAATCTTCAAAACCATATCTATATATCAGCTGTTTTTAAAGCATTTTTTTTAAAACAAAAATTAATAATCTATGCGTTGATTCTTGATCAGACAAAGCTTTTAAGGGTACTGTTGTAAATCAGACATTCCAAATAAATTACAAACCTCATCTCATCACTTATATCATCCTCGAAGTCATTAAGCTCGCATTTGTTCTGCACCAGCACAAGGTGGGGGAAGTACTCACTCAGCTAGACAACAGGCAATTTAAGATAATTTTTTACACTTACACAAATAGAGTTATTTTGTCATAATTATAACAGTATTTGTACGATTTAAAAATTTGAGTTGATAAATTATAAATACGGTTCAATTTAAGCCATGTTCAACTCAGTTTGGAAAATGCGGGAAGTAATGGGTTTTAATTATTTAACTCGCAGAAATCGACGAGTTAAATATTTAAGCTATAGACAGTAGAGGTTGGAATTAAGTCTAAACTGGTCCCGGTACGGAGCGGAATTTGACCTGGAACTCAACATTTCACCTGCAACTTTAGACTCAGGTTTGTCTAAATAAATAAGTTTCTCTTATTCTGATTTTAATATGATTGCTTACTTGATTATCTTCTCCGGATGCGGTCGGAGTAACAGGTTTCAAGGTTTCAGCAGCCTAGAACAAGGAAATATAAGGATTAACCAGGCATTCTTTTAAAATTACCCCCCCCCCCCCTCCCCCTATGGCATTACAAACTAGACAGAAGAAGGTAAAATCGATGCTACATCACCGGTAAAACTTTGTGACCTCGTAGCTCCTTTAGCTTTGATTTTTTAAGTAATCCAAATTTATTTTGTTGCATATTAGAAATTCAAATTTTTTTTTCATTTTTTGAAAGCTTGGATAGAATACAGCACTCTGTATCGAGTTTCATCCTACAATTACCCAAGTCAGCAGCGGGTGTATCCGGCGCTCTGGAAGCAGGCCTGATGTCTAAGGAGGATATGGTAAATAAAAGAATTGGTTTGTTTGTCTGGGGGATCATGAACAAGAAGAAGGATAAGGTTCTTTAAGATGTGTAAGAGTCCGTAATGAGGTCACCTACGGACCTACGGGCCTCCCAGGTGAATTCCCTAATGGACAAGATGGGTTGCCATTTGTTCAATGGCCCCGAGAGGTTGTTGAAGAAAAGCTTGAGTGACTTGGCTGTACTAGAACGGAAGAGATAACTTACTTCCCTTGCATGTAATGCCATAACCGAATAAATGGTTTGTGCTGGAGAAGCATGTCATTGGCTCATCAGCGGTAAGAGTCCTAAGGTCCTAAGGTACAGCATTATTGTATACCTGGAGGAGACGGATAAGACTAGTATCCATAAACCAGTCCTGAACCAGGATAACCACATGACAAACAGAAAATATAAATCCTATTACAGAAACTTCTCAATTCTTTGTAAATTGAACTACTTAACCATGAATAAATAATAAATATATATTCAAATATAACCCCCCCTCCTCCCACAAGGGGGGGGTAAAATAACTAATTATGTGTATCCAACCAGGATTTTTATTTTTCGATACTTTTTAAAATTCTTTTAAGCTCAAAAGCGGGCTAAAAACAACGTAAAAAGAATGTTAATGCTCAGGGAATGAAACCCTTACAAAGTGATAATTGACGAAAATCATTGCTTACAATTTAATCTGAAAATAAAAAAATCAACAATCTATTTAATAAGCATATGCATTATGCAGCAAACGTTAGCCAAAAAATTCAAGTTTTTAGAGCCTAGCATAGCATCCCGGACAAAGAAATTTTATGTAGAAAAGATCAAGATGTTTCCTATAAGTTGAAGGGATTGAACTTCTATTGTATTCTCAGCAGTTGAAAACTCAGCATTAAACTTCTTCTCCAGCTGGATAGATCTAAACAAAGACAACATTGCAATAAAAGATAGATCTTATGATACTCCAGTTAAAAAATAATGATAATTATTCATTTCTAAATCATGATAATAATAATATGAAAATAAATAAAAAAGATAATAACTGTAACATTAACAAAACTTCGAATGATAAAATCCCAAACCTAATAACAATAACAATAACAATAACAATAACAATAACAATAACAATAACAATAACAATAACAATAACAATAACAATAACAATAACAATAATAATATTAATATTATTAACAACAATTAAAATAACCTACCTATCCATAATACTGGATGAAAGAAGAGGCTGGCAGTCTAACAATATATATCGCCTGAAAGTAAAAAATTATTAAAATAAGTTGAAGTGTCTAAAAATGTTAACATTTGATTAAGTGATATGATGAAAGAGGTTCTGACGTCAGAATTAATGAAATGCAGAATTTAATATAATTCTCTGTCACTCTCTGTTCACCTAAACATGTTTACTGGGACACCTTGAGTTTACACAAACATGTTTATTGGGACACCATGTACCTAGAGTGTACATAAACATGTTAATTGGGACACCCTGTATCTTGAGTTAACAGAAACATGTTTTTTGGGACACTATGTACCTAGAGTGTACAAAAACATGTTTACTAGGACACCCGTACCTTGAGTTTACACAAACATGTTTATTGGGACATCCTGTACCTTGAGTGTACATAAACATGTTTATTGGGACACCCTGTATTTTGAGTGTACATAAACATGTTAACTGGGTTACCTTGTACCTTGAGTTTACACAAACATGTTTACTGGGACACCATGTACCTAGAGTGTACATAAACATGTTTACTGGGACACCCTGTACCTAGAGTGTACATGAACATGTTAACTGGGTTACCCTGTACCTTGAGTTTACACAAACATGTTTACTGGGACACCATGTGCCTAAAGTGTACATAAACATGTTTACTGGGACACCCTGTACCTTGAGTTTAAATAAACATGTTTTCTGGGACACCCTGCACCTTAAGTTCACATAAAAACATTTTCACTGGGACATCCTGTACCTTGAGTTTACATAAACATCAACTCCATTTGTGCAATGTTCTCCCAACATCTGGTGTTCGAACCCCTGAACCCGGAATATATCTTCATCCTGGAAATATTAAACTTGCAACTGCAAATTCAAGCAATTCTTTATTTATTGAGTTCAATGTCCAATTCCCAACGCCAAGCGGTAACTTACTAATAAATTTTCAAGCCATTTTTCAAGATAAACAACAATTGTAAATAATCAATTTTCAGATAGAAAATTAAGGTTATCTTGTTTATTCTTAATAAGCCAAGGGTTAAAGAGTATTTAGTGAATTTTATCAATTTTTGGATTTAATTCACAGATCTATTCATTATCTAGTAAGGATTATAATTAATTTCTTATCAATAAAATGCGTTTAAATTCACTTGAAGACCCAGCGTTGTACGGGGGTACTCACTCAATTTATAATCTTAAAACCAAGCTTAGAGGATTCCCGTGGTTCTCCCGAGTTCTCAGAGGATTCTAACGAGCTCCTCAAACAAAATTTGAGGCGAATCGGTCAAGGGGTTCATGAGTTGCGCTCGGACACGAGGAACATAAGGAAATGGAATCCTCAGACCGCCGCCATGTTGTGTGGGAAGATATACATATATATAGGAGATGTATATTGTACAGTGTATACTGTATAGTATAGTTAATGGTTCAAATAATCTAAAACTTAAGAAAAATCTAAGATTACTATATTATTATAAACAGTATATATTAGAAATAGCTAACCTTAGATCCACATTTCCCTAGCATATTGAGGATTGTAGATTTACCAGTATTCTGTAACCCTAGGACCCCTAGAAGCATGACAATATTATTTATGTGATTTACCAGTATTCTGTAACCCTAGGACCCCTAGAAGCATGACAATATTATTTATGTGATTGACACTTCTAGTTCTCAGTTCCCTTTATGCTTAGATATTTAGAATAAGCGGTTCAATACCCATTATCCATCTTGGATTATTTCGAACAATTCTTTTTTCGTTTTTAATTACAGATTTGGATTACCTAAGGAATTTAGTAAATTTATAGACAGGATTGAAAATATATTACAAATCCTGCCAAATGGACCACAGGGTGTCCTTCTGAGCATGACGAATGAGACAAGACTTAAAGATCGTCTTTTGGCTTTGATCTTTCATAATTATAATAAATGGTCAACTATCATTCCGCAATTCATTGCTATCTCACAAATATATAAAAAAAATAACTCTACTTTTATGATACACAGATAGACAAAGGTATAAGATCAAAGACGACCATAAAATCGTCATTCTTAATATGACACCCTGTACCTTAAGTCGTCTTTTAATTGTCATCTTTAGTGAAACACCTTGTACCTAAAATCGTCTTTTATCCGTCATGCTTAGTGGGACACCCTAGCCTGTCCCTTAAGTCGTCATTTGATTATCATGTTTAGAGGGCACCCTGTACCTAAAGTCGTCTTCTACCATCATGTTCAGTGGGGCACCCTGTACCTAAAGTCGAGTTTTATCTGCCATGTTTACTGGGACACCCTGTGTAAATTCTACTGTGTAGGTTGGAGACGATTCGGTAAACAATAAAGACGATTTAAGACCTAATATGAAGATGAAGAAAAAATATTTAACCTGAATTTTACTAATCTTGTTTTTCGTAAATGTTAAAACAATTATTTACTCAAAATCTTCAAAACCATATCTATATATAAATTTGGCTTGTCTTGGTGTTTGTTTGTTTGTCTGTCTGTCTGTTTGTATCCAATAAACGTCAAAACGGCTGAACCGATCGGGTCCAAATTTTTTGTGGGATATCTAGGGACCCCAGGGAAGGTTTATGAATGATCAAAATTTCAAATATTTGTCTCTATCAAAATTCGATCTTCATTAAATTTTTGAAAATTTTGAAAATCCACGAAATTTTTTGTGAAAATCCGGGAATTATTTTTGTTTTGTTTTACGATGTACACAAAGAGAACATGTTCACAATTATTTAGAAGATGGGCGCGAAGCGCCCTCTAAGGCTAGTAAATAAAAATTCATTCTTTAAAAAATCTTAAAACTCAAATGTAAACTTTCAAGATTACTTTATATCCAAAACTATGAATATTTTATATCTATAACCTTGAGTTTAATCAATTAATATTAAATCAATATTTACTCAATTTTTGGCTTTTCTTAAAAATATTAATTTCTGAACACTTTTTCAGAAAGAATGAGAAAGCTTTAAAAGCTTGTAGTTGGACTTGATCAGTGATCAGGGTGTATAAACCTATCACCACATTTCTGGAGTTTTATAGGTACACAATACACATTTATAAACTGTAAAAATTAAACATTAGTAATGAAATGCATTTAAAAAGATTTAGCAAACCCTTTTTGAAAGATCTAAGTGAAGGCTGCGTTTCTGCCGAAACTTGGACAACCTTTTAGCTGAATGCAGTAGTGGTCTAAAACGTCCTTTTAGGTAAGAAAACAACTTTATTCTTTCTATAAAAATGTGTAAAAACTAATGAAGCACTTTTTGTAGACCGAGCAGCGTGTAAAGTAAAGGTTGAGCGTCTCGAAGCTTCTCTCGACAAAGATTAAATAGGAATTAAATCTAAACTGTATTTTCAAATTATGCATACAAAAAACAAGAGGAAGGCTTGCCAAGTTGCCATTTTAAGCATTCCGATAAGAAACTAAATCTTCAGGGTGCAATGGTTGTACCCGTTTGTAAAGTGGGAGAACAAAGATAAAACTTTATTGGACGAATCAGTTTTTGCTGGAAACCACACCCTGTACCTAAAGTCGTCTTTTGATTGTCATGTTTAGTGGGGCACCCTGTACCTAAAGTCGTCTTTTAATTGTCATGTTTAGTGGGGCACCCTGTACCTAAAGTCGTCTTATAATTGTCATGTTTAGTGGGGCACCCTGTACCTAGTCGTCTTTTAATTGTCATGTATAGTGGGGCACCCTGTACCTAAAGTAGTCTTTTGATTGTCATGTTTAGTGGGGCACTCTGTACCTAAAGTCTAAAGTCTGTACCTATAACTGTAAAATCCTGGTTTTCGGTCAAATAATCTCCTATCCCGTCACAGAACGTGTGCGCTTCATCAACCAGCTTAAGGGGAGCGGTCAGATTAGCAGTTACTTTCTCTAATAAAGTAATTCAATCAATCAACCTATCAGTAAACCAAACAAACCAAACAATCGATCAATCAAACAATAGTACGTTATTTACAACCACCCCAATTTGGAAGGCCAAGACCGCCACCGGGGTTAAGCAGAGTAATTTTATGATTATTGATAGTAATCTTTTTAGTTAAAACCAACCAATATTAAGATATAAAATGTTAGAAATTTTATTAGAATTAAATTTAAAACCCAAAACATTTGTTATTTTAGATGAAACGTTAGTGATGCCCTTCAAATGGGGAGGGGATATGAAAAGTTGAACTTCAAATGACTGATCTTTCTTTAGTATATACTTTATAGGTAGCTGTCCAAGGAAGTTACGTGCACTTGCCGCGTTGAATTACAAGAAGTGGGAGATAAGTATATATTTTAGGGTTAGGTTAGGTTAAGATCTTTCTGGGCCGAGCACTGCGGCCAAATGGCCGAGCGCCGCGGCTCAAACAGGCTTTCTCTGTCTTAAAATTTATTGCGGCATGCGCACGTAACTTCCTTGGGCGTCGGCCTAATTTTTACTAGAAACGTCAATCATTCAATCAATCAATGGTGTAAGATCTTTAAGTCAATCCAGTTTATTATTCTCATTAAACGATTTGCTTTCCTTAATTCAGCAGTTAATGCGAATAAAAGTAATAAAAAATGGTCCGGGGGGGGAATGGTAATTTTTTAACAAAATACATTGCAAACCTTGATCTCGTTTAACTGCTACCCTAGGAGCAGAAGAAGCTGCTGGGGATTCGCTTCTAATAGATTCCCTCTGCTTTACAATAATAACTCCAGGGATCTCACTTTCCTCTCGCCCTTCAATGCTCTAGGAAATCAATCAATCAATCCAACATCAATTCTCTGCTATACAAAAATAACTCAATAAGAACGTCATCCCGCCCTTAAATACTCTAGAAAATCATCAATCAATCAATTAATCAATCCAACATTAATTCTCTACTATACAATAATAACTTAATCAATCAAACGGTCAGCGATAAACCACACAGATATTCAATCAATTATCCAATTAATTAATCTATCTAATCACTGAATCAGTAAATACATTTTTCAACCAAACAATAAATCAAACAGATCAACGACTCAGTCTATTACTAATCAATCACTCAATTAAAAAGCCAATATATTTATTATATTGATAAATCACTCATGAATTCTATTTATCAACCTATGGATGAATAATCTGATTATGTAATCAATCAATCAAACTAATTAAACGACTGTATTCTAAAACTAAATTAAGATCAAGTGTATTGTTTATATTCTGACTTGCAATGCTTGGCAATAAAATCAGTCATAAAACCTAGCTTGTAATAAATACACCATTACACTAACATAATAGAATAACCCTTAAACATAAAAAGGTTGTAGAGGCCATATTTCTTACAAAATCTAAACTCTGGGATATTTAAAAACAAGCAAATCCGCGAATAATATTTTTCGAGAAAATCTAGCAGTTCTTTAACACACAATGGAGCAAGACGTCTGTACTACTGTTCTGATTTACATTATGTAATATTCTAATACTAGGCAATCTTCTATTTTGTACTTTTAATTGTGGCTCTATCTTTGAGCATCTTCTCTGTATACAATATAAAACAATAACAAATAAAAGTTTGCGGAACCTTCCCTGGGGCCATGTGACAGACAAGCAAAGTATATAATTCTAATATATAATGATTTTTTTCTAAACTTTGAGGGTGTAACCTCTAGTTTTTACTAACCTTTGAGGGAACCTCTGGTTTTTTCCTTTTCTTTGAGGGTGTAACCTCTAGTTTTTACTAACCTTTGAGGGTATAACCTCTAGTTTTTACTAACCTTTGAAAGTATAACATCTAGTTTTTTCCTTTTCTTTGAGGGTGTAACCTCTAGTTTTTACTAACCTTTGAAAGTATAACCTCTAGTTTTTTCCTTTTCTTTGAGGGTGTAACCTTTAGTTTTTACTAACCTTTGAGGGTATAACCTCTAGTTTTTTCCTTTTCTTTGAGGGTGTAACCTCTAGTTTTTACTAACCTTTGAGGGTATAACCTCTAGTTTTTTCCTTTTCTTTGAGGGTGTAACCTCTAGTTTTTACTAACCTTTGAGGGTATAACCTCTAGTTTTTTTCCTTTTCTTTGAGGGTGAAACCTCTAGTTTTTACTAACCTTTGAGCGTATAACCTCTAGTTTTTACTAACCTTTGGGTGTAACCTCTAGTTTTTTTTTACTAACCTTTGAGGGTGTAACCTCTAGTTTTTACTAACCTTTGAAGGTGTTACCTCTAGTTCTTACTAACCTTTGAGGCTGTAACGACTAGTTTTTACTAACCTTTGAGGGTGTAACCTCTAGTTTTAACTAACCTTTGAGAGTGTAACCTCTAGTTTTTCCTAACCTTTGAGGGTGTAATTTCTGGTTTTTACTAACCTTTGAGGGCGTAACCTTCTGTTTTTCCCTAACCTTTGGGGGTGTAACCTCTAGTTTTCCTTACCTTTGAGGCCGAAACCTCTAGCTTTCCTAGGGCGGGGAACTCCTGGTCTAACTTCTCTGCTTTGTCTCTCTCCAGTGCTCTCTCTGATCTAGCGAGGATTATCGGTTTCTGATCCTAAACTTCAACCATTCAAAGCAACCTAGGGTACGGTTTTGCCCACTGAATGGACCTGGGGTAAATAAAACTTTTATAGGGGGAAATTTTAAAATCCTCTTCAACGATCATTTTTACTCATTTTACTCAAAGAAAAAAAGTTGTGGGTTTCTATCGCTGAAAAGTAAAACACTTTCGGGAAAATTTATGCTTTTTCTGAGAAAAAAAAGGGGTCAAAAGACGGTGAATGCTGAATGATCAATTTCCTGTCTCTCTTCTTGAAATCCTTGCTCTCTATACTCAGGTCTACAAAATCATAATTTTAAAAAACTTTTCTCAACAAATGTTTATAATCATATTCTGTAAGGTCTCATTAACATCTAATCAAATCCAAATTTCAAAAGTTAACGCGCATTTTTAACAGTTAGAGGGACAATCAGCGTAATTTCAACTGACACTTAAAAACCTAGAAAAAAAACTGAATATTGATCAGAAAGGTTTCAAGGGTACCGTTGTAAATCGAACATTGTTATCTTTGCATGGAGGGTCACTTGAAATTACAATTACAATCACTTTAAGTTAATCTTTTAACAAAAAGGGGTTTATTATTGTGAGAACCTACATTGCCCGGCCAAATAAAACGTAAATGAAACTAAGATTATATCAAAATTCGCAATATATCATCATGGAAAATAATTTAAAAATGGCGCATGAAAACCAAAGCAACTAGTTAAAAATATATTTTGTTTCCTAAATATTCTTGAGGGTGTTCCATATTTAACTTCCCCCTCCTCCCCAGCTGATGGTTCAACCTTAAATATAAATTCATAAAAGTCAGCTTGTTCGGATTCAAGTAGTAAAATATAACCCATAACATACAACAATAAATAATCAATCTAACATTTTCAGCAAAAACATGTGAATAATGAAGTTTCATTAAAATAAAAAATTGCAGAAAAAATAAGAAAATAAATAAAATTTGGATCCAGATAAACGTTTCCGATTACGGGCATCAGGATCTATTAATCCAGCGAATGCTCTCATGAAAAACCCTTTCAGCGCAAACCAAACATGCGCAATTTCATTTAAAATTGTTACTGTTAGGGGTCACAAAAAAGTTGCGAGTAAGAAATGTAAAACTAAAGGCAACAAGGTGACAACTCTCGAAAGTCCAGATCTACAAAACAGGTGTATTATTTTCAAGGCAATCTAGATCACTGTGGATCTTGGTCAGAATCAAAATTTAAAATTAAAACGATTTAAAACAAATGATAAAATTCTTTCAAACATTTGAAGATGTCTGAAATGGAACTTGAATGTAAATCTGATCTTTTTTCAGAAATTTTTGTTATTGACAATTTACAATCTTATTTCTCGAGTTTATATACCTCTGCATCTCCTTCTCTTCTCTCGTTCCTATCAAACCCTCGTCTCCTTCTATCCCGAAATCTAAAAAGATTTGCTGAAACTTATTTTCAATGCATAGAGTGCTTTTTATTTAAAGAATACAAACTTAAGTGTTATAAATGACTAGCTGAAGGCCCCGACGTTGCCCGTGGAGAAATTTAAAAAAAAAATATCGAATTTGTTTAGCCTATATCAGTCACCCTCTGGCCACCCATAAGTGTCCGCAAAAAATTCCAGCCAAATCGGTCCAGTCGTTTGGCTGGCTATAGGCAACATATATCTATATATATATATACGAATGTCTTGTTTTATTATATTGATATAGGTTAATAATATGTTATTATGTCTTAAAGTTAAAAATCGCTTGTTTATACCATTAATCAAAAAGAGCAATAAGATATGTTCCAGTAAAGAAAAGTCTACATTTATGAGAAATATATTTTTCTAAACTTGTATTGCCCACCTATAATGAATAAAGTTAGGCACAATAAATTCAGCACGTTTGAAAAATAAATCAAACTATATAAATTTTTTAATATAAATATTAAATATAGTTAAAAAGTGAATTACAACATATTGTCTCAATTATTACCTTCTATTATCCCGATCTCCTTTCACTTCACTCCCATCATATCTTCCGCCGCCCCCTTCGTACCTTCCGCCTCCCTCATTTCTTCCACCACCCCCTACGAACCTTCCGCCGCCTCCTTCGTATCGTCCGCCTTCTCCTTCATATCTTCCGCCTCCTCCCTCATATCTTCCTCCGCCCTCAAACCTTCCTCTTCCCTCGAATCTTCCGCCTCCACCACCCTCATTCCCTCCACCCTCATATCTTCCCCTGTTCCCTCCACCATCATTCCTTCTGAAATCATCTCGCCGCCGATTTCCTCCGTCTCTTCCGCCCCGGCCACTCATTTTAAATTAGTGTCATCTAAAACAATCCATCATACACCGTGCCTGATAGAATTGACAGAATTAAAATATATTAATGATTAGTACAACACGAACTACAACAATTCAACAACTATGGCAGAGTTAAGACTGTCAGAAACAATAAAAAAACAAACAATTTTCTTGTAAAAGATAATATATCGAAAAAAACTTTTCTATGGTCAAAACCGGGAGTCTGTCCCAGAGTTCCTGTCAATTTTATACATGACCACTAATGTTCGTCAAAATTTTTATTAATTATTTTACGTATAATTATAGTGTTAGGTTAGGTAAAGAAAATTTGTAGGCCGAGCGCTGAGGCTAGGGAGCCGGGCGCTGCGGCCACATGACGAATTATATCCACTTGTTACATATGAGATCCAAATACAAAATTGATAGGAGGGGGGAGCAGGGTCCAAAAATAGTTTTCTAGGAAATTACCATAAACCGGTTTATTAACATTTGATTTTTTCTTGAAAGAGTGTTATGTAAGAAAACACAGTTTAAACAACTGGACCTGTCCTCGAGAACGATTTTAAGAACACAAATAAACACTTGTTCCACTAATTTTGCCGACATTTGTTCTCAAAAAACAAACGTTGAACGTTTTTATCTGTTTACGGCATGATTGCGCTCGTCAGTCGTCACTCGTCAGAGAAATGGAATCATAAAAGAGGAATGATAAAAAAGAAATCATAAAAAGAACCATGGATTTTCTTTTAGTTTATTTTTAAATCTTAATACCAAAAATTTTTATATTTTTCCCATATAACGTAAATTTTGATTTTAATAATATTCGTTCTCCAATCATCTGGTTTTATGAGTTCATAAAGTATATTTACGCATGCGCACTTTTTACTGCAACTGTTCTGTTTTTTAACAGTTTTTTTCTTCTAAATGTTATGAAAATTTTCAGTGTTAGATGTTATTATTATTCAAATCTTTTTATTGATCAAAAGTACAAAAATAACAAGTAAACTTTATATATATATAACAAAGAAAGGTACATTTTGATTTTAATATTTTACACGGAGCATCTGTTTATTTATGTGGAAATCTTAGAGATTTGGTAAATGACACAATTTTCATTTTTATGTTGAGTTAAGTAAATTCAGTAATGACAGTAAAGTGAGAAATGCAGAATTTAAGACGGTGATCCGAAAAAGTATAAGAACAACAACACGAGATGCGAATAACTTACATGATTAAAGAAAAAATAGGAGCAATAAAAACAATAAGGCGATACACCATTAAATAGCCAATGGAGTCTCGTTTTGGAGTGTTAACGAGAGGTGTTTTAAACATGGGCATTAATGATAGACCACAAAAAATACAAAAAATACAGAAATTGGAAAAATAAAATGATAAGGCGATTCACCGTTAAGTACCAGTATTATCTCTTTTTGAATTGAGGCGAAAATCGTTTAAAACAAGGTAGATTAATTATGTGAGGACTAGTTGCATGAGATCCATGGATTTACATAATCTGCGATTAGTATTTTACAGAAACATAAGATAGACCTTTATCAAGGCCCAGCTAACATTCGATCTCCGCCGTGTTTTGGTCTCCGCCATGTCGTATGTGCGATAGCGGAGAGGTTTCTATACCTCCATAGTATGTACTCCATGTCCCCTACATAGTAAGTGCTATGGCGAAGAAATTACTACACCGCCATAGTATATACTCCAGATGTCCGCTATATCTCCTCTATCGTAGGTGCGATGGCAAAGTAATTATGTACCACCATAGTATATACTCCATATATCTCCGCCGTAGATACTCTGTCGAAAGTACGAGGGCGGAGTTATTACGTACCTCCATAGTATATACTCCATATTTCTAAAATATCTCCTCTGTCGTAGGTGCGAGGGAGGAGCAATTATGTACCTCCATAGTATATACTCCATATATCCCCGCTGTAGTTCCTTTGTCGTAGGTGCGACGGTGAAGTGGTCTATATACCGCCGTAGTATATAATCCATGTTTTCGCTGTCGTATATACTAAAGAGGAGATCAAAGTAACTAAATCAAACATTTGAACCGTTAATTTTTTATCAACCCGCGCAGCAGCAATACATTTATGAGATTCAGTTACTCTCAAACTCTTCAACATGAAACACTTATGTGAATCTATCCCGTGTGATATTAATCCAACCAAGGAGCCTGTTGTTAATCCAACCTTGGAGCCTGATGTAAATCCAACCAAGGAGCCTGATGTGAATCCAACCAAGGAGCCTGATGTGAATCCAACCAAGGAGCCNCATCGTTGAGAAAGAATTCGATTTAGTATATACTACATGGTACCGACATCGAAGTGTTCAGATGTGGGAGATCATATGTGCGCTGTAGTATATACTACATCGTATGTACGACAGATCTGGGTGGGTGCCGTTTACTATACCGCCAGGACCTACATCGGACATGATGATCGGAGCTCCGCCCAACTCTGGCGAAGCCTGTCGTATATACGAGGCGGTATAACCGAAATCGGTTATTTTGCAAGCTGGGGGACTAGTGAGAGGATATTTACTAGTTGTAGTGTTTAAAAATCTCAAATCTAAGATCTTACAGTTCAATTGTTGGATTCAATTGATGGATTAAAGTATTCGAAGCCTAACTATTTAAAACTCTAAAGCTTTTCAATTTGATAATTGGTGTTGTTTGAATTTTCAGTTTTAAAATTGAGTTCTTAGAATTCTCATTTGACCAATTTTTAAGGAGAATAATTTTGACACCTTATTTTTAGTGTTTCATCGCGAAAGAAAAGTATAAAAAATGTTGAAGAAAAACTAGAACGGCGTTTCACCAAATTAATTGGAAACAAAAAATATAAATAAACATAACAAATGGCTCTTCACCGCAATATTAGATTGTGCATGATAGAACTGCAGCTTTAACGCATAACCTGTGCTAACTTGCACTTCTTGGAAGAGCTGGATTCCTGCTCTAGTTTACGTTTTTCGATTTCAAGGCCTTTAACCTTTGAGTCAGCACTGCACTTAATCAGATCATAGAGTACCATGAAGTTCTTGATGGCCGCTCTGCCCATCCTTAGACGGGATTTATTATCAAGGTGGACCATCTCTTCATAGACTTCTTCTCTCCATTGTGGGGCTCTGTATCCGATCATATTTTCCATTCTATTCCTCGGACCATAGACGTCTGGATCAGCATGGACAGTTTTCATACCCCAAGTATGATATGTCCGAGCATTGTATGATCCCCGAGGGATGCTGTGTTAGATGTTATGACAAACTAATAGTTGTATTTGGACAATTCTATACATTAAATCATAGTTATAATATAAATTCTGCAAAATGTGACAATGTAGTGTTAAGAAATATGATATATTTGAATTAAACATATGGATGAGTTTTTTCTTTGTTCTGAAATAAATTATACTTCAGAGGGTATTTTCAAAACATGTATAATGGTTGGTCATAACCAAAAATTTGCGCCCAAGAAAGCGTAATTATTTTTCTTGTATTATCATCCCCTTAAATTCATTTTTAATTGAGAGATTATATATTTAGAGAAAATGATTTTAGACGACGATAATATTTACCGATTCCCTGACCCATCACCTCTAAACTCTTCTATCTTAGATTATTCAGAATACAGGTAATATATAATTTAATGATTATATATAAATATATATCACAGATACAGCGTGTCCTATAGAACATTTATTCTTTCACACTTAAACAATCTTTTGTTTTAAGTGAATTAATCTTTTAATAAATATATTCCCCTGTATATTTCTATATATGGTGAGGAGAAGGTATCCCCCTGGTGGTCAACTATGTGTCCTCTATGTGTAGGATGGGCTGGGCCGGAAAATTCTAAACTAAATATATATATCCACCTGTATATTTGTATATATGTAGAGGAGAAGGTATCCCCCTGGTGGTCAACTATTGGTCCTCTATGTGTAGGATGGGTTGGGCCGGAGAGGAGAATTCTGAATTAAATATATATATATCCACCTGTATATTTGTATATATTTATAGAGGAGAAGGTATCCCCCTGGTGGTCGACTATAGGTTCTCTATGTGTAGAATGGGCTGGGCTGGAAAATCCTAAACTAAATATATATATCCCCCCTGTATATTTGTATCTATGTAGAGGAGAAGGTATCCCCCTGGTGGTCGACTATGGATCCTCTATGTGTAGGATGGGTTGGGCCGGAGAGTAGAATTCTAAACTAAATATATATTTATATATCCCCCCTGTATATTTCTATATATGTAGAGGAGAAGGTATACCCCTGGTGGTTGACTATGGATCCTCTATGTGTAGGATGGGCTGGGCCGGAGAAGAGAATCCTAAAATTTGCTACAGGTGAAGAAAGAACAGTTCTTAATGAATAATGATACAGGGCGGGTGCATATTTTATTGAAAAATTAGGACTGTTAGGTATGTCTGTGCAAAATAACTTTTAGGTTTTTTTCTGAATTGGGGGGGGGAAATGAATAATTTTTGGTAAAATTTATCAAAAAACCTTTTAAAAAAACTTGCTTTTTGATGTACTGTGGAAGACGAGACCTGGCGGCCTCCTTACACAAAGGCCATGAAGAAAGAAAAGAGTTGAGAATCCTGCGCTGCATTCTCTGATTTAACAATGTGATTTCGTCCGACATATTTTCTCAGTTCTATTGTTATTCTTATCAGTAAAATATATACTCAAGAAAGCTTCCTTGTGTTATTGGAGATCGACACAATGTCCTCCATATTGGTGACCCCGACCTTGAACATATATACGGTGTTCCGGAATTCTATCAACACGAGGGAGAACGAGTGAATTCTATCAACATGAGGGAGAACGAGTGAATTCTGTCAACATGAGGGAGAAGGAGTGATTCCTATCAACATGAGTGAGGACGACAGAAATCTTTCAGCCCCTGCTGCTCACTTACAAAGGTAGCCGTCAAACTTCCAGATTTCTGGTTCGACGATCCTGATCTCTGGTTCATTCATGCCGAGTCTGCATTCCGTAATGCTCAGATTACACAATCGAGAACAAAATTTGATCATGTTATACAAAAACTCCCGCAGAACATCATGGTGTCCGTACATGGCCTGATACTTAGTTCGTCTGCTACATCCTCTACGCCCTACGAGGATCTGAAGGAGAAGCTGGTAGCCTCTTACACCTTGTCTCGCTGGCAGAGGGTGTCCAAAGTTATTCACCATCCTGCGTTAGGTGACCACCGCCCCACAGCTTTGATGGACGCCATGCTGGCCTTACTCCCTGAAGATGAAGTACCAGGTAGCCTGTTCCTTGGTCTCTTTCTTGAGAGGTTACCTGTAGAGGTGAGAGACCACCTGGTGGCCAAGGATTTCAAGAATCCAAGCGAGATGGCTTTACATGCAGATAAGTTATGGGATGCTCGTAGAGCACAATCAGTTGATCCTCTCCTAGCTGCAGCTTCTACGTCTCCTTCTCATGCTCGAGGGAGGGAGTGTTCTGATGGTTCTCCTGTCCGACGAAGCCAGACTCCAGGTCCAGCTGGTGCAGGTGAATGCTATTTTCACAAAATGTTCGGAAACGCTGCAAATAACTGCCGCCCTCCATGCAGTTTCCAGGGAAACTCCAGAGCCGATGAGAGAAGGAGGAATTAAACAGTCTTCCCGTCGGCGGTTTTCTCATCTACCTCCAGGATATCCTCTCCAACCGCAACTTTTTGGTCGACACAGGTGCGTCACGCTCAGTTTTCCCACATCATTCATCAGCTGCTCCCACAGGTCCTCGTTTACTGATGGCTGATGGTCGTCCTACCAAAGCTTGGGGTTCTAGGACTATCCCGCTCCAATTTGGTAACCGCCGTTTTCAGTTTTCATTTCTACTAGCAGATGTTGATCGTCCTGTACTGGGGGCTGATTTCCTGGCTGAATTCGACCTTCTGGTGGATGCTTCTAAACGACAGGTTCTGGAACGTACATCTATGAAACCTCTATCCTCTCCAGTCATGTCAACCAGCAAATCCTGCTGTTGCTTCAGTTTTCAAACTTGCTCCTGATGTTGCCTCCCTTCTGAAGGAATTCCCTGCTGCTTGGGAACCTCGTCAACCTGGTCAACTTCCTACTCACAAGGTGGAACACGTCATAGAGACTGAAGGTCAACCGCTGTTTGCCCGTGCCCGCCGATTAGATCAAGCAAAGTTGGAGTCCGCAAAAGCTGAGTTCCGTAAGATGGAAGAGACAGGAATTATACGACGTTCTGACAGTTCCTGGGCCTCTCCACTACACATGGTTCCTAAACCAGATGGTTCTTGGCGTCCTTGCGGCGATTATCGCCGTTTGAACAACGTGACAAAGCCTGATCGTTATCCTTTGCCAAATATCCGTGATTTCACAAACAATTTGAAACATTGTACAGTTTTTTCAAAACTGGATTTAGTGAAAGGTTATCATCAAGTACCCATGAACAGTGAAGATATTTGTAAAACCGCCATAGTTACCCCTTTCGGTTTATTCGAGTTCCTATCTATGCCCTTTGGCTTGAAGAATGCTGCACAGACCTTTCAATGTCTCATGGACCGGATCTTTAAAGGTTTACCTTTTGTTTTTATTTACCTTGATGACATTCTTGTGGCAAGCCGTGGACGAGGTCTTCACCTGAAACATCTCCGAGTTGTACTGGAACTCCTAGTACAGAATGGCCTGGTCATCAACCTCGAGAAATGCAGTTTTGCTCTTCCAGAAATTGATTATCTCGGTCACAAGATTACAGCCACAGGAATTGTTCCGCTCCGCCGTCATGTTGAATCACTACTCCAGCTGCCTCCTCCTCAAGATGTCCGTTCCTTGCAAAGATTCCTTTGCATGGTCAATTTCTACAGGAGGTTTCTTCCTGGTATTGCAAAGATTCTCCGTCAACTCACAGATGCCCTGGCTGGGAACCCTAAATCATTAAACTGGTCAGAAACTCATCAGGAATCCTTCGAGAAAGCCAAGTCCGCCCTTTCCTCCGCCGTTCCATTGACTCACCCTTCTCTGTCCGCCGAAGTTTCCCTTGTAACAGATGCTTCTGCCTCACACGTTGGAGCAGTCCTGCAGCAGCGCGAGAAATCCAATTTGAGACCTCTAGCCTTCTTCTCCGCCAAACTCTCCGCCACCCAACAAAGATATTCCGCCTTTGACAGAGAGTTATTGGGGGTTTTTCTCGCCCTACGTCATTTCTGTTTCGAGTTGGAAGGAAGAAAGTTCCACATCATTACAGATCATCTCCCCCTGGCTGCCGCCCTGTTCCGAGTTTCTCTGCCCTGGTCAGCGTGCCAACAACGCCAGTTATCTTATATATCAGAGTTTACCAGTGATATTCGCCATACTCCAGGATCTGCCAATGTTGTGGCAGATAATCTTTCCCGTCCATCTCCTCCTTCCCATCCTCCTTCCCATCCCCCTTCCCCTTGTCATCCGCCTTTTGCCCATCCCCCTGGTGGTCAGGTGTCGGAGGTGTCGGAGGTGTCGGAGGTGTTGGAGGTGTCGGAGGTGTCGGAGGTGACAGATTCTTCTCTACCCTCTCCCTTTCCAACCTCAGCCAAAGGTATTAATTTTGAGGAGGCTGCGGAGGCTGTTTATGGTTCGGATCTGGTCCTCCCTCATCAGTTCTTACAGAGTCAGGATCCTCCTTCAAAACAGTTCTACGAGGATCTTAAAAACTCAATGTCAGGTTTTCGTCCAGTACCTGCTCGTCACAACACAATATCTCTGACAACTTGTCCCATGGTTTTGGTTCGCAGAGATGGACATGTTCCTCCTCTATCTCCTCTGTATGAAGGACCTTATAAAGTTCTCAGTCGATCCCAGAGAACCTTCCGTCTCCAGGTTGGTAATTGAGTAGAGGTGGTTTCTGTGCAGAGATTGACCACCAGCCGAACCACCTCGTCGTGGATGTCCTCCTCGTAGGGTTCCACCAGATCCTCCTCCTGTTCCAGCTCGTCCTCGAGGAAGACCAAGGAAGAATCCAGCCTCAGCCTCGACTGTGATATTTCCTAGGAGGAAAAAAGTGGTTTTTNATTTTCATACATTAAATTTTTAATTAGTACTGTGGAAGACGAGACCTGGCGGCCTCCTTACACAAAGGCCGTGAAGAAAGAAAAGAGTTGAGAATCCTGCGTTGCATTCTCTGATTTAACAATGTGATTTCATCTGACATATTTTCTCAGTTCTATTGTTATTCTTATCAGTAAAATATATACTCAAGAAAGCTTCCTTGTGTTATTGGAGATCGACGCAACGTCCTCCATAGTACATTTTTTCATTTTTTTCCGAATTTCTTTAAAAAAACACTCCTGTCATAATTGTAACAATAAACATAGTTAACCGTGAATCTTATTTAATTGGAGATTTTTTCCGAAATATTTATTATTATTATATCATTATTATGTAAGGTGTTTTATTATCCGGCATTAGTATTGAATATTTGCCTAGAACTTCCTTGATTCTTGAATATCAAAAACGCCGGCGTTAGAACCTAGGATAGTATCTTGTTTTTTCTGATATAAATCATTTTAATTTAGTAGAAATTAAGTTCCGACAATTATCAAAATTGACTAAATCAAATAGGTTATTAACGTTCAACTTACTTTAACTTCAACTTTGTAATTTTAAGAAATTTTAAATGGTTTAAAAACAATTTTATATTTAGGAATATCTATGCCAAGTGTAGAAAGGATTCAGTGCTTCAGATTGGTAATTCTATTGGTAAGTTTTTATCTTTAAAATGATAGTCGTTCTCGTTCAAACTCTTCTAATTATTTAGAAAAATGAAATAATATTTACTGATATATTCCTTAACATGTTTTAAAAAAAATCTTTCAATGGCATATTGGGCAAAATAAGAAACAAGTTTATAGCCGCAAGAAACTTTGAATGTGAAAACAAAGTCACTAAATTCCGGTCAGTAATATCTGAAGTAAGAAAATATTATTATTGTATAGTAAGAAAATATTCAACTATAATGTTTATTCTCAGTTACATTTCTTTATGTTACATCACACAATTTTCTTATCAAATAAAGGGGAAATTATCTTATCTTTTGATCTTAATTTACAAACAGATAAGCAGTGTATGTTTACGTAGAGTAGCTCATTTTGTATTTAGTTAAAATTGATATTTGGCAATAACATAAAGCTAGAAATTGAACAGCCTGCTCAACACCCTCCTCTTCTTTTTGAAAAGCGTAACCTCAGTGATTATCTATCTATCTTAACCTACCTGAAATAATGTGGTTACACAGTACACTGTACAGTGAAAATCTAAATATGTACACTGTACAGTGTACACTTAGGATAGAAATGGGGGGAGGGTAACTTTTGTTAAAACTAGTTCATGGCGAATTTTTTGTTATTAATAAATTAATTTTGGCAGGAAATATTGAAGCTGTTAGACCAACGATAAAATCCCCTTTTGATAGAAATTTGGTCACTCATTTAGAAGGATTTGGTAAGTTCTTATTAAAAGGAACTGTAGATATAGCTTCAAGTGAATCTGCAGACGACATTTTTAAAGTGGCATGTCAGATTCACGACTGTGCCCTTAAAAGCTGTGTCTTTAAAATAAATGAGATTTTGATGTTTTTCTTCTTTGAACATTGATTAATTTCGATTGCTTCACCTCGAAAGTGATTTGTAAGTTGTGTATTTCTGCTACAAAAACAATTGCAGAAATTGTCAGAATTATGCACTTTCCAAGCTAGAAATACTTCGATTTTTTCCTCATTATTGATCAAATACAATGTTAAAGGCATTGATGTGAATTGGGCTTGACTATGAAATATAATAAAAAACAACTGCTTGACTATGGATTATATTATAAAACTACTGCTTGACTATGAAATATATTAAAAAAACAATTGCTTGACTATGGATTATATTATTGAACTACTGCTCGACAATGAAATATATTAAAAACAATTGCTTGACTATGGATTATATTATAGAACTACTGCTTGACAATGAAATATATTAAAAATCAATTGCTTGACTATGGATTATATTATAGAACTACTTCTTGACAATGAAATATATTATAAAACAATTGCTTGACTATGGATTATATTATAGAACTACTGCTTGACTATGGAAGATATTATAGAACTACTGCGTGACTACGGATTATATTCTAGAACTACTGCTTGACTATGGAATATATTCTAGAACTACTGCTTGACCATGGAATATATTACAGAACAACTGCTTGACTATGGATTATAATTCAGAATTGCTGTTTGACTATGGCATATCTCGGCTGGGAGTGGATACAGATGGTTCAGTTGATCACCCTGTATGTATAACAGAATGCCCGGCCAACACTAATTTTACCAGGTAGCACTAAGATGTTCTTTAAGTATCCCCTTCTAAACCAATTTTCCTTCTCAAATCCAATGTCAAAATGTTACTTATTTCCGGTCTATAAAATTGAATCATGCTAATATATATAATAATTGAATCCTATATATATAATAAAACAAGACATTCTGTGTATTTTTCCTATAGCCGGCCAAACGGCTGGTCAAATGGGCTAACATTTTTTGAGGGAACCCAGGGGTAACAAAAGCTAAACAAAATTTCCACGGGCAACACCAGGCACTTCAGCTTGTTACATCTAAGACTCTTTTCCTCATAAAATTAATGAATATTTAGTGACGTTAAAGGTGACCTTCAACCTTTTAACAATAACTGAGTTAGCCATATTTTTCCAAAGATTTAAATGTCTCCATTTTTGAGAGTTTCTTACCTTTAGACATGGTATGAATGAGGTACTGTTTGAACTGTACAACGTACCTAGTGTAGGGTACGGTATTGACTCTTTGTTCAGTTTACAACATAATTGTACTTCTGTTCAAGATGCTCTAGGTAACTTTTTGTACACAGTACAAGCTTTTTATTTTATGTTAATAATTGTTATTATTGTTTTAATAATCACACATAATTAATTTATTTAATTATTCAGAAAAGAGTCAAAATAAAAAAAAATTAAAAAAATCGATCCTTTAGACGAAGAAACCCATACTTAGATTAAGATTACGAAATGTTAGCTATAGTATTTTCGAAAAAAATTTAAATAAACCCAAAGAAAATTTTTTTGGATTGGTTTCTTTTGTTTCTAAAATACTTATTAAATCATTGAGCATTCTTTTCAACTTTAACTTATTACTTTAGTTATAAGTCTTGGACATCAAACTATCCATGTTATTCCTGTTCTGGGGGGTGTCCCACACCTCCATAATGCCCGCAGTAACAAAATTAACATGACATAAACCACCTAAGGTATTTTGATGGTGGAGCGCTTTAAAGAAACTGATTTCTCTCCTTTTTGTCTAACCCTTATGTCTTTGCAATCTGCTGACATAAACCTTTGAAATTTCAAACTAAGAATTCTGCAAAATAAAAAAAAGTTTTTCATGTTAAAGTTTACACAGTAAGGTGTCTAGATATGAGAATTTGAAAATTAGAGTTTGAGAAAAGTTATCAGCATTAAGAGCGCTGCTCGGCAATCTGTGTTGTTTAAAGACGATATTTAACCAATCTTATGTGTATTTGATGTTGTGATAGAAAATAGTTCTACCAGTTAGTGATGTGCTTTGGTTGGTTAGTTTTGGGTCGTTTTTTGTTTACATTTTCTTTCAGGTCAAAATTTAGCATAATGTAAAGAAAGCAAATGTATTTTAAATTGTGTATTCTAAATATTAGATTTTCTTACACTATGTCAAAATTTTGCATAGTGTAACGTAAACAAATGTATTTTAAATTGAGTAGATATTCTAAATATTAGATTTTCTTACACTAAGTCAAAATTTTGCATAGTGTAACGTAAACAAATGTATTTTAAATTGTGTATTCTAAATATTAGATTTCCTTACACTATGTCAAAAGTTAGCATAGTGAAACGTAAACAAATTTATTTTAAATTGTGTATTCTAAATATTAGATTTTCTTACACTATGTCAAAATTTTGCATAGTGTAACGTAAACAAATGTATTTCAAATTGTGTATTCTAAGTATTAGATTTTATTACACTATGTCAAAATTTAGCATAGTGTAACGTACACAAATGTATTTCAAATTTTATATTCTGAATATTAGATTTTATTACACTATGTCAAAATTTAGCATAGTGTAACGTAAACAAATGTGTTTAAATTTTATATTCTGAATATTAGATTTTCTTCCACTATGTCAAATTTTAGCCGTGGCAGAAGTTAAATGCAAAAAAACACCGAAAAACTACATAAAAACGATCCAAAAACGAATGTGTCGTAACGGTCGTTTTCGAACTTTTGATTTTTTTAGGTCACAGATATTGCAAAGTTTAATCAAATCAAAGTTTAACATAAATCTTTAAAGTTTTATTTTTTTCTGTAAACGGTCCAAAGTGAATAACAACACTACTACCTGTAGATTGAAAATCAACTAATAAAGTTAAAAGGCTCTGTGTCAACTACACAAATGTGTTTTATGTAAATTGGAATACTTAATGTCATTACTTGTATCTAACAGTCGTATTCGTATCCTACAGTTTTGTAGGTCTTACTGTAAACTAAACAAATATATAATATTAAGGGAATGAACATTTATAACTATAAATTCTATGGCGAAATCAGAGACCGAATTTAAAGAATTTTAGCCGCGGCTTTAATTTGAGAAGCGGCTCAAATATGGTTGGTTTCACTTAAAATTGTATTCAATATTTCAAGATTTAAACCGGCTCTCAATTAAAACCGGTTTTTAGTGGATTTGAGACGCGGCTCAAATTCATTAAATTCGGACTCAGGAATTTTATAATTCTACTTTAAAAAGGTTTTAACGAGACAAAAGAAACTTTCCAAGATTAAAAAGAAATGATAATATTGATTATTTTAGGAGGTTTACAATTACAAAGTTATATGCAACGGATCCTACAGCTACGATATCAAAATCATTCCGCCACACTTACGCTTTCAAGGTAGTAATTATTATCATAATTTCTGTTTGATTGTTTATCAACATTTTTAAACAAAACAACCTGTTTTGAAACGATTGGATTGGAACAAATTGTATCTATTTGTGGGGTATAGTGTGATGGGGGGGATACTAAGTTTAATAATTCTTTTGTTTACAAAGATTGTTTTTTTTAGGATTGAGGATATGTTTTCCTTGCTTCGTGTTTCTTCAGATTTTCATTCAGACTTGAAACTGTGGAAGGATCCTGATTATTATGAGAGGTGATACTTCTATAGAACTTTTGAATCCTTATTACATATTATTATCATCATAAATATAAAGTAGCAACATGTGTGTGTATGTTTGTTTGGATGTCCGGTCATAGCTCATGCACCCCTCGACCGTTTCTTTAATTGGGAATTTTGGTCAAACCTCGGGAATGTTCTTTAACCCGGTTTAAACGTCCAAGGTTGAGTGCTTTAGCTTTTACAGGGAAAACTTTGTTTCCAGGCAAAGCTGGGTTCCCGTGCGGGTTTTTTAAACAACAACAATTTACGTTCCTTATATTTCGAAATTTTCTGCGGTATTTTTTGCACATTTTTTGCGACCATTACAGGGCTTTTCAGCATTGATTATATATAATTATCAGTGCGACGTCGTTTCAAGGTGAAAAAATGGTGACCCAGGTAAAAAGAGGGATAGCACAGAGACAATTAATTTCTCCCTTTTCTAGAAGTTAATATTTATAATAATAAAATGAGAAAATAAAAAATATTGTTTATTTAGTAATGCGTTAAAAGTTCAGCTCCCATTTGTTGCAACAGTTAAGGCTCCCCCCGTGGATCCAGAAATATTAAAGGCTAGAAGGCAAGAACTAGGTAAATAATGATAACAATAACAATAACAATAACAATAACAATAACAATAACAATAACAATAATAACGATAACAATAACAATAACAATAACAATAACAATAACAATAACAATAACAATAACAATAACAACAATAACAATAACAATAACAATAATAACAATGACGATTTTTGTAATAGCAGTAAAAATAACAATAACAATAAAAATAATTAGTATTACTAACAATAATAGCAACAAAAATATTAGTAATAGAAATAACAATAACAACAAAAATATTAATAATAGTAACTATAATAATAAAAATTTCGGTAACAATGAAAATAGCGATTTCAATGATAGTTTTAATAACAAAAACAATAATAAGGTTTAAAAAATTTATTTCACTATAATAGCAACAAGATTTGATATAATACAGTGGTAGGCTATTATATCAATACAATTAAGACGACTTTCTATTTCAATTTTGATATAAATAAAGCCGTTATACAGCATGGATACACATAAACAAAGAAGTCAAGAAAAGCTGTTAAAAGCATTTCTTTGATTACTTGCATACTTGAAATTCGAAAAAAGCTTGTTAACAATCAACACTTGGTGAAAAAGTCGTCTTCATTGTATTGATATAATCGCCTACCAATGTATAAAATTTGGTTTAGTTTTGATGTCGTTATTATTTAGGACGAAGATTAATGGAAATCAATTCTAAGAAGAGAGAATCTAAACTCCAGGAGAATATAAAGATACTGGAGCAGTTGGATCATGTTAAACAGATAGTGGATCAAGGTAGAATATCAAGATACTGGAGCAGTTGGATCATGTTAAACAGATAGTGGATCAAGGTAGAATATCAAGATTATAGAGCAGTTAGATCATGTTAAACAGATAGTGGGTCAAGGTAGAATATCAAGATACTGGAGCAGTTAGATCATGTTAAACAGATAGTGGATCAAGGTAGAATATCAAGATACTGGAGCAGTTGGATCATGTTAAACAGATAGTGGATCAAGGTAGAATATCAAGATTCTGGAGCAGTTAGATCATGTTAAACAGATAGTGGATCAAGGTAGAATATCAAGATACTGGAGCAGTTAGATCATGTTAAACAGATAGTGGATCTGGGTAGAATATCAAGATACTGGAGCAGTTAGATCATGTTAAACAGATAGTGGATCAAGGTAGAATATCAAGATACTGGAACAGTTGGACCATGTTAAACAGATAGTGGATCTAGGTAGAATATCAAGATACTGGAGCAGTTAGATCATGTTAAACAGATAGTGGATCCGGGTAGAATATCAAGATACTGGAGCAGTTAGATCATGTTAAACAGATAGTGGATCTGGGTAGAATATCAAGATACTGGAGCAGTTGGATCATGTTAAACAGATAGTGTATCAAGGTAGAATATCAAGATACTGGAGCAGCTAGACCATGTTAATGTTGATAATCTTTTAGGATCTGAAACAAGAACGCAGAGGGCGTTATTGAATCTCAATTTGACGAGTACAGAAGAGCTGATTTCTCTAATCACTCGAACAAAGATGGCGATTGATAAGGCCAACGAGGCAAAACTAAGAGAGGCTCAGAGGTAGAGAAATATATCAAAACTAGGATTTTAAGACGCTTCGCCCCCCCCCCCCCATTCAATAATTTTACCTTCTAAATTCATACATGAAATAAATATAACGTTTAAATAATTTAAGAATTGGATACACTTAATTCCGAACGCTTAATCTGATTATCCAATGCGGACCCTTTTAATTTCTTTCTTAGACCGCTCTTTTTCTCTATTTTTGAATATCCCTACCAGATTCCGACCAATGAGAAATCTCTCATTAAATGGCGCTTAAAATTTCAAATTTCCCAGGTTCTTATTGGCTGTTTGGGATTCCACATACGTCATGTCACTCTGTTGGTTGAATTCTATAAATTTTTAAGGATATTAAGTAAAGATCAAACTAAAATTAAGATTAATGAAAAGGGGAGAGCAAACATTGATCTCAATATCTACAATTCTAAGTTTTCAGCTCAGACGAAGTAGCAGACAAACATAATAAAATTACGTTTTTCTAGAAATTACATTGCGCATTTTTTAGAGAAGAAACAGCTGCTGAGCCTGAAACTAAAAAGAGGCGTGAAGACATGTGTGAATCGGAACGGATTGAATTCGATTCTTGGATATCTGACGTCAGATCGAAACTTCAGGAAATCCGGGAGAAGAAAGCTGTGCGCGCACGCCGCCGGAAACAGATTGCTAAGCGACGCACCGCGGCAAGTCAAGAAAGAATGCGCATTATCAGCCATCTTGCTCGGAACAATAAGGTAGGATCAAGGTCTGAAAAAGGAAGTAGATTTAAGCATAAAGGAAGAAACATAATTTTGTAGGTTAAACAAGTCGTCAATTTAAGTTGATTTGTTGGCTTTTTATCTAGATAACACAGGTTAACCGATTTTTAAATTGATATTCAGTATCCACAGACCAAAATGATTTATTAATTAAGAGGTTTATTGTATCAAGTTGTATGTAAAATGCAGGTTTAGGATTCAGATTTTAGTGAACAAATTGTTGTTCTATTGTCAGATTTTAATTGTGTGTTGTAGGAAGAGGATAATTTCGGATTGAATGACTCAGACTGGGATGTTTACAAACAAATATCACGTGATGCCGAGGATTCGGATAGTGAAGAGGAGAATCTCAAAGCCCAGGTAAGATAACTAGGTTTAACGTAATCTTAGCTTTTTGTTATTGATCTATATTCAATCCTTTAAAACTTTTTGAATGAAACCAATTCGCAGATCACCCTTTGGCGGATTTTTCAAAATATCGAAATTTATATGTGTCAAACAATTTTAATTTGCAGATTTTTCTGTGTTCTTCAGCGGATTTTCAAAAAAATCTAAAATTCTACGCAGCAAACGTAGTAATTCTGACTGGTCATAAACCTTTCCTGGTTGAGCCTGATCGGTTTAGCCGAGTTTGTCGTTCGTTAGATACAAATAAGCATACTTGTTTTTAAACATTGGCTCTACAAAGATAAAGTTTGATCAATTTTAAAATCGAATGTTCTTAATTTTTTTTCTCATTTTTCTTAATTATTGACAGAAAATGAAGTTTTTAAAACGGTTGATTTAATCTGTAAATCTAAATATCTAAAGGCTTAGTCTGAGATGGATTCTTTTTAATTTATTCAAATTAATCTTGGGAAATATGGCAAATTTAACTAAACGCACTCTGCATGATGAGTTACGGTCAATTTTCACCATTTACCCCAATACCTTTCCCCTACTACCGCCACCATGTTGTATGTGTTGATTTCATGTGTTAAATTTATGTCATATTTTCCATCGTCTTTTAATGTTTTATTAACATTTTTGTCCATAAAGGTAAAATTAATTAGTCTTTCGACTTAACTCTCCATTTTACATTTCTGTATTATGCATGCAAAGTGCCAATACAAAGAAACACATGAGTGCATGCTAAAATCAGCGAAGGAGAAGAGTTTCGCCGCTAATTCAGTTATCTAAATCCCTATATCTTCGCAACCCGATGTTGTAGACCTCTCATATTTAAAACTATAATTTCTGTTAGCTCAAATAGTTTGAAAAATCTAAGGCCTAATCAGACTGGAAAGATGTAGGGACTAAAAAAATTTAGTTTTTTGCCTAAATCTTAGTTCTTTTTCGATCTTTGAGGCATAAAAAATTCGAAATTCTGCTTTATTATTAGTATATTGTAACAATTTTTGAGACACAAAAAATCCGAAATTCTGCTTTATTATTTGTATATTGCAACAATACTGTTTATAGGAGTATGAATCTGTGCTAAAAGAGCACGGGGATGAGGAGGAAGAAATAAACAGAAACTCTCCTCTATGGCATCAGGTTGTTTAACTATTATGAATATTATTATTATTATTATTATCATTGTAGCTATATACAGGGTGGCCAAAATGTACGGATTGTACGGATTTTTTTTGAAACCCTAAAATTGTGCGGATTGTACGGATTTTTTTTAAAAATTGTACGGATTTTACGGATTTTTATCATGAAAATACGCCGTTTTTTTAATTTTCACTCATTTCAGCAAATTTTTCATGAAAATTTCAAAAAAAAATTCTCGTCAAAATGAAGTTAGTTTAACTTTTTTTCTGCATTCTAAATAATCTAGATTAATGTTTAAATTGACAATCAAAATTCATTCATAATTTTCGGGCTATGTCCCAGAAGTGTTCATTTGAGAATATGTTCCAGAAGTGTTCATTTGAGAATATGTTTATCTATCTGTCTATCTGTCTAGCTATCTAGCTATCTGTCTATCTATCTGTCTATCTGTCTAGCTATATGTCTAGCTATATGTCTAGCTATCTGTCTATCCATCTGTATATCTATTTGCATGTCAGTTTATCTATCTTTTTATCTATCTGTTTATATATCCTATCTGTCTCTCTGTTTATCTATATGTCTATGTGCCTATCTGTTTCTCTGTCTATTTATTTGTCTATCTATCTGTCTGTCTGTTTATCTATCTATCTATCTGTATCTTTATCAGATCTGAGAACATCCTCTCAGGTTTCTTCCGTTTATCTGAAAATATTTTCATTTTAAGTTTAATTTTAACTTTCTTTTAATTGAGTGTGCAACCCCTGTACTACCTCCCACCACGTTAATTTTAATTATAATAAATCCTAAATCTACACTCCACTCTTTCTAATTATAACTTAATCGTTTGTTTGTTAAATGGCCTAATTCACACCAATCTAAACAGTTTTAAAAATTAGAATCAACGCTCTTTAGTTCTCTAGTTCTCTGGTTCTCTGGTTCTCTGGTTCTCTGGTTCTCTGGTTCTCTTGTTCTCTGGTTCTCTAGTTCTCTAGTTCTCTAGTTCTCTAGTTCTCTAGTTATCTAGTTATCTAGTTCTCTGGTTCTCTGGTTCTCTAGTTCATTGGTTCTTTGGTTCTCAGGTTCTCTAGTTCTCTAGTTATCTAGTTATCTAGTTCTCTAGTTCTCTAGTTCTCTAGTTCTCTATTTCTCTAGTTCTCTAGTTCTCTAGTTCTCTGGTACTCTGGTACTCGGGTTCTCTGGTTCTCTAGTTCTCTAGTTCTCTTGTTCTCTGGTTCTCTAGTTCTCTAGTTCTCTAGTTCTATAGTTTTCTAGTTCTTTAGTTCTCTAGTTCTCTAGTGCTCTGGTTTTCTTGTTCTCTATTATCTAGTTCTCTAGTTCTCTAGTTCTCTAGTTTTCTAGTTCTCTGGTACTCTGGTTCTCTAGTTCTCTAGTTCTCTATTATCTAGCTCTCTAGTTCCCTAGTTTTCTAGTTCTCTATTATCTAGCTCTCTAGTTCCCTAGTTTTCTAGTTCTCTGGTTCTCTAGTTCTCTAGTTCTCTAGTTCTCTGGTTCTCTGGTTCTCTGGTTCTCTGGTTCTCTGGTTCTCTTGTTCTCTGGTTCTCTTGTTCTCTATTTCTAAGTTCTCTTGTTCTCTAGTTCTCTTGTTCTTTAATTCTCTAGTTCTCCAGCTCTCTAGTGTTTAATAGTAATGTTTAAGTTTTATATCTTTGCAACCTTATGTGGTAGACTTTTGTTATTATAAGCTGTGAATCATTTTCTTTTAGACATATTAACAAATAATTAACATATTAATATTTCATCAAAATATTTATAAGGGTTTGTAAATAAAGCCAAATTACTATTTTTTTCAACCAAAAAATAAAGATATTTCTTCAAAGATATTTTAAAACATCCTTGAAAGATTTTACAATAAACTGTCAAGTATATATATTTTATGAATCAATTAAAATAAAATATTTTAAATTTGTATGCTTTGCTTTCCAACTTAACACAACTTTTTAGCAAGCTCGTTAATTCTGTTAATTTTTAGCATAACATACAAAAATAAGAATGTTACTGTTGACTTAAACTGAGTAGACGTAATATCAAGTGACAAAGAAGTTAGAGTGTCATGTCTGATTCACAACCAGCCTTTACACCTTTATCTCAGTGACAATAAGATATACATCATAGTTTTCGTGGAAATTGTTAAATTCCCACAATTTCCTTCATTATCTATGCAGCATAAATCCGTGAATCCACAATTGAAAATTTTTCTATTTGCGGCAAGACGATAAGGAAATCTTATTGATCATTGATCGGGTAAAGTTTTAAACTGTGAATTGGATAAACTATTCCTAGAATGAAGGGTCACTTAAAATTACGTTTACTGAGTACAGAATATAGACCCTTTTAACTGTTACATTTGTTTGAAATATAGAGAAGTTTTAATAGTACTCTTGCATCACGCTAAGGACAATTGTAATGTGTACACTACAGCACTAAGCATATATTAAAGAGAACAATACAAAAATAAATTTTGTACAAATATCTACTTCATTGAGATTTACATCCTTTCAAGCAACTAGAATTTGTCATGTATACTCATTAATTGCAATAATATCTTTAATAGTACTCTTGCAAGTTGCATCACGCTAAAGACAATTGTAATGTGTACACTACAGCACTAAGCATATATTAAAGAGAACAGTACAAAAATAAATTTTGTACAAATATCTACTTCATTGAGATTTACATCCTTTCGAGCAACTAGAAATTGGCATGTATACTCATTAATTGCAATAATATCTTTACAAAACACCTTCTACCAATTTGTTATTTTTTATCGGTGACATTATGTTTATTTTTACTTAAAAATCTGTTAAGAGAAGGTATATTACCGACCTAGTTTGATCCCAGAGGGCCAGAAGTAAGAACATATGTGGATTTAATAATCTTCTATTTTTACTGCAAATGTAAAAATATGCAAATAAAATTCGTTTGATCCATGCTTTTTAAAGAAATTCTTTTATTTAAAAAATGTCTTATGTTTTGTTAGAGATCCAAACCAGTAAAATAAGCAATTATTTGAATACAAACCGGCTTTTTTAGTCTTCACGAACACTCCCTTTAAGGTTCATTTGAGTACTGAGATAACCATGATACCAGAAATCATTTTCCAACCGAGCATTCTAGGTAAGAATAAATTTTATATTATTATTATATATACAGTGGGCCCCTTTAAACTGTGGAATAGGTTAACTAGAATTAAGCGATCCTTCGTGTATTTGATGTTGTTGCAAAGCAGCTAGTTTTATTAGTAGCTAGAAAGTCAACAATAATTGAAATGGGTCTGTGTACACTGCACTATTGGACTATTCAAATTCATGTGGTTTTCTATTTCACAGCTTCATTGGTCCCACCCTACTACTTTTATTATTATCAATAATGGTGAACGGATTGTCAGAATAACCTTTAAATGTCGTCTTACTTTAAAAATATCATACATGATTCTCAATCGTATCGTTTAAACCGTTGTCCAGAGCTGGGTAATTTTGAATGGTGGATATCGGTTTTAATGCTTGATCTCCTCTTTTTCTTAATCTCGAGATTAAAAAATGCTTGTTCTCCTCTTGTTATTAATCTCCAGATTAATTAAACGATCGGATTAAGGATATCCCATTCTTAAGTTTTCAGCTCGGAGCAGTTAAGTTTTCTTCGTTCTTTTTCCATCGGAAAAATTTGAATCATTTGTATCATTCTTAAGGGTACCGTCGTGAATCTTACAGCTATGTTTGTAATAAGGGTCCCTTAAAATCACGCATACAGTCCCTTTGATCTACTTGAACTTGATTACCCAAAGTGGTTATACGCTGCATCTTTGTATTATATTTGATATGGCAGTGTACTCTGAAAAGTTATCAGAGACAAACATATTCAATTTTAACAACAAACAATGTTGTTTATCAATTCAACTGTTTAATCTGTGTAGGTTTGGAGCAGGCTGGGTTAGGGGAAACTATTCAGTTTATTTTCACAAAATATAGGTAAATTTTTTTTTTGGTAACTCACTCCAATTCTAGACACAAGACACAGGTTCAAACATAAAGGAATGGATTTTATCACATTTTAAATCCTTTTTATTTTGAATCAACACCCGAGCATCAGAAAAGTTAACTGATAATGTTCCATTTCAAGGATTCTAAAACTTTTTTTTATTTTCTAGTTAATAGTTTTTTAGAGTTAAAGTGCAAGACCAAATTTACAACAAAACAATGGACGCGTAATTTAAAGTTTAATTTACAGATTGAATTTAACTGTTTTTTTTTTCTCATCAAACCTGGTTTTTCTTGGAGCGAAAAGCTTATTGAATTATTTAAGAACGTTAAGATAATTTTATCTCTGGCAACTTTTTACTATTTGAAATTAATTCACAGTTTAGTTTCCTTAAATGAAAAGTTTTTGGGGGAGGGGGGTTAATTTTTAAATATAAGAAATTTAGAGATTGAAATCTAAATTTATTTTTTTATAATTGTTGTTTTGAAATGAATATCTATATATTGAATTAACCCTGAATTCAGTTGTCCTGATGTTGCTCGGTTATCCAATAATGTTCTTCTTACCGGGGGATTATCTAAAATACCAGGTATTTCAGAGTTTATTTTATTTAATATTTATATTTCTCTTATTCTTTTGTCTTATTATTATTTTCATCGGTGCTTAGAATCCGGATCCGTTGGATCCGCAAGATTTTGGCTTCCTGGACCCGGATCCGGATCCGCAAAAATATGCGGATCCGGATCCAAGGGGTGAAATATCAACCAAAAACTGCAAAAATAACTTTTTTACAAATCTGAACTTAAAAAAAAAAAATTATAAAAATTTTTAGGATAAAAATAAGCGAAAAAAAATAAAACAAATTTGAAAATTATTTTTTGTTAAAAAAATTCAGTAAATCTTAAAGAAATGACCTGGATCCGGATCCGGATCCATTTTTTTCTAGTGCAGATCCAGGATCCGGATCCTTATCAGCATCAAAATTAAATGGATCCTAAGCACTGAATTTATTGATTGTTTTCATTTGGAGAAATTAAACGTTATTTGCACACAGAGGTTTAGCTTTTGATTATATTAAACGAATTTTCAGGAGTTCTTTCGTAATTGCATCGTTTTTTGTTTACATAATCATATATGTTAATTCTGATGACAGTACCTTCAAGTTTTTATTTTGTAGGTTTACAATCTCGTCTTGAGGTAGAGTTACAACAGATGCTTCCCTTTAAATCTACTTTTCAGGTTAATAACTATTTTTTTATCTTTAACCTTCCTGTTTTTTTTCTTTCCCCCCCCCCCCTTCTATTTAAAAACATGGTTCCTTATGTTTTCCTCTTATCGTCCTAAGTTTCCGTTATCTCTGAATTGTTTCTTTCGATCTGAATGAAGAGAAAGAAACCGTTTAGAAATAATCAAGAATAATTTCCGTCCATGGAGGACTTAATACACAGATAGGACTTATTTTGCGCAGTTATTACACAACAAGAACACATTACGGAGAACTTAATACACTGATAGGACATATTTTGCGCAGTTATTACACAACAAGAACACATTATGGAGAACTTAATACACAGATAGGACATATTTTGCGCAGTTATTACACAACAAAAACACATTATGGAGAACTTAATACACAGATAGGACATATTTTGCGCAGTTATTACACAACAAAAACACATTATGGAGAACTTAATACACAGATAGGACTTATTTTGCGCAGTTATTACACAACAAGAACACATTATGGAGACTTAATACACAGATAGGACTTATTTTGCGCAGTTATTACACAACAAGAACACATTATTGAGTACTTAATACACAGATAGGACTTATTTTGCGATTACACAACAAGGACAAATTTTGAAGGACTTATACACAGATAGAACTAATTATGGCGCAGTCATCACAAAATTAGGACACATTATGAAGGAATTATTACACAGATAGGACAATTTATGGAGGACTTGTTACACAGATAGGACAAAATATGGTGCAGTTATTAGGACAAATTATGAAACACTTAATACACAGATAAACCAAATATGTGGCAGTAATTATACGAAAAGTACAAATTATGACACACTTACTGCGCAGAAAGTACTAATTATGGTGCAGTCATTACACAAATAAGGCAAATTATGGAGGATATATATCACAGATAGGACAATTTATGGATGATTTATTAAACAGATTTATTGCATAGATTGGACAATTTATAAAGCACTTTTAATGCAGATAGGACGTGTTTTGCATCAATTTTGATAGTTCAAACACAGCGAGGAGTTTTGTAACAGTGCACTTTTGTCTGATCTGTGTAACTTGCATTCTGCTTAGTTCGTGTTACGGTGTTATAGAACCATATTTAACAACTCTAATGTTCCTTTCTTCATTCTTATCTTTTTGCAAAAATAATTTTCTTCTTACTTAAAAATAATTTCTTTGTAAACTACCACTTTTATCATGGAGAAGGTTCTAAATAAAGAAAATTCGGAGGAGGGGGGGGGGTTTAAGTTGTTGGGGAAACTGCGAGAAAGGGGGGGGGGTAATATAAGACGGTTGATGAATAACTTAAGAAGGTATTCGTGGAATTAATTCATTTCTAATATGAACGTTGGGACTAGGGATTAATACACTTCCCTTATTTTTGTCTAAAAAATAATTATTGTTATGATTATTATTATTCTGTTCTAACATTTCTTATTTTTAGATTTTTCATTGTCAACCTTTCCTTTCATGACAAACTTCTGTTTTTGATTTAAAAAAGATACGTTTTCTTGGTATAAGCCCTTTGCATGTTAGTAGGCAACTCCAAGCTTTGTTCTCCCATACACATCTTTTTCTACTATTTCTGTCTCGTAGTCCAGAGTTTATAATATATATTACTAGTCCAGATTCAGTAGAGGGAGGAGATGTATTTTGATAATAAAAGGACTGGATACAATAATTTAAGATACCCTATATTTAAATATCACATGCCACATTTATTATATTAAAATTTATACATTTTAGTTCCAGTTTTAAGAAAGGAAATAGACCTCCGATAAAGATTTAAGGCTGATGTTGTAAAAAAGCACTAAGTATTAACCCTATTCCCGACTGACGTGTGGTTTACCCAAAATAGACTGAGGGGGGGGGGGGGGTTACAGGGCCCTCCTCCTCTATATTCTTCTTGGGATACAATGCCCTTGGGCTCGATTTCAATAATCTTAAGAGAAACATGCAAATTTGCAATAATCCAAATACTTATTGCAAAATTTAGTTATTCGGCAAAAAGTGCGCAAAAAACAAAAATTTCGCGAAATATGACACATTATACATGTATATATAGAATCGACCTATTGATTTCATAAATGCAAAATATTTGCAACATTTTCAAATCCTAAATGTGTATTTAAGAAAAGCTAAAATTGTGAATATTTCCTTTTAAAGACGTTTACGCAACATTTCTGTGCAGAAATTGTGCAATCTGCTTCCTTTTATTATAGGCTTTCCAAAAAACTATAAAATGTTGAAATCCAATGACCGGAAGTATAATATAGACTTAAGTCTGGTAAAGGTAAAATAAGGCGTTCAATCATTATGCCTGCGGACTCAGGCAGGGTAAAAGCTCAACTTTTAGCCTGAATTGAAAAAAATGGTGAAATAAGTGATGAAGCAAAGAATAAAAAACAAGCTTTAGTTGAGTGATAATAAATAAATAAATATGAAAAAAAGCGTAAGTTTTGCCGATCTATACTGTCTTACATAAGAAACGCCAGCAACCAGGGGCGTACGAAGGAGACGGGTCCCCCCCCCTTTTGGGTGCCCCCCTTAGATGGGTCACCAATATAAAAAAAATACTTTAAATCTCACTTTTGCCCTCAACTAAAAAATTTCATTAAAGAGCTTTAATCAATAATGCCTTCAGTGTAAATATATCTTTGTTATCATTATTTATAATTATACAATATATAGATATTTTTTAAGAAACGTTTCCATCTCTATTTTACCCATTGAAGCTTACACCACAGTTTTAAGAGGAAGTGTCTGATTAGTCTACTTGAGAAAATTACATAAATAATTTATTAACACTTGTTATAAGGAAGTTTGTATATGATCGAATAGTTTACATAGTTAAAAAAGGTATCAATATTTTTCAAAACAGGGGTTTTTAAGTGGGGCACAATGTTACCAAGGGGGGTGGCACACATCCCCCCACACACATGCTTTCGTACGCCCCTCCCAGCAACCAAATATAAACACTACTTTACTTCCAAATATTGTAAAGAGTATTTAGATTTAAAGACTTCAAGATACTGAAGTTGTAATTTGAAGTGAGTCTACACTTACAGAGTGGCATATCCGATTCACTTGGTATCCTTCAATTTTTATAAGTATTATCTGATCAAGAAAGGATTTAGACATTCAGGGGTATCTTCTGAAAAGTTTGTTATTTTCATTTCTAGTTTCATCATAAACAGTAACTTTTTGTATTTCTTTTGCAGTAACTATTTCACATTCACATTCACAGGCAATTGCCAGCAAGCTCCTTCCCCATTATTAATCAAATAATGATTTAAAGAGTATAGTTGTGAATCGGGTAAACCTCTCACATGAAATTACGACCAGTCCCTTTTAAATATTAACTTCTAATTAATTTCTAGGTTAGTATAGTGTCTGATCCAGAACTAGTTGCTTGGCGTGGAGCTAGTGAATGGGCAGCTCATACTCAAAATCAAAGGTTAGATCAAGGTGTTTATTAGGGAGGCCGATTTTTTACATTTTTTCAAAATTTCATTATTGTTGATTAGTAGGATATTATGTTTTTAATCAAAAATCAAAAATATGTTGAAATGGATATTTAAAGATATGAATACTGTTCATTTGTTTTTGTTCAGATATCTTGAAAATGTTGTTGTATATACAAGTACATTCCTTTTCCTAGTGAAATTGTAAAAATCGGATGGGCGGATTTTTGTTAACTAATAATTTGGTACCCTGACAATTTTGTAAGATTTTTCAGAATTTAGATTTTTTAGTAATTATTGCCACATTGAACATTATTTTGTTAAATATAGAACTGGATTTATGACACGGGCCGAGTATGAAGAACATGGTGAAGGATATTTAAAAGAACACATGGCGTCCAATAAATACACCCCAACACCTCCTCCTCCAGAAGTATTAAACCCAACACCACCCACCTCTTCTTCATGAGGTTAAAGGGACTGTAAACGTATTATCAAGTCGCCTTTCTTTTGTAAAGTGGTCAGTTCTATTCACAATGGTACCATTTGTATTTGATAATTGGTGACGGAGATATCTGTATTTTATTAAAGAAAATTGATAGGAACCATGTGTTGTTATTAGCACGGATTAAACACTCCAGTTTCCCTGCACTCAGTTTTCAGCTAGAAATATACAGATAGCTACTTGGTGGGTGATTAGGTGTTAAGGGTACAGTTGTGAATCGTACATACCATGTGAATTAATTGTCATTTGAAATTGGCATTAAAGATCAACTCTGTAGCTAGCTCACCTCTTCTGAGGTTTAAAATCAACCAACCAACCGTCAATCTTAAAAATATTATGATCTCATATTTCGTTGCAAAAAAAAACGTTTGTGGCCTTTACTTGGACCTGGATAGATTACAAAATTTCCAGTTTGTATGATATATATTGTTATTTATATTACTTTCAGATAAAATGTATAAACTAGCCCCTGATTGAACAGATTTGCGCAATTAACAATGGATCCCCATTTTCTGTTTGCACATTCTCATCGCAGTTTGCGGTCAGAGCACACGCATGCGCAGACTACCACGGAAAGTTCTGAGGATGGTTTAGGGAGGATTTTATAAATATTTCATCGTTATCGTTATAGCTATTGCTATCATTATCGTTACCGTTACCATAACCTTTACCATTGCAAATGCCATTTTGTATAGTGTTTACCTTAAAGAAAGGTTGCCTCAAATCAGTGCTTAGGATCCGGATCCGCAAGATTTTGGCTTCCTGGATCCGAATCAGCAAAAATATACTATTGAAAAAGAAAGATTATAAAAATTGTTAAAAAAAAGTCAGTAAATTTTAAAGAAAACCTGGATCCGGATTTCGATCCAGATCCATTTTTTCCAGTGCGGGTCAAGGACTGGATCCGCATCAAAATTAAATGGATCCTAAGCACGGCCTCAAACTCTAATTTTATAATCAATATTTCTATCTTTTCGAGCGAATGATGGTTTAAATATTTAAAATTTTAAACTTTCACTATTTGATCTGATAGAAAGGGGGGGGGCCACAAAACGTATTACTCTCCGGAAAATTTAAACAGTGGTTAAACATAACTTAGAATTGTCGTAGGAGGCTGATTTTTTGCATGCAAACTCAGAATTATGTATATTACATGCATTTATCTTTCAATAAAGATTTTTTTTCTCAAACTATAACGGTTTTCTTCTTTCATCTGTATTAAATAAATAGCTATTTATGACAGTTACAAAATTATTTTTCATGAAAATAAACTCAGAGAATTTAGACGTAACCTTTTTTTTAATGGTATTTAATTATTTTAAGGTATTTAAAAAAACAGTTTTTACAAAATGTGAATTTTGAAGAAATACTTTTGTATGGATAGAAACTGAACACTCGCAACAAACCATGATTTTCAAATCCTTATATCTTTGCAACCTAATGGTTTTAATAATAAGGTCTACATCCTCAGGTTGCAAAGATATTAGAATTCGAAAATTTTTGGCGACTGGTTTCTTTATCTATTTGATAAAATATTTTTAGGTCTGGGAACTATTTGATAAAATATTTTCAGGTCTGGGAACTATTTGATAAAATATTTTCAGGTCTGAGAACTATTTGATAAAATATTTTCAGGTCTGGGAACTTTTGTTGGAACTTTTTCCCTACCTGCGCTAATATTCGTCTCCCTGTGTCAACTCAACCTTACGTCGGTCAACTGGACTTTCCTGGCAGCAGTTTCTATCGCTAAATCTATAGTTTTCTTCTCAGTTCTAGTCATCGGAACTTTTATACAAGGAACCCAGCAATCTATTCTTTAAGTATATTGCACAATAAGCATGATTAATACTGATATTGTTATTCATATTGTTATTGTAAATAATAATTTTATTGTAAAAGTTATTGTTAATGTTATGGTTATTGTTGTTCCTGTTGTTATTGTTGTTGTTTTTGTTGTTATTGCTATTAATTTTCTATTGTTATTGTTAGTGGTAATGGTATTGGTATTGTTATTAGTACTGTTGTTATCATTGTTATTACTATTTTTATTGTAGTTGTTTTTTATTATTTTTATCATCATCATTATCATCATTATTATTGTTGTTATTTTTATAACAAAGTGATGAATATTTATTGTCAATCTTTTCATATAAATTAAATTTCTGAAACTTGATTGCTTGATTGATGAATTGATTGATTGATTGGGTTCACAAGGATTCAATGTGTCAAGTTCTCCACTGTATGCAATCTTCTGCACACAATCCAACGACTTTGCACTTGGTTTCCCTGTCCTCTCCGCCCTGTACAATAAGTCACATCCAGAATATCCAATGTATTTGTATCTGTTGGGTAAGTGCCTAGTTATTTTTATTTCCAAAGGGACGGTCAGGGTAATTTCAATTGGCACTTTATTTGAATACACAAATTGCAATCAAACTCTTCAAACCTTTGTCCGAACATTAATATGAATACTGCCAGCTCATGATTTATTTTTTAGATTCAGACTGTCAAATTTATTCATTTCAATGAATTTAACTGTTTCCCAGCTCTTGTTTTCTTGGATTTCTTTCATAGAGAATGATGTCACTTCATCTACATTTCTTGTCGTTTCGTTTTTTTCTTGTGGAGGGTGGAGGGTACCATTTTATTTGCATTTTTATTAATTTGACCTTTCCCTAGCTCCTGTTTCCTTGGCTGTTCTGAACCCTATTGGGTTTGTTCTGATGGAAGTTGGAAGGAGTAGAGAGGAGGAAAATGGTACTAGCAAACCATGCAGTAAAATATTCTTTAAAGTAAGTAATGAGGACATTTTTCCATTGATACATGTCGATAAAGGAGCACAGGCCCCACTTCATTGAACAAGTTGCTATCTTCTTATAAAAATTGTAAAAATTACATAAAAGATTGTGTTCAATTGTATATTATGTGTATATATTTATAAATTTTGTATATTTAACGGAAATTTAAAGTTTGCTATAGGTATAATTTTTTTTCAAAATTAATTTTACTTTTTTTCTACTAATTAAGGAATAGATATCAAATATGGCTGATTTTATTCTCGTTAAGATTAATTACTTTTACAGTGGCACCCATAAAGCTGTGGAATAGGAAGACTGTAATACTAGAGTTATGATTTTTTAATAATTCAAGAAACACGTAACCATATAATTGTGCAAGGGTCCATTTCGCTTTTCATGTTGATTTTCAATCTGAAGATCAAAATCAAATACTTATAAATTTGCTTAAATGTCGTTTTTCTAATCCACAATAAACATTTAAGTGTAATACAATAAATGTTTAAAATTTTTCTATTTTATATTTACGAACTTTAGGTGGTGAAATCGATACTTACCAACCCTCTGATCTTGATGACTGTGCTTGGAATGGCGGGAAATCTGCTGTTTCACAGCGCAATGCCGCCAATTATTCACGATTTCATGTCCGCACTTGGATCGGCTTTTTCTGCTTCGGCTCTATTCCTTTTAGGTTATTATTATCACATTTTATAGATGAATATTTTGAATTGATGATTTTTTTGGTACCATCTCTTTTTACCTTAATAGTGATGAGTTTTTTCCTTTAGTCCGGTCAACTTTCTTTTTTTAGTTTCCATTTTTTCCATATAACCTGGGACGATAATGCCAATTCGAGTAAATCATAAATTAATTTTTCAATGCACTGATCACGATATAGAGGCATGCAAAGAAAAGTCTGAAAAGTCGGTTGCCTTTTAAATTATTGAAATGAATATTTCTCAAGATATGATTTCTGTATGTTTTTTGTGCGTTTTTACTGCTTGATTAATGTTGAAAATTGGTTAGAATGCATAGGTCCGGTCCTAAATTTAGAGCCGGATCATTTGTCACAGACACCGGCTGAAACTTTAAATACCTGTGTTTGAAACAAGGAGTATGAAATAGAAGGAGATACAACTGACGCGGTTCGCCCTACCATATGATTATGCATGCTTTGCAGACGGGTACTCTAAGTATGGGTAAACCATTCTGAAGTCTATATTCTCTTAGTACAGCTATTTATATAGATAAGTTGAATCATTACTTTTCAATACTATTTCATTTCAGAGTAAATTAAAATGAGGGTTCATCGAGTCTTGAGCACTTCATCAATTCAGAGTACTCCATTTGTATAAGAAATATTCAGAATGGGTTATTGTATACTCGGTAATTGTACATCAGACAAATATTTCTTATTTAAATGAAGTACCGTCTGAAAAGCATGTATAATCATATATCTCCCTTCTATTTCATACTCCTTGGTTTGAAACGAATAGAATTAAACATATTGATATCCCAGGATTACGAATGGTCGGACGGAACAACGAATCTGGAAATCAGAACTCCACCCTGGTTCTTCCCTTTGTTCTGATTGTAGTCAAAAGTCTAGTCCTTCCTCTAGTTACCAGGGAAATAGTCTCACAGGTTAGTCACAAATCTGAAACTGGGGTAGTATTTGTATTGCGTATTTTAAAAAAGGTTGACTGTGCAGTGGACGGATATATCCAAATTTGTCAGTTTACATTGAGTGCCAAAATACTCGACTTAATCGTACACTGTGCACTACATGCGAATAGAAAACAAGGATATATCTTTTAGTCAAGATCTAAAAAAGGTTGTAAATCGGACTTGTCATTTTATTAACGGAGGTTCACTTGAAATTAAGTGTACAGTCCCTTTTAAGATATTTGTTAAGATGGCAGCTGATAGGACGGATAATAAAACTGAGAACTTGTCCAACTACGGTTTCCTCTACGGATCTAATTATAATGCATTATCTAGATGGGAGCTGGTAGGACGGATAATGAAACAGAGAACTTGTCCAACTACTGTTTCCTCTACGGAACTATTTATAATGTATTATCTAGATGGGAGCTGGTAGGACAGATAATGAAACAGAGAACTTGTCCAACTACGGTTTCCTCTATGGAACTATTCCAACTGCTCCTAGTGTATTTGTCTACTCAACCCAGGTATCTAAGCAGGAATAAGATCAACCTTAGATGAAAACTCTTATATTGGATTGGATACCTCTAATCCCTATTGCTAAATCTTTGTATCCACTGTCGACACTATTGATTTTCGGCTTAATCCTTTCTTGTGTATATCCGCTGCTGTCTTCGAACCAACAAGAGTTCTCTCATTGATTGCGCTCAAAAAAATTTTAATTTCTCGACTTCTGATTGGCTGTTCGGTTTCTACAATCGACATCTGATTGGTTGCAGTTTAACAATTTCCCGGATAATAAATTAAGATTAAATTAGTCTTAAGATTAATAAAAGAATTAAAAAAGCATTGATCTCGATATCCACAATTCTGAAGCTTTCAGCTCTGAGGTCGATACATTAAATTTGTTAATTCCATCAACACCCACTAATCCTTATCTTTAGTCTGATGGATATTAATAAAGATTTTGTCTACCAGCAACCTTAAAAACATTTTCTTTCGGTCAATTGGATATCACAACCCCCCAGTCATCTTTTTTAACGAATTAAGCCACATCACTGCTTAATTAAAAATTTCCATTGTGAAAATGAAGATCACATTGAATGTTTAATATTGCTGGCTTATAAAAAAGTGCTGAGCTTCGGTTTTCTTTATTCTTAAAAATAAAGTGTAATGTAATTAATCTTTAATACATTTTTGTGACAATATAATTAAAAAAAAAAATCACTTAATTTTCCAATTTCGGCTTTTTAGTATGGGATTCAACCAGATATGATCGCCGGAACTATCACCGCCTCGACCTTTATCGCCGCACCTCTTATGTTCATCTCCGCCAAACTGTTAATGATTAATAACCTAGACCCGGCAGATTATATTCAAGAGATCGACATCTTCCTCTTCGATATCAGGTTGGTCATTAGTCAATGTTATTTTTTTTTGATTTTAGAATGTGATACAATATTGTACAGTTAAACTCTTATATAAGAAGACATCGAAAGAATTTATGTAATGTCGCCTTGAATTTAAATTTGAAGCTGTCAATTGTATTTTCCAAAGCTGTCGAAGTTTTCCGCTCGCAGCTTTACAGGGATATGTGGAGCTGAAGCATAATCAAAATTTCTTTGTTGAAAGTAAAAAAAAAATTATGGAGAATGAATATTTTCAAAATTTATTTTCAGTCGGGATAAGTAAATATCCCTTGAAATATGTGGAGCTTGTTATCAAACAGCTTCATATAGCTGAGCGCTAATTTGCGCTTAAATCCATCATAAAAGTCTGAGCGGCAATTTCAGTAAAGATCTGCAAGACGACATTTTAAGAATTCTTCCGATATCTTCATATATTTAAGTTTAACTAGAGTATTCTGGATGCATGAACTAGCTGCTATCTGGGCTGTTTTCTATATAATATAATATAATATTGTACAGTCATTACCTGAAAACTCCGAAATAGGAAGCCGACTTTATATCAATACGGAAGTGTATTTGATTTTGTTATAAAGCAAATAGTTTTCCTAGACACTTATTAAATCACAAATCAACTGAAATGGGTCTGTTTACACCGCAAATTTCTGTTTCCCGTGCTCATTGGACTATCTAAAGTAATAATTTGAGTTATAACGTCGTATTCCTATTCCAAAGTTTTCTAGTTATCACTGTTGTATTCTGTTTGCATTAGATGCCATCTTGATTGTATTCTATATATAATACAATATTGGAGTATTCATGGTGCACTAGCTGCTATCTGGACTGTATTATATATAATACAATATTGTAGTATTCATGGTGCACTGGACTGTATTCTATATTATACAATATTGTAGTATTCTGGGTGCACTTGCTGCTATCACATAGATTCAGCCTCCTTAAAAAAAGTCTCATCAATTTTTAAGACTGGGCTGACTTTGAAGTGTCGCAACGCCCTAAGCTTAGATTTTACCGCTCTAACTCACTTATGCTTTTCTGTAGCCCTTTACATGTACATTTTAGCACTATAAAGCACTTCTTGTTAGATTTGGTTTTTTAGAAGTAAATGGCAAAATTCTCAACGATTTTTGTTTGAGAGCGTGAGACCATTAAATCGCAGTGGCTATCGGGATTGTATTCTATATTATACAATATTGTAGTATTCTGGGTGCACTAGCTGCTATCTGGGCTGTATTCTATATTATACAATATTGTAGTATTCTGGGTGCTCTAGCTGCTATCTGGGCTGTATTCTATGTTATACAATATTGTAGTATTCTGGGTGCACTAGCTGCTATCTGGGCTGTATTCTATATTACACCATATGGTAGTATTCTGGGTGCTCTAGCTGCTATCTGGGCTGTATTCTATATTATGCAATATTGTAGTATTCTGGGTGCTCTAGCTGTTATCTGGGCTGTATTCTATATTATGCAATATTGTAGTATTCTGGGTGCTCTAGCTGCTATCTGGGCTGTATTCTATATTATGCAATATTGTAGTATTCTGGGTGCACTAGCTGCTATCTGGGCTGTATTCTATATTATACAATATTGTAGTATTCTGGGTGCACTAGCTGCTATCTGGGTTGTATTCTATATTATACAATATTGTAGTATTCTGGGTGCTCTAGCTGCTATCTGGGCTGTATTCTATATTATACAATATTGTAGTATTCTGGGTGCACTAGCTGCTATCTGGGTTGTATTTGTTCTCCTGATAACCAAGAAAGCTTATCTAGTTCCTCATCAAATTACACTGGTTCTAACCATTTGTCAGGTACTTCTTACATAAAAGGATAAAACATATTTTGTTGTTGATATTTTTTTGCGATGCATTCTGGACAGTGCATAGGATCCTGATCAAAGTGGGAAAATATCAATAAAAACCTTGGGGGAACAACAAAATACACATTTAATGGTCAACTAATGAAGAAAAGTTTTTAGTTTTTCCTGATTATCTGCAAGTCAAATAAATAATTAACTATTGTTTGTGGGTGGGGGGTTAATCATTATAAAACGGGAAATAAATTTATGATTGTTTTTTTAAGGAACATATGATGAAAAAATTTGCTAATCTTGTTTTCTGCAGGGAATTGCTTGTTTCGGGGCAGTACTTTGGTCTTTCCTTGACTGTAGGCATGGTTGGAGACTCATCCTGCAATTTATAGTATTTGGATATGGAGTGTTTGGTTCCAGGTTATTATTTATTTGAAATTAATGACAATGTGCATTTGAACAATAACAATGCTTCAATATAGTTTGTAATGTACATAGTGTGGTGTGGTGTATAGTTTTTACATACATACTGTGTGTAACAGTAGTTATGAAGATAGATACAGGGTGTCCTACAAAACATGATAGTTGAGAAACGACTTTAAGGTCGTCTTTGGCCTTTGAAAAAAATATGCGTCATTCATTCGACAACCTAGTTTTAGAAGTCAAATTCTTGAACAATCACAAAATTCCCCTTTTTGAAATGGCAGGACGTGGAGGATTTTTTATTTATGGTTCATGAATTATACACGTCAAAACAAGCTGACAAATGTTTGCAAGTTATTTGTAAATTTCAAAGACAACCGTTAAGTTGACTCTCAACTGCCATGTTTCGTGGGACACCTTGTTCTTAGTAAACATAACCATGTTGATTTTAATTAAGTCCTGAAAGATAATGATCATTTGAATCCTTGAAACCAAACCTATCTTCCCTTTAAATGGCGACGCTTTTCATCCATGTTCAGTTTATTTATCTAGCTATGAATGTAAAACTAGATAGTTCATGTTAAATATTTCTAGAATTTGCACGGCAGTGTTAGCTGTAACTTTACTGCTCCAGTCCCAGACGGGGAGCAGCATGTTGAAGTACAAGCAGCTCCTTCTCGGTATAGCGGTGCTGCTTCCCTTCCTTCTGGTCGCTGTGCTCACAATTATTGTTACCATAGAGACAGAGCCTCATGGAGACAAGAGAGATCCTAACTTCCAGTACGGGGAAACTCAGGTATAGTGTTTTCCAATAAACATGAGAATACAAAACTCAGATAAATGGTGTCCCAAAAAACATGAGAATAACAGAACTCATGTACAGTACAGGGTGTCCCCATAAACATGAGAATTAAAAACTCATGTACAGGATGTTCCAATAAACATGAGAATATAAAACTCAGATACAAGGTGTCTCAATAAACATAATAATACAAGTGGTTGTCTTAAGTCAAGTCATGATAATATAAAACGCAGGTATAGGGTGTACCAAGAAACATGATATATGGAACTGAGGTTCAGGGTGTCCAAAAACAAGATGATTCAAAACTCAATTACAGGATGTCCCAAAAAACATGTGTAACATTTAAAGAAAGTTCACAGGGTTTCCCAAGAATAATAAAAATACTAATCTTAGGTAAAGGGTTTCCCAAGAATCATAACTCAGATGAAGAATTTTATAATAAAATAAAAATCAGTTCCAGGGTGTCTGCAAAATCATGGGAAAATTGAAACCCAAAATTTTACTAGGCATTTAATCTCAATCATTGATCCTATAATTGTCATAAAACTGTAAAGAAGGGTTATATGAAATTACAATAAAAATTGATTTAAATCTTCAACAAAAGGTATTGTTCAAGCAGAATTTCAAAATTCTTAGCGTGCTCCATTTTCAGAAAAGTTTTAATTACATTTATTTAAAATTTAGGTCGTTTGTAGTTTACGTCATTCATTTCAACATGATAAATATAATGAAGACAGAAGAGGTTTTATTATTATATTTACTTCAAACAAACAAAACACAGGAAAAATGCAAAACAAAAGTTTTTACTTTCTTACTTTAAACTTAGGATGTGGAGGAAATAGGCGGAATAAAAGGATAAAAGATTATATAATTATTAGATATCTATCTATTACAGGGTATATCTGCTCTAGTTATCATTATACTAAGCCTCATTGTTACCGTTAAATAAATGATCTATCTATTTTCTGCTATTATGCTATATCTGCTCTGGTTATTATTATACTAAGCCTCCTTGTTACTGTTAAATAAATGATCTATCTATTGCAGGCTATATCTGCTCTAGTTATCATTATACTAAGCCTCCTTGTTACTGTTAAATAAATGATCTATCTATTACAGGCTATAACTGCTCTGGTTATCATTAAACTAAGCCTCCTTATTACTGTTAAATAAATGATCTATATATTGCGGGCTATATCTGCTCTGGTTATCATTATACTAAGCCTCCTTGTTACTGTTAAATAAAAGATCTATCAATTACAGGCTATAACTGCTCTGGTTATCATTATACTAAGCCTCCTTATTACTGTTAAATAAATGATCTATCTATTACAGGCTATAACTGCTCTGGTTATCATTATACTAAGCCTCCTTGGTACTGTTAAATAAATGATCTATCTATTGCAGGCTATATCTGCTCTAGTTATCATTATACTAAGCCTCCTTGTTACTGTTAAATAAATGATCTATCTATTGCAGGCTATATCTGCTCTAGTTATCATTATACTAAGCCTCCTTGTTACTGTTAAATAAATGATCTATCTATTACTGGGTATATCTGCTCTAGTTATCATTACACTAAGCCTCCTTGTTACTGTTAAATAAATGATCTATCTATTTCAGAGTATAACTCCTCTGGTTATCATTATACTAAGCCTCCTTGTTACTGTTAAATAAATAATCTATCTATTTCAGGCTATAACTGCTCTGGTTATCATTATACTAAGCCTCCTTGTGACCGTTATATCCCTGATTGGACAGCAAAGGAATATAAGCAGAAAAGAACAGGAAAATACCCGATTCAGCAATAAACTAGCTTTACAAGCCCGGATAACCTAATACAGCTTCTTTTGCCCAAAAAACTCTAAATCAGTAAAATACTCTTAATAATTTGATGACACATAACAAAAATAACTAGAAATTAGATAACTATTTTAAAAAAATACAATCAAAAGAACTTTTTTTCTCACAATTTATTTTTTTAATATACAATGAGTCCCTAATTATAGCTTGTAAAAATAATAGATAGTATTTTCTCTTTGGGCGTCGATATTAACAATTTACTATTGAAACAAAATAAACTATAAATTTTGAGGCCTATTGTGTAAGATATCTTTATTTCCTTGGATTCAAATCTATTGAGTTAATGATCTCAAATCTGTCTTGTTGCCCTGAGATGAGAACTGGTGAATGAAGAGTCTGGTTGAACCAGCAAACCTAGTTCAATTATTTATCATAAATTAAAATCTTCGGTAAATGCAAGTATTTGTCCTGAAGCGGTTATACACCTCTAGAGTTCTAACACTGAACGGGAGAGTCTTCTCGGCCCTAATCTACCGGAGGATAGAGAGGATGGAGAGGATGCTCCCAGATGCAACGGAGGACAGAGGACAGACATAGAGGACATGATTACACCAAATAATAGACCAGGTACCTGCTAAAATGTGAATTTTCTTTTGGACACTTCCGCATATTTTTTATTCTTTTTTGAAATTTTCATGAAATCATTAATTTTTTAACATAAAATAATGTTCCATGTAGTTTAAAACAAACAAATACTGGTTTAAAAATATTATCATAAATAATTACGTAGATTTTTTGAACATTCAACATTTTTTAGCTTGTGCTAATGGAAACGGGAACAGAAGATACAGATGTGATTCTACACATAGAGAATACTGCTCAGGACTTATTAGGTAGAATTTAGAAACAAAGCTAATCCGACCTGCTCATTTATGATTTAAGCTCATCCGACCTAGAGTAAACTGATCTAAGTGTTTTAACCTAAGTGTGTTCCTACCTAAAATTGTAGTTAATCTTATTTAATGTTAGTTTTTGATCAGCTGAGTTGGTGGCGTTGGATGGGGGTTAGACTTAGTTAAAATGATTTAAATACCTTAAAAACTACTTGGTAATTAGTTAGAATACCTTGGGTCAGTTCCCTTGACATCCACATTTTTTCCTTCTTATTTTGAAGAGAAATTGTGCAAGAGGAAAATTGGATAGTTCCCATGATAATATTCTAGGAAACAGAAAGTTTATAATTAGATATTTCATTGCTGTGCATTGAATTCACTACAACCTACACTGCAATACTGCACAATATATTTTTTTATAAAAATTTATTTAACCGTGTTTTGTGAATAAGTTACCAATGGCTATTGTCTTAACGTAAAATTTTTGAATAGGCGCAAGGTGGGCAAAGGCCTTAACCCCCCCCCCCCCCTTGGCCCATTGTGAAGAAGTTAATGTACCAATAAATATCTTATATTATCATTTAATAACCAAAAAAAAATGTTGATCAGTTGTCGTGAAATATGAATAGTTTGACAACTAATCAAGTTTGCACAAGAACGCACTAGAGCATGAGTTCAACCAAGCATTTAATGCAAGGAAAGTTATTTCAGAGGTGTACGCATTTTTTATACGGCAGTGTACTGTCACTGGGCGGTAATGTAAACACAAGACGGATGTCGAAGCCTGACATGGGATCCATCTTTCACATAAAAATTCAATGATATTTTCTGGTAATAGGAAACTATTATATGAATTATCAAAATTATCAAAATTCAATGCTTTTAACCTTCTCGGATACTAAACGTAAACTGATGCATCTATTCTTTGTTTACAAATTCCGCCCAGAAAGAACTGGTTTCAATATGTACGCAGAGTATACGCAACTGCAATTAACTTTCCTTGCATTACATTCTTGAGTTCAACTAGTCATACCTAGTTCACACACTTCTCAATATTCATTAATCCTACCGCAGGAGGTATGAGGTTCCGCCTGGAGAGGATGCCCTAAGTCCTGACAATGTCCTGGTGGCTAACACTGTAGCTGGTCTATCTTTTCAGGATGAGAGGGAGGATACTTTGGAGATATTCAAACACAGGTTAAACCTTAAACCATTGAACCAGGGGAATATAATAATTATTTGAAGGCATGCATGAGGAAGTTGATATATGTAATAATAACGCAATTTTACGTAATATATACTTACTAATTACGTAATAAATACGTAATAATTACGTAATAATTACATAATTTATGTAAATATTTTACCTGGTTTTGCATAATTAAATGGGGAGGGGGGGGGGGGCGCACTAGAAACCAAGGTATCTATTCTGCCAGGACAGGAGGAAAGATTCTCTGGAGATATTTAATCACAGAGTCAATAGATTCACTGATTTCTGTTGATAATTACATTTAATTAGCGTGTAGAGTGTTTCTGTGATAACTGATTTTAAGAATATATTTGAATGTTTAGATTGCTCCTGGTTTTGCTGTCCATATCCATGTTTGTCGGAGGGTCTCTTTGTATCTGGACTCTGCTTATGGATAGGTTAGTTTTCTCATCTCTGATTAGTTTGTTTCAAAAACAGTTAAAATTTTTGTATAAAGGCAAGCATGACAGATAAGACTTGCAAACTGCATGAAAATTGCCGGAAAGGACTTCGAAAATTTTATGTAGTGGTAGAACGCTATGAAGATTTTTAAATACTTTTCAGGTCAATGAAAACCGATGAAAATTAAATATTCTATAAGGAAACATCAGATAGAAATAAACATACCTAACCAACCTTGGTTATTTAAAAGAAGTGTTATGGAAATTTGTTGAAAGCCATTAAGTTTTATTTAATCCTCCATGTTTTCATTTATTCCCATTAAAACTTTGAATTTTTTTCTAATAATATTTTGGTATTGTGTTAAAGTAACACACCCCGTCTATAAAATGGCAGGGGTGTATATTTTTTTTAAAATCATTTCCCCTTCAGAAAATAAATTTTTTTCTCCAGAAGTTTGCTAAATTGGGGAAATTAAATATATTTTTAAATAAAAGACTTGAATTTTTTGGACCATAAGGTATAAAAACATAATAGAACTTCTGGTTTGTTCTCCCCAAATCATCAAATATCAATCCCCCCCCTGAACCTTCCCTTTAAAACCCCATTGCTTAGAATGAGTGGGATCTACCTAGAGCTTGTTTTCCTGGATGGATTCTTAAATCTGGGACAATCATTGTTTACCCTTGCAATATTTGGTATTAACACAAAGGTAATCAAATCTTATCAAAAATGGATGATAGACTAATGGATGGATAGATGGATAAATGGATTGATGTATATTTGATTAGTTGATTTCTTGATTTCTTGATTTATTGGTTTATAGATTGTTAATCAATCGATTGATGCATTGATGGAGTGTGGCATAATGGGTTGATAAATTGATCTTTTTCTGACTAATGGAATTGTTAAAGTGATAAATTGATTGTTTGATAAACTGACTGACTGCATGATTCCCACACTAATTTCTAAGTGATCAATTAGATTGAAATGACTAAATTCAAAGTTTGCTGTTAAATCTGTGAGATTTATTAAAATGATTAGTGTGTGACACTGAATTGTTCAATTACTCACTCACTCATTTAATCTCACTCCCTCATACAATCTCTCACTCAATCCCTCATGAATTCTCTCACTCATTCACTCTTGCATTCTCTCACTCACTTTCATGCATTCTTTCACTCATTCCCTCGTGCATTCTCTCATTTACTCCCTCGTGCATTCTCTCACTCACTCCCTCATGCATTCTTTTACTCACTCCCGTATGCATTCTCTCACTCACTCCCTCATGCATTCTCTCACTCACTCCCTTATGCATTCTCTCACTCACTCCCTCATGCATTCTCTCACTCATTCCCTCATGCATTCTCTCACTGACTCCCTCATGCATTCTCTCACTCACGCCCTCATGCATTCTCTCACTTACTCCCTCATGCATTTTTTCACTCATTCCCTCATGCATTCTCTCACTTATTCTCTTGTGTATTCTATCATTCATTCTCCCGATTATTCTATCACTCACTTCCACATGCAATATATCAATCACTCCCTCATGCATTTATTCACTCAGTCCCTCATTTCCTCACTAACAAGATGATCTTGATTGATTGATTGATTGATTAATTGGATTGTTGATTGGTCGGCTGATTGATTGATTGATATCTCTTCAGGGATTGTTGTTAAATCTACGAGGTTTACTCCGACGACTAGTTTACCGTCGGGATAAGATACTTTTACCTGCCTGGGAGGATTTAGAAGTAGAGGATAGAGATGTTTCAACCAGGTAGACTTTATTAATTTATACAATAATTTACCAGGCAGAGGATAGAGATGAATCGACCAGGTAGACTTTATTATTTCTACAATAATTTACCAGGCAGAGGATAGAGATGAATCGACCAGGTAGACTTAATTATTTCTACAATAATTTACCTTCCTCCCAGGGGTCATAATACAAATATAAATATTGATAATATTATTGATGTTAATAACAAAAAAGTTGGATTCTTCTGTTTAAATAGGTGCATTTTCAAAATAACGTCCACATTTTTCCGGGAGATCCTTTGGTATTAGAGTTGCCTCAAAAAATCGGACCCGATCGGTTTAGCCGTTTTGAAATGTATTGGATAGAAACAGACTAGGAAAGATGATTTTAGCCTTAACTTTATTCATTTTAGTGTTTTTATTTTCTAAATTCTAAATTTGAATTTAATATTGAAGAATTGCGAATTTGAAGTTTGTATTAGATTTAGTTTAATATTCCAGCCTTAATCCTTAAATCCTTGTCATTTGCAACCTTGACAGAGTATTCTCATCTTAAACCAGAATTAGCTTCAAAATATTCATTAAAATAGAGGTTGCAACTTTGGTATCTTGTGTTATCCGATGGATTAATATAATTTGATTTGGATATTTAGTGAAGGTTTGACCAGTCAGAAGCCGCAAAAACATCTGCGATTTTTACCCTAAATTGTATTTATCTATTCTTTAATATTATTTTTTTGATAATTTATTTTTTACTTTTTTATTGTTATTTATTTATTTAGATTTATCCGCCATCACCTGGAGAGATGTATGGAGGACATACTTCATGATATAAACGAGGGTCTGAGGTCAGCTGATTTAGAATTATACAATTTGTTTATCTTATGTTTGTAGACGTAAATGCCCCTCCATTTAGAGTGGGATGTACGATTCACAACGGTGTCCTTGCTGAGTACGTATGAGACAGATGACGTTTCCTATCTGAAAAAGGGTCACATTTGGACAATTTCCTTCTATTTATTGGATGCAGTACAGAAACCAAAACTGAAAATAATCACTTTTAATCTAAGAAACACAAGGATTTCTCATTCATCTTTTTTTTCAGACAAAAGTGTAAAGCATATCGTAGTAAATTGAGTATTTTGACGTGTGGTGTGGTCACTTAAAGTTACCTTTATAGTCCCTTTAACTTTTAAAATGTTTAATCTTGTTCTTATTAGGCGCCATCATGCCTCGTTCTATGGTTTCGAGCTGGTCACGTGGCTTGTTGAGTTTGGTTTGGCACGAACACGACAGGATGCAGAATCACTTGGTCGCCATCTGATCCGGGGACGTGTAATTCGTCACGTGGATGATCATCTGGACTTTTACGATGGACGATTCGTCTACACCTTCCTACCAGTAAATCGGCGACTGAGAAACTAGATCTTAAATTTGATAAGCTTAAACCATTCCTTTTGCATAATGAAGAATAATTATATATAAAACTAATTATAGTGTTGATTTAGCTCAAATATTTTGCCTACAGTACCAAACATCAAGTCATATATTAATTTGTCAGAAACTAAAAAGCTAGATATATCTTAACTAAAATATGTCACAAACTGATATATTAATTTATAAAAAATTAGATTGAAATCTTAATCCAATTGCCCACGCTTTGCCAGCTTGTGAAAATAAAATGAATGAATGCCAAACTTAAAATGTTTAATCTTCCAGTACAATCTAGATGTATTATATGAATGTATATAGATGTATATAATTAATCTTGTTGACCAATATAGTTTATGTCGCTTGTTTCAGATAAATTTTACTTCTTAATAAAAATGACACATAATCAGGATTGGGACATAGGTAGGTCGACTTCATTTATTTTATTTTGAACAAATATATCATATAACATATATCATATAACTTGACATGGTTTGCAGAGAATATACATATTTTTTGGGGGGTTTTCTTCGATTTTTCAAAATACTGATAAAATATTGTTACTTCAGTTTTGGAAATAGTAGGAAATAACACGACTAACACGGATTCTATATTATTTGATTTGATTTTGGATTCTAGATTTTGAGAAAAATTAAGGATTTTTCAATAGTTTGTAGGCCTCAACCCACTTATACCGCTTTTGTATTTTTAAGTTAAGTGTATTTCAAGTGACATTTTTTTAATCTAGGCATTTAAAACTAAAAGTCGTAGGTTTTGCACATTAAAAAAGTAACTTGTCTAATTTCATGAATATTATTAAATGCTTATTAGACATAGATTAAAGGGGTCCGTCCTAGTGAACGATGTTTGGACCCCCCCCCCCTCCTATCAATTTTGTACATGACGAAATTAAAATTAGTATTTATTTATTATTATTTAGGGTTAGGTTAGGTTAAGACACTTTCTGGGCCGAGCGCTGCGTCTAGGAAAGACTAGGGGGCCGAGCGCTGCGTCTAGGACAGACTAGGGGCCGAGCGCTGCGGCCACATGGTCTATTATATCCATGTCTAACATATAAGATCCATGTACAAAATTGATGGGAGGGGGCGATTAAAGTCCTATGAACCAGAAATTTTCATGAAAAATTCTTATTTTAGATCGGTATAAAACCGAGCACGAGCCGAAGCATCACTGGGCCCTTAAAAGAGAGTTTATGGAGAGGAATAAAGACAGATTTCCAGAACATTCGCTAGTGAGCTTTTTATTATATTTTTACATAGTTATATAATTTCCGATATATGTATTACGAGATAATGGTTATAATTTTAATTTTCATTTTAAATTCACATCTTTACCTTTTAAACTAAAAGCATATTGAACGTGTGTGGTGACTTTTCTTAAATAAATTTTTTGTATACAAGATTGATTAGTTTTGGAAAAGATGCTGAAAATAGGTAACCGCCAAAAAAGTTCTTTGAACATTTTTTTCGGAAATAAAGTCCTAAATTTTGGCACTAAAAAGTCCCATGGGACAAAGTCCTTAAAATAATAAGTCTCTGGAAATAAAGTCCTACCATTTGAGACTTTGTTTTCTAGGAAAAAGTTCCAGGAATCTAAAACTCAGGACTTTATTTCCAGTGACATTTTGCCCTAGAAATTCAGAAAATTGGAACTTTTTACGAGGTTTTTTCAGAAACATTTTTTCCTGAGACTTTCTTACATAGATTCTAAAAATAGGAATCAGTCAAAGGCCACAAAAATCTTCTCAGGACCAAATGAGCCATGGTTAAATTGGAATTAGCTGTTTTTCACGGATCAAGTTCAGGCGTTGCGGATTAGCGCCATCTCGTACTAAAGTTTTAACCTCAAATATCTTAGTACTAGTTATATTGTATTTTGTCCCCTACTGTTGTTGGTATAAATATAAATAGATAAACACTAATTCTAATTATAGTTTAATCCATGCCTAATATATTAGGTCTGTCTGGCGAATACACTAGGGAATATCGAGTTCATGGGCTGCCAATATCCCCAGGTAATAGAACTAAAGAGGGGGGAATGATTTTCATTTTATTTCAAAATTTATTCCAATATTTACGATACCTGTTACCAAATAACAGTTTATTTCCCCCCATTAAATTTTTTATTAAAATTAATTCCTAACATACTGGAGCTAAAAAGTGACTTTAAAAGGGGGGGGGGTAGGTTTCTGTAAAATGTACATAATTTGCAATAGATAAAGATGGGAAACAGAGTTTACCGTCATTTATTGTGTGATTTTGGTAGATATTTCTGGGGTTTTTTTTCTTTTAAGTCTTAAAATTCATTCGTAAGAACGGTGGTCCGCTCCCACTTTTATATGTAAACGCACCCGGTCATCCTGGAGGAAGGGGGGGGGGCCGGACCAAGGGTTTCTTGTTGGGAAAACACCCAAAATTCTTTGAAGTATTTTTTTGTGTTTAGGATACTATGGATCTAATAGATGAACTGAGTATGGGATTAGTTCAGGATTACAGAGAAAACCAGAAAGGAAAATTGCAAAGAACTTTTGTTTCAGGTTTATATTTTACTTAATAGATCGGGAAGGGGGGATGGCGAACTAACTTTTCTTTGAGCAGCAATATTACTATAAAAATCAACTTCTCGGCTTTGCACCTAACAATTTTTCTTCCATTTCACATCGTACATGTTCCGGACTCAAGGCCGCTACCTGCACAGTGGTGTGTAGTGTGTAGGCAGTCTGGGGGTTACACGTTGGGTTCCCTTCAAGATTTGATTTGATTTGGTTTGGTTTGGTTTGGTTTATTTGATTTGATTTGATTTGATTTGATTTGATTTGATTTGATTTGATTTGATTTGATTTGATTTGATTTGATTTGATTTGATTTGATTTGATTTGGTTGTCAAATATTGTAATTTTACCTGTTTAAGCACAAATTTTTGAACAGTTGAAAACAATTGTAAATTAGATTTTTAGGGTCCTGTCCTGTGAACACTAATTTTGTTTAGGTTCTGTGGCTGCAAACAAGAAAGTAAACAGAACCTGAAGATAAGTCTAAAATGAAAAACGTATAACTGCAAGAATCTGTTTTTAAATTAAGATCTCAAAAAGTGTTTTTTTACGTTGAATTTACAATTTTTCCAGACAAAAAATGGTAGATATCGATGAAGGCTGGTTGAATGATAAAAAGAATGATTAACTGATTACAAAATGAAGATCTGGATTTTGTGGTTGTCTCTTCCAATTTTAAACTCCAGGTTCTCCCCGAATCTACCAGAGTCCCTTCTACCCAACTTCTACTCTCAGTACCCTGGCCTAGATCCTCGTCAGAGACCAGTAGAGACTGCAGGTCAAAGAGGACTAACCCATCAAAACGGAGGACAGAATGATTATGAAAATAAAAAATGTTGGGGTTACGAACCTGGTTGCAAGAAAAAGTTTAGGTAATTATCACCATGTCTTGATATTGATTTAGTAAGTTCGTTTTGAATTTGAAATGTGCGATACATTGCAAATTGAAATATCAGTTAAAAAATTTTTTAACTTTCCAAAAGGCCTGGAACAGTTCTTAGTTTATGTTGCAACATAGTTTATGATTCCTCTATAGTTTTTATTTACATTGTATCCATCTATGTATATTGTATATTGTATAAGAATCAAGAAAATTCTAATAAATTTTAATAAAGTTAAATGGAAAATGTTGTAAATTTTACAAATTTTAAAAAAGGAAGATACAATTTCAATAATTTTGTTAGATTTTCGTCTCCATCTTGTCCTGGAGATTTCACCGGGTGGGCCTCAAGCCGTTCCGAGGCCAAGGACTTGTTCTACAACCAGGCGGACTTCGGGTTCGTCAAGGAACAGATTAAGGAATTGAAAAACTACTGCAAGGACTCGTCGGCCTCAAATTCCTCCTCGACCTCCACCTTCTCGGGCTCCTCATCCTCGGCATCTCACACCTCCACCTCCTCCCTGCTGTGCTCGAAGAACCTGATGTTCTGCACGGCTAGTCATCTTCTGTTAGACCTAAGACATGTCAAGGTATTATTTTATTTTGAATCGTTATAAATCTTAAAAACTGACGAGAATCAACCTAGACCGAAATATATTTTGTTAAAATTTCGAAGAACAAGTTTTTTATATTTACACCAGTGGTGTATAAAATTCTTTCTCCCCCCCCCCCCCCCCCCAGGGGGGGAAAGTAATCAAAGACCCAAAAGGAGGGGAAGGTAAGGAAAAAGGGAAGGAAAATGGAAAGAAAATGAAAAAATGAAAGTAAAATGGGAAGGGTAACAACAGAAGAAAGGGATGGGTGGGGAAGGATGGGACGGAAGTGGACAGGTAGGGGAAGGTAGATAGGTAGGGAAGGGAAAGAGAAAAGTTGGGAAGGGGAAGGTTGGGAAAATGAAGTTCGGGAAAGTGAACGTCTGGAGGGAAAGGGGAAGATTGCGAGGGAAACGGGAAGGTTGAGTAGGAAAGACAAAAAATAGGGATTAGGGAACTACAAAAAGGACAGGGAAGGTAGGGAAGGGAAAAGGAAGTTAGGAAAGTAGAAGGAGAATGTATAGGGAATGTAGGGAAGGGAAGGCGAAGGAGAAAAATTGATGGAAGGTTGGCAGATAAGGAAGGAACGGGAAATTTAGGGAAGTAAAGGCTCTTTGCCTCTTCAAATCTAACTTTCTCTGGAACTAGACAGTTTTTCACAAATAATTTTCCCCGATAGTTTTAATGCATTATATAAAAAGCGTTATAAAAATGTCATTGAAAAATATGATAAAAGAATACCCCTTACTAAATCATTTTTATAATAGTCAAAATAAATTGGCGCTACGCGTACAAATAAAGAACAAGCTATTTTTTGAGAGCATGAGATTACCCCCCCCCCCCCCTCTATGAAAGTCATGGGAATTGATTTAAAAGGGGAAAAAATACTCCTGTACTGATAAATAATGAATCAAAACTTCTTTTCCAATACCATCATACTAAATGTAAAAAAATTTCCCTGTGGCGCCATCTTTGCAAACTGCATCCTTCTGGGATTTATTATGCACTACAGTATAAATCTTAAAAAATTATGTCTTTTTAGTTATCGAATATGGGGATGGAAATAAAAAAAAACAGAGGGGGTAAGAATAAAATATTTGGAATTAAATACACCTCTGATTAACACTTTACAGCGATGTATATTTATGAATAGGGAATAGAGCCGTCTACTGTAATATCATAGAAATGATATGTATAGTCAGTTAAAAAATTAACTGCATCAACTATACTACCATGTTTACTTGTAAATCAATCAACTAATTTACAGGATCGGAGTGATAGAGAAAATCTCCGATATAAGATGGATGTTCTCTCCCCCGGAGATATCCAGGTGCACTGTAACCTAGACCAGGACGGAGTAAACAAACAGCTTGAGTTCATGTCTCCACTACAATCCTGGGCTCCAGAACTCAGAAATATCAGGGATAAAGTCGTCATCACATGATCTAATTATAAAAATTTGATCCTATTTGTGATCTCTGGCATTTTTATCTCAAAAAGTTTATCTTGCGCCAAATTAAATCGAGCTTTTTAACACTTGAATTATTTCTAATTCGGTAGTATATATATCCATCACTGACGCGTACCTCCCTGCTTTGCTAGCCTAAAAAGATTTACTAAATAGTCAGCTGCCTGCAGTAGCTGGAAATGTCGAGTTAATCAATCTATTGAGGTCTAGAATTTGGGGGGGTTGTATATGTCTGCAGTGTGTTAATATGGTTTGGGGGAGGGAGCGTGTCTAGAACTTAGTAACAGTAAATATGGAAATTCAAATATTTTCTTTCTTTAAGTCCATTGTGCTATTTTACATGAAAGTTGCGGCACGTATAAACTTGTCAGACGCCCGGACACGTCAATCAAGCATCTATAGCTACCTGATCTGTGGTGTGGTCGCAGATTTAATTATGGTGAAAAGTCATCAAAGGAAGTACTTATTCACATATATTTTTTCGTTAAAAGGATTAAATTAATTCCTCTTGAAATCCCGGGGTTTGAACCCAACAGAGATGACTAAATATAAAGAGAAATCTATCCTGATCAATTGCGTTGAAGAAATTTTAAGTGTAAAACGAACATTGATAATAAGATCATTTTCAAGAGACGATTTTACTTATTATTTATTGTAGAGAAGCCAAGGAGGCCATAACAGCCGCAAATCCGTCATGTGACGTGTACATAGATAAGCCCGTGTACATAATGAAACTAGACGCGGCAGTGAACATGTACCACCATTTTTGCGATTTCTTCAACTTGTTCGCATCTCTGTTCATCAGAGATGCCATCTTGAAAAATGGAACAGAACAATTCAATAGAAATAATCAGGTGATAAGTTTTGCATTTTGAAATTGGTATTTGTTTTACATAATTTCATTTTGCAATGAAAAGTTGTATTTTACTCTATTATTCATTTAATTAGCTAATATATAATTAAATGAGTTCAGAAAATAAATAATATTTTTATTTTAAATAAACTTAAATTCTTATTTTAAATTCATCAGGCTTAAAAACATCATAGTTATATCAAGTATATACAGTAAATGTTTACAACTTGAAGAATTATTCTACTTTCTAATTCCTACCCTTCTTGTAAAATTAAGTATATACAGTAATTGTTTACAACTTGAAGAATTATTCTACTTTCTAATTCCTACCCTACTTGTAAAATTAAGTATATACAGTAAACGTTTACAACTTGAAGAATTATTCTACTTTCTAATTCCTACCCTTCTTGTAAAATTAAGTATATACAGTAAACGTTTACAACTTGAAGAATTATTTTACTTTCTAATTCCCACCCTTCTTGTAAAATTAGCCAGTACAAGTTTTAAAGAGAAGATAATAGAAAACTAGAAAATAATACCGTTTATCTTTTTCTTTGTTAGTAATCTTAATTGGAATATTTCCGTATAAATAAAACCTATTGATTAGCTTAAGGAAAAAATTATTTATTAAAAGGAAAAGACTATTGTTTATATAGAAAAGGGGGATTAAATATTGAAAAAGAGGATTTTTTAGCGAAAAAATTGTCTCCACACTAACTTCTGATTTTCGTTCATATTGCATATTTTTATCAAACTACAACGCATGAGATTTTACTAATAAGCCATTACAATTTATTATGCAGTTTGGACCCGTCTAACCGGGGTAGGTTGTTAGTGAACAAATATGAAGATAATTAGATAATTCATCGGTTGATTGTAGATCTTGATTTGGGAAAACATGAAATATTATTCAAACTTCGGAGCAGCTTGGGAGGCCTTTACGGAGAACCCTGTTCAGAATTTGGAAACTTTTGTTGGGAAAAGAGTTTGTTTTAAGAATGCAGTCTTCCCATTACTGCCCAGGTAAAGGGGAATAAAAGCGCCTAACCCCCCCNGAAGAAGCCTGAATCAACTAGCAGAAATATCTATTAGAGATAAGCGCTATTTTACACACAAGTTTAAAGCTTAGGTTTGAAGAAGCCTGAATCAACTAGCAGAAATATCTATTAGAGATAAGCGCTATTTTACACACAAGTTTAAAGCTTAGGTTTGAAGAAGCCTGAATCAACTAGCAGAAATATCTATTAGAGATAAGCGCTATTTTACACACAAGTTTAAAGCTTAGGTTTGAAGAAGCCTGAATCAACTAGCAGAAATATCTATTAGAGATAAGCGCTATTTTACACACAAGTTTAAAGCTTAGGTTTGAAGAAGCCTGAATCAACTAGCAGAAATATCTATTAGAGATAAGCGCTATTTTACACACAAGTTTAAAGCTTAGGTTTGAAGAAGCCTGAATCAACTAGCAGAAATATCTATTAGAGATAAGCGCTATTTTACACACAAGTTTAAAGCTTAGGTTTGAAGAAGCCTGAATCAACTAGCAGAAATATCTATTAGAGATAAGCGCTATTTTACACACAAGTTTAAAGCTTAGGTTTGAAGAAGCCTGAATCAACTAGCAGAAATATCTATTAGCTACTGTAATTTAATCAGATTTAAATAGGTTTGTTAAATAATTAATAATTGTGAAAGTGCAGGTTGACCCTATTAGCGAGGAAGACAAAGTACAGGAGGATAGAGAATGAGGCTGAGCTGGTAAACAGCCTCCAGAAATCTGGCAGGTTCGAGGTCAACCTTGCAAGGTAGCAAAATTATTTTATTTCACAAAAATTTTACGAAAAGAAAGTTTTAAATTAAATGAAAACCTGTAAAAATTTGAAAAGACATTGTAAAGAAAATAGTTACGAGTCGTTGAAAAAGATCTGCTAAAACTATATTTGAAATTTTTTACACGTTCATGCATATAGTTATCTTTTTTTACAAACAGAAGAGATGCGGATTTATAAACCACACCTATTACATCCCAGAATTCAAAAATTTAATTCATAGAAAAAAAACATTGATTTACAATTTTTTAAGTTTTTATATGATATCAGATGGAAATATTTTAAGTATTCTATAATTCTTGTTCTTAATTTTTCTTCTTGATCGTCCATCCTTCATTTGAAAATAAAAAGAATTTAAATTTTTTGGATTTCCTTGTAGTTAGCCAAATTGCAAGAAAGAACTATTTTTTCGAACCACAAATGGACATTTAAAATTACGATTAAATTGTAAAATGCTGCGCCTTTTAAGAAATAATATTACAGACATAGATGATCTTATTGATCGACTTATTGATTAATTGATTGCTTGATTTATACAAAATTGTGAAATAAATATCAATAATCAACAATTAATAGAAGCATTTTTAAGGTTTGATCACAGGGTTCCATTCAAATTTCAATTGGAAGCTATTAAAAACACAGATATTTTGGTAAGAACTTTTGAAGTTTGCATTGAAACATAAAGATGTCTATAATGAGAGCTTAGAAAGTCAGGGGTCGAAAAATAATGGGAAAACATTTTGGAACACATTTCATTTTGTTAGCAATATCTAACATATTGTAAATCCCAGGAACAAGAAACATTTTGTCACTAAAACTCAATTCTTAAAAAAATGTAAAATTCTTCAAAAATAAATTTTTGTTTGAAACAGCGGAGAAGAGTTTGTGGCTCAAGACAAGAGAGAATGCAGAAAATGTTTTATTGGAAAACTTTGTTTGGATATTCATGTTAAATATTGATCAACTGTTTGGATATTCATGTTAAATATTGATCAACTGTTTGGATATTCATGTTAAATATTGATCAACTGTTCGGAAAATCAGATATAAAATATTCATAAGAGAGGTAGATAACCCCAGACTGCAGGGGTAAATAATGCATATTTAATTTTTTAAATTCACCAACACCTACTTTCAGTATTTTCAGTATAATTTAAAGGGGGGGGGGTGAATGAATTAATGAATGATGCGGAAAATTTCCAGAGATTTGGAGTTTAAAATAGGGAAATATTTGTGTCATGATGAAAAGTATCTAAACCTTGATTTAGAGCGCATATTGTACATGATTTTTTTTTCTTTATTTTCTATAGCTCACCTAATTATTTCCTAGGGGATATTTGTATATTCGCCCCTGAAAGGAGTTATGTTGTCTTTTAAAAAAGTTATGAGATGTAAATTGGTTTTAAAATTATAATATTTAGATTCAGATTGTTAAAATTGAATTAAAAATTAGGAATTTGAAGAATAGAATTGAAATTAAAATACTTGAATAATAGTAATAATTTTAAATAAATCTAAATCAACTATCATTAAAATCATCAATCTAAGAAATGTAACTATCAAACAAAAAATCAATCTTTCAATTCAGAGATATCATTGAAATTGAATTGAAAATTAAAATTGACAAATGTGAAGTAAAAGATCAGAAAACTCAATTTAAAAATTGTAAATATCAAATTATAAATTGAAAACAACATCTCAGATTATCAAAACAAAAGATTGAAATTATCAAATTGAAATTTGGATTAAAAAAATTTGATTTTGAGATTTCAAATTGGAAAAATTACAATATTTTAAATTACAATTCGAGAGATATTTCTGGAATAATACTCATGCAACAAAGTTGTATTTTGCTATAATTTCTAAATCTCTTTTTTTGTTTAACTTAATTTTTTTTTTTATTGTTAAGGTTGGAATCCATGGGGCTGGATTGACCCATATGCTGTTTCTACCTGACTGGGCTGGAGTATTTGAACTATATCATTGTAAGGACCCAGGCTGCTACAGTGACCTAGCAAGGTACGATATAAATAGACTTAATAAGCCCTAGAATATTATCATCCATTTATTGTTAAAATGGACAATGTAGTTTATACATTCTAACTAACAATCATAGGAATTTAAAACATGCCTCAAGTTGTCTAATCGTTAAATCTTTGCCACCTGCTGTAGATATTTGATATATAAAATAGTGGATTGAATATGGATTTAAAATCCAAAGTTTGAAATATTGAACGTCGACGCCATCAGGTTGCAAAGATTGTGTTCTTGTCAAACAAAGTATTTTTATTCCAAAAATATGGTTTGTTAAAATGTTTATTTTAATGTGCAGGTTGCGAGGTTTAAAATATCTGACCTGGGAGAAGATGACCAAGTTGACCAGCCTTGAGGTCGAGGGATCTCCGTACACTGGGCCAGCACACCAGAAGTTTAGGTCAATATATAAAGGGACTGTATGTTAAACTTTAAGTGACCCTCCATTTTAAAAAAAATTGATTAATTTTGAAAAGTCCCAATCAGTGTAAGTCGATAAGTCAGTCGACCCCTCAGCCACTCCCTCTAAATACTGAGTTGTGAGCCTCAATGGTCCCTTAAACCCTTGATATAAGCAACATTGAGAATAATATTTTATTTTCATATCTTCAACCTTGTTGAATTCTGCCAATTTCCTTCATTGTCTTTGCACCATAAAATTCACGAGTCAATTTTATGGAAAAACCACAGTTGAAGATAATCAAATCAAGATAGAAAAATATTGATATCTTATTCGTCCTTGATCAAACGAATGGTTTAAAGTGCAAGGTTCTGATTCGGTTGAATTGAAATTAACACTACATTCCCTTTTAATATCAGCCAATGTGATCAGAGCTGAAAACTTTAGAATGAGATATTCTTAATCACGATCGCTTATTCTGATTATCCAATGTACACACTTTTGATTTTCTTCTTAATCCTCTTTTTGGATATTTCTACTCTATAAAAGTTACGTAGGATAACAATTACAGATACAATGCTATATCGATTGGACTAATATCCGATTGAATTAAAGTCAGCTGTTCACAGGCCGGCTTTTAGAGCATTTAAACAAATATAAATTTAATCAAGTTACATTAAATGATTAAAAAAACATATTTTAGGACTATTGTCATTTTGAACGTTAGTCTGAATAAACGTTAATCCAAAACTTACGTTCGTTCAATCGATGTTTAGTTCAATTGATATGACTCCATCAACACCAGAAATCAAAACCGGGTTTTCAAAAGTTAAAGAGTACATCTTAACATGACACGCTGATTGGTTAAATTTTTAACTTCTTTCTTGGATATTGAATGCGTTTTAAACTAATCTTTGGTTTAGTAAAACCAGGAGTTTAAGCATTAATCTTGATATCCACCATTTAAAGTTTTCAGCTCTGGTATCTGGACATTTTCTATTCTATTCATCAATTTATGGAATAAACTTTTCATGTTCAAAAAAGGTAGATTCTTTTAGCTGATTCAGTTTTTTGTATTTAAATCACTTCCAAAACTTCTTCGGTTTCATTAGAAAGTCTTTGATTTATCAACCCAAAATTGTTCAACCATCCATAGATTATTTACTTTTTCTAGTCAAATCCACAATATTTTCTATTTTAGGAATTACAAGTTTGATGTTGAAGAGTTCATGAGGTTGATTTCTATCCTTGAGGACAGAGTTAGGGAGGACAACAGGTTCAAGGACAGCAGGGACAAGAGTGAGAATAAGAAGGACAAGATGAAAACAGATAAAAGAGATGAAAATGAGAAACTAAGATTCTATGAAGAACTTTAAACACACATTTTTATTTTTACAACTTATTTTATAAAATTTCCTTTTATTGGTTTAAAATCTCATGTTCGTAATTTAATACCTCGTAGTTATTTTCTGATTATTTTAATTGAAAACTCTCTGATCTTGAGAATTTCTAAATATTTGTTTATCTTTTAAAGTTTTGTTATTCCCCGAAGAATTGGCTGAAATTTCTGCTGAGTTTCTTTTTAATGTTTTCTCTAATTCCCTCCAGCAAACATTTATCAGGATAATAGCTAAACTATGTAATAACAAGAGAGGGGTTGAGTGATTAATCCGAGCCTCCCTGCTCTACCCCCCCCCCCTCTTTTTCTCCAATAAAATTCATTTACAACCAAATCTATTGGAAATGGGAAAAGCTGTAACCTTACTCTTCAGAATCAAGATTACACAGATAAGACCAGTATTGGGTATCCTGGGTGATCAGTTTTAGAAACATTCAATATTTTTTAAGCTGAGAGACTACACAAATATTTAAAAGACTACACAAATATTTAAAAGACTACACAAATATCTAAAAGACTACACAAATATTTAAAAGACTACACAAAAATCTAAACGACTACACAAATATCTCAAAAACTACAGAAATATCTAAAAGTCTTTATTAAATGGTTATTTTTTAACAATTTTATTTTAAATACATTCTGAAAAATTTTGGCTCTGGCTAAAAATCTTTCTGATGCCAGCAACAGTAACACCCATTCGTTTGTTTACTAAAGATTTCCGGTATTTTTAATTTTTTTATTATTATTTTCTGTTCGAGTATATAAAAATGTTCAAATTGTAATTTATAAGCAAACTTTTATGAAACTTCTCAAATTTTTGTGAAATTGAAGCTTCATAAAATTTAAAAAAAACTTATGTTAAAACTAGAACAAATAAAAAACGATGCAATAGTTTAGGAACCTCCTTTACAGATCCATAACAATTTACAACTCAAGGTTGAACCAGTAATTCTGCACACAATACTTGATACTGTTTGTCCTATCAGTGTAATCTGTGGTATCAAGGTTGTTTTTAATTAGTTAGTTTTATGTTGGGGGGGAGGGGGGATAGGTTTATGTTGGGAGAAATCCTGCGGGAAAATATAATTTATTAAGCTTCTCTCTTAATTTGTTTCTTTCCGTAATTAGTTTTTTTATTTAGACATTTTTAGACAATACATATTAATATGTTATATGTATGTATATCTATGATACTTATTAGTTACCAAAGTGAATAAATACTAAAGTGGAACAGACTAAGGCAACGACGACAGGTTGGGCCATAAGGTTTTATTTGGTTTGGAAATAATTGCATGAAAAGATTTCTTTTGGGAAGTAAAGACTAGAAAAAAATAGATTTATGAAAAAGTGAAGACCAAGAGATATATTTCGAAGATCTTCTTTTTTCGGTATCACAAATTATGCATTCCTTGTTTTACAGATTATGCATGCAGGCATTATTGTGCTGTCTGAAATTATTTATTGTGCAGTAAAATGGTTAAAATTCACTTCTGAAATCTTAATTTACGTTAATCTATATTTAAGTTAAATACAAATTCTTAGTCTGTGTTTGTAAACAAAGGGAGTCCAGTTTTTGTTGTACTGTGCACTCCGTACAGACCAATTTATATATATATTTATATAATTTTTAAATACTTGGGACATAAAATGTCCTCATCCAACTATGAGTTTGGCCCACTTTAGTATTTGATCACTTTAATTAGTTACAGGGACCAACTTACTTTTCCAAAGAGTTTTCTGATAAAAAAATGAAAACGATCTGCACAAGTAAATTCGTTATGTTAATTAAAAGCTGAAACTGGTATTCTGGAATGATGTTGGATGTCCTGTACCTAACTAACAACAACAACAAAAATTCATAGATCATTGGAAGCAACATTAAAATGTTGTCTTTTATAAAAGGCTAATCATGCAAAAAAGTCAGATTACAAGCTTTATGGACTTGTTTCATTCTTGATTTATTTATTAATGTTTGAACCATGGATGGACTTCCCTAAAGGCCTGATTTGATTTTATGTGATTTTAAAAAATGCAGTCTGCTAATATAAATGGTAATAATAAAGTCATATTTTAATCAGCTTTTAATCCCATAACATGATCATGTAATATTTTAAACGAAGGGTGTCCGATAAAAGATGTAACAGAATTATTCTGGGGACACCCTGTAATAAAACCCTCTACTCCTAACCTTGCCTTTACTGTAATCTATCTGTGATAACAAGTATTATTAACCAGTCTCAAGAAACCTGCAGGGATATTTCTAGGGGAGTTTGTCAGTTTTTTTTACAAATCATATTTTCTTATTTTCCAACTAACAAATATTATCACATTTTTCTTTTTTAACAAATAACTAATTTTTATCCATAATAATGTTCACTTAACTTGCCAAAAAATTATGTTCTTTGAAAAAGAGAATTTGATTGAATAAAGCAATCAAATTTCTATAATCACTATATCTTTGCATTCTGATGGTGTAACTCTCAGATATTTTAAATATAGATATTTCATTTGAACACAATTCATAATTTTACGGGTTGTGGATATGAAGGGATTCGAAAATTAGAAATTGTGGCGATTGTTCAGTTCTTTAACAATTGGAAGATTGTATTCCTGTAAACAAAGTGGATGTGAACTCTTATATTGGCAGTTTCGCCCTGTATACCAATTTAGTTACATTCATATTTTTTTCTTGAACATTTAACAGTTAAAATATGATAAAATTTGACACTAAAAAATGGGTTTGCAAGTTTGTTACTATTACTTTATACCAAATTAATTTTGTATTGACCAATTGTAACATTGCTCTCACTATGTAACATTTATTTAACCAATTATAATTATAATTGTATTCACCGTGTGTAACATTATGTAACCAATTATAACATTGTATTCACCGTGTGTAACATTATGTAACCAATCGTAATATTGTATTCACCGTGTGTAACATTTATGTAAACATTTTTAACATTTATTTACCATTTATAGCATTAATTAAACCACAATTGTGAAAAATTTAATTAAAGCAAAAATTATCCCCACAAATAAAAATTAAATAACGGTCCCTGAAGACAATCCCAGTTTTGTTATAAAACAAACGGGTTAATTGAACATTAGTCACAAGAATTTAGCTTAAATCTAGTCTTCAATAAGTTCTAACATTGTAACAGTATTAATTATCTAAATTCTGTTCATTACTTGAATAATAGTTTCAGATTGAAATGTTGGTGAACTAAATATTCAGCTGAATTCTTGAATCCTTCAACAGTTTCCCCATCTTGAAGATTAGGTTAGATTAGAATAAAATTAGGTTTAGCAAATGCCTGAAAGCCTGGGAAAAGTTTTGGCTTAATACTTTTTAAACTCTACTGTTCCACTTAGACGTTGCTTTATTATATGATGGTAGGGATGTTCAAAGAACGGAAATATTTCAAATTAATATTAGATTTCTTTCGACCGGGAATTAACGAAAAACACCGTTCATTCAAACAACCCAATGGTAACTTATTTTAGTAAGTTATTAAAACTAGCAAACACATTTTTGGAATTTAAAGTGAAACCATGTTATTAAACGGTGTTATTTTCATTGTATTTCAACCTACAGGTCGTTGTACTTTTTCTGTAGGTTGATTGTTAATCATAATAATAATGATGGCTAGGCAAAGGTTTGTTAATTAACTAACGTTTTTGAAAAAAATTTCAAAATTTTGTTAACTAATGGAGGGAACCGTGCCCAGCACTACAATAAAAAAAAAATTTTAATTCTAGCCATTGAAGATAAAAAAGATAATGTTTGTTTATTGTTTTACAAGAAGAAAGGTGGAGAATGTTTGGAAAGAGAGATAGATTAAATTTCCTGTAAGAAGAGATCATGTTTCACATCAATAAGAAATGGATTTTGAACACACTAGTTTATATAAATTATATGTTTATGTATTATACTTAAATTGACCCCTTTCCCATAAACATAAATGATAATAATATTTTGTTCTAAATACTTTGTAATAAAGTTTGATACTGAATAGAAACTGTTTGTTAATTATCTCTGTTATATTTATGTAATTAGTCTTTGATCTTCTCCTTATTAGATTATGGACTAATGGATACCTTTGTAACAAGAGTTTCCTGAAGTTAATACCCCCCCCCCCCTGCATATAGAATAATGTTTGACCTCATCTTCAAGTGCCAGCTTAAAGGCAAAAAACGAACCAAAAACGATTTCCTCTTAGGATACAAATTTAAACATTTCAATGAAAGCAAACTTTTAAAGAATACAATTTTTAAGTCTTTAAAATCTAACCAAGTTTTTGTCCTACCCCCCTCCCCCGAGTGAAACGATTTTGAATATAAGAATATAAGTTTATTTTAGAGTGTTTCTAAAATTCACCACATTTGGTTGCAAAGATATAGGCATGGGAAAATCAAGATTGTGGCAAAGACTACTTTTTCTACTTTACCCAAGATTGAATTGGTGATATCAAATTAAGGATGCTATTCGGGCTTTACTACAATACTCCGTTAGTACCTGGTTGCCTGGGTTCAGGTCTCTTCAAATCCTTCTCAGAGTTCATCCTGCATAGACTGGATATACCTGGATACAAACCTACACAAAAACTCAGGTAGTTGATATCCTTCATAGACTGGATATACCTGGATACAAACCTACACAGAAACTCAGGTAGTTTACATCCTTCATAGGGTCGATACACCTGGAGAAACTCAGGTAGTTATAAATTGGAATTAATAAGAAATAGATATCTTAAACCTTTTCCAAAAATATTTCTCATGAGAATTTGGAATAGTGTTCCAATGAATATAATGTTCATTATCAGTACTTAGTTTCAAAACGAATATGAAAATATATCTGGCTTCTAAATATAAGGAATTTAAATGTAAAAACAGGAACTGCTACTCATGTAATTTGAAAATCTTTTAAACCACTCTGTAACATATTATCTACAAAAATTGGATTTTGCAGTGCTTGGGTTTTTCCTTTTCTTCCCTTTTTTCCTTTGCTATTCACCCTTCCTTCTTTTTTTCCCCTTTTTTTAAAAATTACTTTGTGAATTGTGTAATGTATTCGTTATTTGTTAAATTTAAAAAATAAAATGTATCTATAAAACTTTGGAGGGCCAGCCAATCAAAACAACCAGAAATGGTTAGGCTGTAGCCCTGGCTAATAATTGTTAAGTAAAAAATTATAATATGTAAAATGTATTTATTTTAATGTTAGCCGAAATATATATCTATCTATCTATATCCTTCATATACTGGATATACCTGGATATAAACCTACACTGAAACTCAGGTAGCTGATATCCTTCATAGGTTGGATAACTATGAATAAAGGATTAAGCGGAATAAAGGATTAAGCGCTAACGCCTCAAATGAAAAACTTGCCACAATGGATACTGGATGTCAAGATTAACTATAATACTTATCTTCATTTTTGATTAAGTATATTCATCTCAATTTTGGAGTATGGTCGGTAGGCCATTGCTAAAATTATTATTAGATTTGATTTGATAACGCATTAGAGATAAGCGCTATTTTACACACAAGTTTAAAGCTTAGGTTTACTTACTTACTTACTTACTTACTTACTTACTTACTTACTTACTTACTTACTTACTTACTTACTTACTTACTTACTTACTTACTTACTTACTTACTTTCTTAATACTCTCTTACTTATTTATTTACTTACTTGATTGTACTTATTTATATTCCTTCCATGATAGAAATCCTTCTTTAGTTTATAAACTAGTTTCCATGTTAATGAGTCAAGTTTTAAGAATTTACTTCCTCAGTTTCTCCGAGATTTACAGGGGTTAAACATTGTGCCATAGTTTAGGCAGGAAAATGAGTTTTTTGTTCGGAAATCGTTCCTCCAAAACTTTTAAGCCGAAGAAGAATATTCCAGAAGGAAGTCATCAACATGAACTTATGAAACATGCAGCTGCCACACTTGGATCAGGTGAACTGGTATTTTTCAAATTGGCCGCCAGAATTTTACGCAGTAGACTTGCATTGTTTACTCTTATGATATGATTTGATTGACCAAGATGTCAACAACGGCGTCACCTTGTATTCTTTTTTAAACCCATTGCTATTGAAAATAATCAAGAATTGCGATCTTTCAGGAAATTTGCGGCTTGCTGTAATGCTTCCTGAAGGCGAGGATATCAATGAGTGGGTGGCGGTCAACACTGTGGATTTTTTCAATCAGGTATAGTTTCTTTAATTAAGCTTCAGATTTTGCCAATTTTTATTATTACTATTTTACAAAAACTTGAAAGTTTTCTGAAGTTTCTGGGAGGAATAAAAACAAAGATGAGCAGCAATATGTTTGTTGACATTGCTCCAGAAAATGCAATACACACGTAAACTAAATTCTTGGTAGATATATATTATTCTAAAAAAGGGCAAATCTTTAATCATTGGAACTGGGTCCTAGGTTTTGTTCGTCACAACTTAACTATGACTTTAAAACATTGTATAAATAAATTTTAAAAAATCCTCCTTAGAACAGGGGTCCATCTATAGATTTTGTGCAGGTGAAAAACTTAACTTTGTGAAAAAATGTGTTGACAAAGTTACTATTTTTGGCAGATTTGATGGACTAAGTTATCCTTTGTGTTAGATAGACTAAGCTACTATTTTTGGTAGAATTGATTGACTAAGTTACTATTTGAGGCAGATGCTAAGTTACTATTTATGGCAGATCTGATTGACTAAGTTACTATTTGAGGCAGATTTTATGGGCTAAGTAACTATTTGAGGCAGATGCTAAGTTACTATTTATGGCAGATCTGATTGGCTAAGTTACTATATAAGGCAGATTTTATGGACATAGATACTATTTTATGTTTGTCAAAATGTAGTCAGATGGTGTTTTTTTTGGAGTTTTATTTAATGTTATTACTATGTACTCGCCCAGATTTATCCTATATGAACCTCTGGCATGTGCGGAACGTGCTTAAAAACCTTAAATTTAGATCAATAACTAATTTTTGATCAACATGCTGTACGGTATAATTGCTAGTTATAGAGCATCATGCTGTACAGTGCAATTACTAATTTTAGATCAACATGCTGTACGGTACAATTACTGAGTTCTGTACAGAAGCTAGTTGTTCCGTAATGTCAGCTGGTCCTAAATATGAGGTAAAAAAGTATTAAAGCTTAAATCATATTAAATAAAATGTATGGTATCGTCAGGGTGGCCAAAATGTACGGATTGTACGGATTGTACGGATTGATTTTTTTTTAACCCTAAAATTGTACGGATTGTACGGATTGTACGGATTTGTTTTCAAATTGTACGGATTGTACGGATTTTTTTTGAAAAATTGTACGGATTGTACGGATTGTTTTTCGAAAATTGTACGGATTGTACGGATTTCTTCTGAAAATGTACGGATTTTTGTACGGATGGGTTCAAAAAAGTTTTGGCCACCCTGTATCGTTAAACTACGAATGTATTATGTTCTTTTTTTCCTTTTTGGTAAAATTAAAATCAAATACTTTTATTTAAATTAGCTTAAGCCGCTTAACTCATTATTTCTGCCCCAATTAAGCCAAAATCTTGTTATTAACAAATCAATTTCAATTTCAGAAATTTACTCAATCTTAGGCTTTTGGGACTTAAAATCTCAGACCTTATTTTTTATCCAAATTAATTATTAATAATCATTTTTTTATGTTTTAATTTTTGTTTAGTACCACTGGGCGGACGGGAATCAAGTCAAGAAACCGATAAAATGTTCAGCTCCCAAGTATATAGACTTCTTGATGACGTGGGTTCAGGTAGTTATTCATTCAGTGTTCAGCTCCCAAGTATATAGAGTTCTTGATGACTTTGATTCAGGTAGTTATCTATTCAGTGTTCAGCTCCCAAGTATATAGACTTCTTGATGACTTTGGTTCAGTTAGTTATTCATTAAGTGTTCAGCTCCCAAGTATCTAGACTTCTTGATGACCTGGGTTCAGTTAGTTATCTATTAAGTGTTCAGCTCCTAAGTATATAGACTTCTTGATGATCTGGGTTCAGTTATTTATCAATTAGGTGTTATCTATTATGTAGTTATCTATTAAGTGTTCAGCTCCTAAGTATGTAGACTCTTGATGACTTGGGTTCATGTAGTTATCTATTAAGTGTTTAGCTCCCAGGTATATAGACTTCTTGATGACTTTGGTTTAGGTAGTTATCAATTACGTGTTCAGCTCCTAACTTGGGTTCAGGTAGTTATTTATTCAGTGTTCAGCTCCCAAGTATATAGAGTTCTTGATGACTTTAGTTCAGGTAGTTATCTATTCAGTGTTCAGCTCCCAAGTATATAGACTTCTTGATGACTCCCAGGTTTATAGACTTCTTGGTGACTTTGGTTTAGGTAGTTATCAATTACGTGTTCAGCTCCTAACTTGGATTCAGGTAGTTATCTATTAAGTGTTTAGCTCCCAGGTATATAGCCTTCTTGATGACTTTGGTTTAGGTAGTTATCAATTACGTGTTCAGCTCCTAACTTGGATTCAGGTAGTTATCTATTAAGTGTTTAGCTCCCAGGTATCTAAGCTTCTTGATGACTTGGGTTCATGTAGTTATCAATCTTCTGCCTTAAACATTGAGTTAATATGAAAGTATCCCATTTGTCTAATTCTTGCCGTAACTATTTTTACAAATCAAAATCTCTTATTGACATTTTGACATTGCTATATGTATGAAGTTTCTCCTTGGAAATGTACAGTTATAGTCACATAAATAAATTTACAGTTTTAATACCATATTTACGTAGTATTTGTATCCAGGATCAGCTGGATGATGAATCCCTATATATGTTGTATTTGTATCCAGGATCAGCTGGATGATGAATCCCTATTTATGTTATATTTGTATCCAGGATCAGCTGGATGATGAATCTCTATTCCCTAGCAAGATCGGAGTTCCATTCCCTACCAACTTCCTCATCATCGCTAAGGAACAAAAACAAATTTAAAAAAAATAAAATTATTTAAATGATTTATGTTAATATTTGAACCTCAATTTGAGTCCAAATATAGCCAGCTAAAATGTGTAAGTCTGAAAACGGTCTGTTTTGCATGAAGTTCTAAGATGGAAAGGAACTAAGTGTTTGCCATAAACGAAAATTTTCTGATCCCAATATGTTTGCAACCTGATGGTGTAAACCTTCTCAAACTTAAGTTTTTTTTCATTAACCAAACTTAATATTCCTTAATAAGTTAAATGGTTTAGTAGTACATTTATTGCTTGTAGATATAATTATATGATAAATAACGTGTATATAAAAGAAGAGGAAGTTGAATAGGTCTTCTCTGGTTCCAAGATCCGACACCACTGATTTGCGAATTTCATAATCCTCTTTCGGGGATTTCATCCTCTACAATGGTTTCTTTTATTTATTTTTTAAAAAATTTATTTTTTATTCATACGATGTCTTTAAGGTTAAATATTTTGATAAATTAAGTGGCGGTTTTAAATTTTCATAATTCAATTTTGGTTTACAAAAGCTTTGTTAATTTTTTTCTGAACCTGAGGTTAATATAAGTGACCTAAATGGCTTCATAATTTGTTTTCAATTTTGTCATGTTTTTTTATTTTTATTATTTATTTTGATTTGTTGTTAGACAATATTAAAACGTCTGTTCCGAGTTTATGCCCACATTTACCATCAACATTTCAAGGTGGGTCGTACAAACATTGTTATTGATACAGTGTAGACGTAAGCAACACTTATTCCTAAATTCAGAGCGTTACATGCCCGACATTTTATTCACAATATTATCTTTTTAGTTTTTTTCTCTTGACATTCGCAAATCACTTAAAAAGAATTAATTGAAAATGGTTTAAAGGATACCATTTTGAAGCAGACATTCAACTGTTTAAATGAAGAGTAACTTGAAATAACGAAGACAGTCCCTTTAAGAGACATTGCCAGAGACTTTCAGAACCATCAAGATCGTTTAAAGTCTTTAAGAAACGTAGCTAGAGAGAACTAGAAAATCACTGAGAATCCTAGTAAAACATAGAAAACATATTAAAAAATTATACGCTATAGAAAAACATAGAAAACCATTGAAAACATTGGAAAAAAAACCCTATAAAGGTAAGAAAAAATGCAAAGACACTTTAAGGATATGGACAGATTTAGAGAATCATAAAGAAACGAACACAATAAGACGAACAATGAGGAAAAAAGCTAAAAAATATATATAATAAGCATAGGGAAACATTGAGAAACTTCCAGAACAAAAAAGAAACGGTAGAGAAACATAGAGAAACACGGAAAAAATATATAAACGGAGAGAAACGTAGAAAAGCCTAGAAAAACATAAAATACAAACATTGAGAAACATTTAAGAACATCGAAAATCGCAGAGAAACACAATCATATAAAAAGGAAAAAATATAGACATGAGAAGCAGAGAATATCACAGGTAGACAAAGACTCATGTCTAATAAAATGAAAATACAACCCTGAATCTGTGTTTAGGAGGTTGTATCTCTAGGAGAAGAAGCTCATCTTAATACATCCTTCAAACACTTTGTTTTCTTTATCCAGGTCAGGAGTCCTTTACATGTTTAGTGTACTCAGTTTAGAGTGTTTATGTCAGGAGTCCTTTACAGTTTTAGTGTACTCAGTTCAGGAGTCCTTGTTTATATTTTTTAGGTCAGGAGTCCTTTACAGGTTTAGTGTATTCAGTTCAGGAGTCCTTTACAGGTTTAGTGTATTCAGTTCAGGAGTCCTTTACAGGTTTAGTGTATTCAGTTCAAGAGTCCTTTATAGGTTTAGTGTATTCAGTTCAGGAGTCCTTGGTTTAGAGTAATTAGGTCAGAAGTCTTTTACAGATTTAAAGTATTAAGGTCAGTAGTCCTTTACAGGTTTAGAGTATTTTGGTCCAGAGTTTTTTTATAGGTTTAGAGTATTAAGGTCAGTAGTCTTTTACAGGTTTAGAGTATTTAGGTCAGGAGTATTTTATAGGTTTAGAGTATTTTGTCAAGAGTCTTTTATAGGTTTAGAGTATTTAGGTCAGTAGTCTTTTACAGGTTTAGAATATTTTGGTCAAGAGTCTTTTACAGGTTTAGAGCATTTAGGTCAGGATTCCTTTACAGGTTTAGAGTATTTAGGTCAGTAGTCCTTTACAGGTTCAGAATATTTAGGTCAGGAGTCTTTTACAGGTTTAAAGTATATAGGTCAGTAGTCTTTTACAGGTTTAGAGTGATTAGGTCAGGAGTCTTTTACAGGTTTTGAGTATATAGGTCAAGAGTCTTTTATAGGTTTAGAGTATTTAGGTCAGTAGTCTTTTACAGGTTTAGAGTATTAAGGTCAGGAGTATTTTACAGGTTTAGATTATTTAGGTCAGTAGTTTTTTATAGGTTTAGAGTATTTAGGTCAGTAGTCTTTTTCAGGTTGAGAGTATCAAGGTCAAGAGTCTTTTTCATGTTCATGTTTTTATGTATAGAGTTTCAAGTGACCCTCCATGCAAAGATGTCAATGCCCGATTCAACTAATCCATACTTAATCACACACAGCTTTAAGGGTGCCCTTGTGAATCGAACATTGCCATCTTTGCGGGGAGGGTCACTTGAAAATACGCTTAAAATCTCATTTAAGGTTATTTTTAATTGAACTAATTCAGGAGTTTGAACTAATTGACCGGAAAGAACTGGCCCCTCTTCAAGATTTGATTGATCGATTGACCAAAGCCAAATCATAAACAAGAATTCCTCCGCTTTACATTTTATCATCTTTTTTTTACAAAACTTTGAGTTTTGAATATTTTTAACAAATTCCAACTTTGACAATATTGTAAAATAAATATCCATTAATCAATTACCTTAATTAATTTTAAACAACCAATATGATAAATAGGCAAAATCATTTTTCAAACTTATAAGGCAGTTTTCTTGCTTTACCTTTGATCTCCAATTTGAGACGAAACACTAATATCTTATCAAAGATAATTATTAATATTCATACAGTGGTAGTCGATTATATCAATACAATGAAGACGACTTTTGATTTCAGTTTTGATTTATATTATGCTGGTGAACAGCAAGAATACACATAAACATAGAAGTCAAGATAAGCTGCCAATTAAAAAATCTTTCTCATTGAATTTTTGTAAGCTTGTAATTCGAAAAAACTTTTTAAAAGTCGTCTTCATTTTATTGATATTAACGCCTACCACTGTATATTTTTGTTTTGTTTTAAAAACTGTTAATTACTGAAATCCGTTATAAGTTAGAATTTAAACTTCAGATTTCTAAGTAAAAATCCACATTTTTTGTTATTTTTTCTTCACGACAAAGATAAATTAATTATATTCATTGTGTGAAACTTTGAGAAACTTTAAGATATGAAATTTTTCATTGTTCAGTGTTCACCAGAGATTAAACAGATATGACAGATACTGTGGACCCTATAAAACTTTAGAATAGGAAGACGATACTCTTTAATATTAAACAATCTTCATAATTTGACACGAATCACTCATGCCCAGTTTAAGAAGAATGTTACGCTAAGAGGTTATAGTTTACAACTCTGCCATATCTGTGTATTCCTGGTCTTACCTTCAAGCCTTCAAAATTACCGCCAAAATGTTTAGTTTTTTGGTTTTTATTTTACCATGATATAAACTTATTAATTATTTAAAACTGGTAGAGTAATGAGGTTTAAGAAGGAATCAATTTAAGTCTGTTTTGGCAACGTTTTCCTGGAATCTTACATTTTTTAAAGTTTATTTTTAGACTTTAAATGTTTTCAAAAATGAATTTATTCACATAATCTAAAAGTAAGCACTTGAAAAGACTAGAAAAAAAATGCAATTAAGGCAAACAAAATTACTTCCTACAAAAAAGATTTTAGCATGAGTTGATACGCCAATATATCTAAGACTTGAATTCGACATTATTTTATATTATGTATGTTTTTATTGCCATATTGCAGTTTGTTGTGCACTGCAACTAAGTACTTGGTGGAAATGCTTTTCAACTGTAGATGTTCTTCTAGTGACCCTCCATTTATTGATTGACATGTCCAACTCACAGCGGTGTCCTTTCATCTGATATCGGATGACAGATAAAACCCTGTATTTCTATTTGAAAATGGGAATTTAAAATAGCTTGCAGATTTATGCAGCAGAGTCAAAGAAGGAAATTAACATAATTTACCAAAATTGGAAAACGACGATATATACTAATCATGGTTACTCGGTACCGGCGGGAATTGTACATGCCACTCTATATACACAGGGTCCCACTAAATTACTTCTACAGTAATTTTAATGTTTTTGTAAATAGTATAATTGTTACAAATATTATATTTTAGAATCAAGTGAATAAAATGCTTAAATCATATTTGCAGCTTATATAAATGTCGAATTGAATGAAGTTTTTATTTAAAGTTTATTTTAAATGTAATTTCGTGCTCAAAGGAATAGATTAATGGATAAAGATAGAGTAGAGGAGAGAAAACATATCAGCAAATCAAATTCTTTCACTTGGACAGAAAAATTAAATTGTAACCGTGAAGTGACCCTGAAAACAAAATGTTTTTACAATTCACACAAACTAAATGTACAGGGTGTCCCACGAAACATGACAGTTGATGAATAGTTTTGAATGTCGTCTTCCATATACTGTAAAAGATATTAAAGGCTGTTTTCAGTTTATTTCGTTTAAAAAATCTATTGCTCAAATATATTTTACGTTGAAACTATAACCTCTTAGCGTAACATTCTTCTTGGGGGGGGGCATCATTTGAAACAAGCATGGTAAAATTCTTTTTTTAAGTTGAGTAAAATAAATCATTTGATTGATTTTTTTTTCGAATTGTAGGTGAATGAATGAACCATAGAAATAAGCATACAATGAGAATCAGGTACTGTGGAATAGGAAGACGACTGTAAGTTTCTAGTTTTGACCTTAATAGTCCAATAAGCAGGAGACCAAACAACTGTGCAGTGTAAGCAGACCCATTTCACGTAATAAGTGATTTAAAAAGTTAAAACTATTTGCTTTGTAACCACATCAAATAAACTAAGTTAATGTATAATGTCGTCTTCCAATTTCACAGTTTTCTGGTTCTCATTATATTTTGCAAAAAGTTAAATTATTTATCAATGTTTTAGATATTCCCAAATGTGTGAATTATTAATTGGCACGAACACATTATCTATATTACACCACAGAGAGCTCAGCTATAAAAAGACATCATCTATCACAGAGAGCTCAGCTATATTTAGTATTTAGCCTACAAGGAACCCTGAATGCAAGAAAACGGACTAAATAAATTCTTTACTATCGTCTCTGAAGTCTCATCCTTTGTGAGTAACCCTAGTATATCTGTTACATTCTATTTAATAGGGTCAAAAATTGTGACAAACGGGCAAATTTTTTTGAGAGACAGCATATTATTTAACATTTGAGAGGCCTCAGCACTCGGCCCCTAGCCCATCCTAGCCGCAGCGCTCGGCCCGGAAATTGTCTTAAACCTATCCTAACCGAAAATAAGGTGAGATGACAGCATATTATTCAACATATTAAAAGAAATTAAATTCAACTTTATATACTACTAGCTGAAAGGGCCCGGTGTTGCCCGTGGAAAATTTTTTTAGCCTGTAACACCCCCGGCCACCCATGAGTGTCCAATAAAAATTTCAGCCCAATCGGTCCAGCCATTTCGCCAGCTAAACTCAACATATATATGAATGTCTTGTTTTATTATATATATATATATATATTATATAATGATGTGTAGGACAAATGATGTGTAGGAACAATACATTTTCCCCAGCCCTGCAGGACAAATGATGTGTAGGACAAATGATGGGTAGGAAAAATGAGGTGTAGGACAAATGATGTGTAGGAAAAATGATGGGTAGGACAAATGATGTGTAGGACAAATGAGGTGTAGGACAAATGAGGTGTAGGACAAATTATGTGTAGGAACAATACAGTTTTCCCCACCCTGCAGGACAAATGATGTGTAGGACAAAGTAGGTGTAGGACAAATGAGGCGTAGGACAAATGATGTGTAGGCAAAGTACGTATAGGACAAATGAGGTTTATGACAAATGATGTGTAGGAACAATACAGGACAATGCAGGACAACTGATTGTAGGACAACTGATTATAGGACATATGACTTAGCGCCTTCAAAAAAGCTTGTTAGAAATCAAATTTAATTAGAAATGTCGTCTTTATTGTGTTGATTTAATTTTAAACGCCAACCACTTTTTATAAAGTAGTAATCTCTGTTTGTTTGTCTCTTTAAATTTCCGATCATAACTCGTGAACTCCTGGACTGTTTGGCTTTTACATTTGTTCGGAGAACTTGTTAGAACCTTGGGAATGTTTTAAGTCTGGTTTTAAAATTCTAAATTGAGTGGGTTCACTTTTATAAGGAAAAGTCCGGGCATGGCTGGGTTTCCAAAGTATTTTTCAAATAAGGAAATAAGTATTTAAGGGCACTTTATATCCAAAGAGAATAGAATATATATTAGAGGGGAATTTAAAGAATCTCTCGGTATGAATTTTTTCAGTCCCTTTCAGCCTGAAAGGAAGTTCAAAGTGTACAAATCATGTAAATGTTCACAAATTATATGCAGTNCCTCCATGTAATGTCGTCTTCAACCTAAAAGCTCCTCTCGGAGACGAGAAACCAAACCAAACAATTTCAGCCCGCTTCTCTTTGTTCTCCGACAACGGAATATAAACACTTTTATTAATTGTGAACCACTTCAAAGTTAAGCAAAGAATATTTCATATAAAGAATTAGTGACTTTCCTTAACATTTAATTGTCACTCTTTTCAGAAGTTTTAATGTATGAAAAAGCGTCTTAGGACTCTCCGACAGTTAACCCACAAATAAGCAAATAGATCGTAAGAATCTTTTCATTATAAATTTGTAAACCCTTGTAATAATTATTTATCATTATTCATTTCATTTTTTTTAGGAAATAAAGAGTTTTCTGAATGATCGATTTTGATTTGAGGGTTATTCCTTGTCTATCTGTTCATCGTCAGAATCTTGTTCCTTAGCGACAACAAATTCATTTATAGATTAGGTTGTGAATCGACCTACACTCTATTAATTACAATAACAGATCCTTTAATTCATAATAAAATTAGTAGTTTATTAGAGAGATATTTTTAATACGTTATTTATAATGAACATAAATATGAATAAAATCTGTTGGTAATTGCTCTTTTTTTAAATTTCTAACAACAAATTAAACATTAAAAATTTATGAAAAGGAGAAAAGTTTGATGAATTTCACAGATTTCAAAGTTTGGTGAGAAAAAGAAACTTGTAAACCTTCGTATTTTGTCTGAACTCGACTGAAAGTTTTAATTTTTTACAACTTTTTCACCTTTTCAACAAATCTACAAAAAGTAACAAATAAATTGTACCTTTAAACATATAACAACTCAAATCATATGAAGGAAATTATTTTTAAAATTGAGAAATATTTTTAGGATTATAATTATCCCCGAAATTGAAGAATTCGAATATTATTTGGGACTATTGTATGTTTCACTGACATTTTATTTACGACAATTTCCTTAAAAACGATTTTAAAGATTTTATTTTCATAAAGAATAAGAAATGTGTAAAAATCGGGAACCGTTTTTTTATATCAGCGTCCTTTCCGCCCTCTCGATTCAACCTTTAATCATGTTTAAAATAACAGATAAATAAAGTTCTGAGGGAGAAATCTTTTTGTTTTTACTCTGTCTAAAGATTTGGTAAAAGAAAGAGGAATTGGCAAGTAGCTGATACCATTCATCGTCAATTATTAATATTTGTCGG